ATGTAAATTTGGTCAACATAGGGCTTATAGTTAATCGGAAATGAGACCTACACCAAAAACTGCACCAAAAATGTTAACCTGCACCAAAAACATTAACCTGGTCATTCCTTTGCTGAAATTGCAGCATCTGAAACTTTGACTGGTACAATGAAACACATCAGAAACATCTTCCATGCACATGTCTAATCAATATAGGACACAGAAGTACTTAAAAAGAAAACTGCTCCAAAAAACTTAACCTTAACCCGGGACGCCGACGCCGACACCGACACCGACGCCGAGGGTATCACATAAGCTCTCCCCAACTTCGTTGAGGTGAGCTAAAAAGGAGGAAAATCCCCCAAACTCGAAAATCATATTTTGTCGTGGGGAGGGGGCCCAGGGGGGTATTTTTAATTTCTTCTAATAACAATATTTTTCACACATACATACCACATTACCTATTTATAACTATGCTGTGTTACAACGCACTTTGAAAAAAATTTCAAAGTGCGTTAAATTTGGGATCAAATCAACGCACTTTGAAATTTTTTTTTTTCAAAGTGCGTTAATATTGACCATATTAACGCACTTTGAAAAATGTGTATGGCTTGGTCAATATTCTTGCAAATCTTAGGTATGATAAATAAACTACTTGATAACTCTTCGGTGATGAGGTCACTTCAGGATGTGAAATTGAGAGATTTTGATATTTCTATGCTTTGAAAAATAACAAATGTTTTACAGTAATTATTTTTTTCTAGCATGCATTTTCTTTTTAATGCATTTTATGTAAATTAAAATTTATTGAAAGTTTTCAACGTCATACCAGTTATGCCAATACATATATTTGGGTGTAACATAGGTACCGAAGGGAGAGGGGGGTAGGCACACAAGTGTTTTGCAAAGATATGCATAATATAGGCATTGAAATTTGGGCTTACCTTGCAATTGGGGGTCCACTTTCAATTTGCTACCGACGGCCATGTACAATGTATAAGAAAAAAAAAAGTTAATCTGAGAGACCCTCTTCTCGTCTTCTCCTTGTTCTTAATGGGGTTAAATGAGTACATGTAAGTCAAAAAAGTTTTCGAAAGATATAATTATTACAAATTGATTCTCTCAATTTCTAAAGTCTAAGTCTAGAATTTTTTGTTTTATACATATTTTTTTCAAAGTGCGTAAAATGTCCCCGTGGTAAAAAAAAATGTTTATGTACACTCTTAACGCACTTTGAAAAAAAATATCAAAGTGCGTTGAGTGTGTCCCAAATTTAACGCACTTTGAAACATTTTTTTAAAGTGCGTTGATTTTGTCCCAATTTTAACGCACTTTGAAAATTTTTTTTTTCAAAGTGCGTAATTTTTTCAAAGAGCGTTGCCACAATGCTGAAACAAAAAGAGGGGGAGGGGGGTCATTCAGTCTTTTGAACAATGAACATTTTCTACAGTAAAATACTATGTCTGGAAAAGGGGGCAGCAACTGCATCACCATTTTTTTTTTACTTTGACCTTAACCTCACTTTTTCTTGAGCTCGGTTTTAAAGAAACCATTCAAAATGTTTATCAAACTTAATATGCTGATGCGTATTAGTGAGAGCTATTTAACTGTATCAAAAACTTTTGACCTTGCACTTTCCTGAAACCTCACTTGTCTTTAAGTAGCATTTTGCTTAGTTTTAAAGAGACCATTAAAGATATTTTTAGATAAGCTTATGCTTGGTGAGAATTTATCATCTGTATCCTTTTTTTTTTTTTGTAGATTTTAATTCAAACTATTCAAGATAAAACTTCATACACCTTTACTTTCATGTTACATTACTAATATATTCGTAAGGGCATTCATTTCCTATAGACATATCTCTAGTTTACAATCGAAAATATGTTAAGAAACATATATCAATCCATGCATCTTTTTTTAATTATGTGTGTAAACTACACAGGACCTATATATCGTCGGGATCGACATTCAAATGCATTTCGTCCTTGACCCTCTGTGTATATGCAATGTGCAATGATTTCGTGAGAGGAGAAAGTTTTTTCTTGAATTGGGATCCATCCTGTATCTAACCATATGGTTCTTAAATTTCTTCTGAGGTAACTTGCTATTATTGAGTAATAGGATTCATTATACACATGATCAATCATGGATTGGCCAGTTCTGTTTTTCATCATGTCATGACTACCTGAAACGTTATGTTACCTTGTACACAATAAAAACTAACAGTAACAGGATTTGATTTCACAAATGTTTTTGTTTTTACATAAAAGATTATTTTTAATAAGGAATGTTATTTTCTTTTTTAGGCTTCTGCACCATGAAAATGTAATTCAAAAGGTAAAGTTCTCTTGAATTTCCCTATCTTTTTTCTTTTCCTTTCCTCTTCCAATAAACAGCTGATCAAATGGTGACCTTGTCAGCTTAAATAGTGTTCGCAACTATTTTTATATTTTTTATGCAAGTTTAAACTGCTTGATAAAGCCAGTGTAAATATTTGTTACCTATAAATAATAATATGTTTTAGTCAACAAAAGTAGTTAAAACTTAAGTCAATAATTGTTGAAATACCCTAGCCTCCAGAAGATCCAATTATTATGATTGATTGATTGTATGTTGTTTAACGACCCTCTCCAGAATTTTTCATTCATATAGAGATGCCACCACTTGGCGGCGGAGAGCTGCAAATTTTGTCCTGTACTTGGCACTCAGGGCCAATGAGCAGGGAGAGATCTTTTTCGTGCCAGCACCTACTGCGACACGGGACCTCAGTTTATACGGTCTCATCCGAAGGACTGGTCTCCACGTCCCACAGTGGAATTCGAACCCGTGACGTAAGGATCAACTCCTTACTTCGCTACTCTAGAGCAGACACTCTAACCACTGCACTATGTCCAGTTAATAAATATGTTGAATAAAAGTTTGTGGGGATGTAAATCCGTGGATGAGGGTTACTCACGAAATCAAGGAACATTGCATGCACATGCACATTGATGAATCCAAAGTATCTTTGATGTTTCTAAATTTTATTTTAAATTTATTTCTTAATTGGGATATTGTATCCCAAACAAGATATTATACTTCAATTGCAGAGTTTTTTCCTGCCATATCTATGATAGTAACTTAGTTTAATCAGCTGATTCATGTTATTTCCCCCACAACGTTTAGAAGTTCGTTTTCTGCGCTAGACAGCCATGTTGGGTATCCACTATAAATATCACACCCTGTAAATTAAGTCTGGGGATGTTTGACACTTTTAATTTTTACAAAACAATGAAAAACTGGAGTCCAACACCTTGAGGTTAATTTGTGGACGATTCTCACGTGTGGATACAGAAAGGTATTCAATAGGGTCTGTACCTTTTTTAAAGGTCTAACTGCAATTAAACAATTTCTCATGTTTTGAATATGTAATGCTGATGGACCAGTGGATAGTCACTTAATCACTGGTCCACTTGACTGGTGAATATTTTATTTCAAAAACTCAATTTGTCCTAACCAATTTGGTATCCTGTTGCTTAAATTTTACAATTTTTCAGATTGCAGAAAGCCCACCTATCAGACAAGCAGCCCGATATGTAGTCTCAATTTACCACAGATTCCATTCTGGAGGTACTGTATAAATTTTCAGGGTAGGGGTGGGAGTATTTAATTCCTACTGAATGATTATACATGTATGCATTTTACTTTGAGCCATATTCAACTGTTTATAAATTCAATGACATTTATGTATGGATTTTACTTTGAGCCATATTCAACTGTTTATAAATTCAATGACATTTATGGCACTTTGATTTACTGTGTATAAATAAAATAACAATTTCATTATTGTGTATTTTAGAATTGAGTGAATTAATGAAAAAATTTGAGAAGATGGCTGAAACTTCTACTAAAGACACACCAAAGTCAACTAATACACCACCAAAACAAATAGGATTCACAGAGACATTTAAAAAGGAACTTAAAGAAGGATTCAGAGAACTGGAACAAAAATCTAAGAAACAGTGATGCATGAAAGGACTAGCACAGTGTTATTTATTGTTTGTTATTTCATACGTAGGGATGAATACCTGCATTTATACAATCGTTTTTTAATAAAATGAAAAATAAAATTTGTTGTGTAATGCATCTGGTAAGCAGATTTATGGTGGTAATGTTTATTGTATTTTTTTTTTACCTCAACTTCATAATCCACAACATTATGTCAAAATGAACTGGTATAATATATTTTACAACTGAAACAGTTCAAGCTGGACATAAAGGATTCCATGATGACAAGGTTCTGAAAGTCAATTCAACTAAGTAGAATTTTTGTCTGCATTTACTGGTACTTCATAAAGCTGATGTATGAAGTGTGTACTTAAAGATACAACTGACGAGAAGGGAGAGACGGAAAAACTATTCTTTTTGTGTTTAGAGCTCTATATCATATTTATAACATATAAATTGGTGACCCATACTACCTTTAACTCTGTTAACATTAGAGGCCAATATTACTATAATTTTGTTTAAATTGGTAGCCCATACTACCTTTAACTATGTTTAAATTGGTGGCTTATTTCAAAAAGGGTCAACAAAGAAATCAAGTTTTCTGTACAAATGTAAATGCATTTGGGAAATGAATTTTTTTTCAGCTGTATAGATGCACAATTAGGTACTTTTATTCTTATGTAGTTCAGAGGATGTTAAGATTTTATCAATGTGTCCCTGGGTATAAAAGGGTACAAAGGATTGACATACATGTAGTATGATTCATAATACATGTACTCTTAAAGGACAAGCTAATGCTGGTCAGCAAAAATGTAATAAAAAATGAATAGGGAAAAAATTGTCTTTAATTGTATTAAATATTTAACTTTACAACATCCTCATGTATATAATGATGAACAATTTAAAAATTATCAAATACCGGTACTAAATATAGAATAAATAACGTATATACTGAATGTATCACAAATCAAAAAAAAAATCACACATGAATTCTGCCTTTATCATGTTTATCAGAGAAAAGCATAAAAAAAAATTCTCTCAAAAATGATGTGCAACAATTTATACAATTTGTAATCATTCCAAAAATATTGCAAAGTAGTGTTGTGATTCAATTCAATGAAATAAATTGGTGTGTAGAATGAGTTTATATACAATGTACAGGTATGTCCATGAGTGAAAAGTTACATTGAATAATAGAAAAAAAAAAACGACAGGAACAGCAGTGTTTTCAAAAATTTTCTACGGATAGACAGACAAACGGACACATTTCCAATGCATAACCTCTTTTGGCTAAACTTGAAAACAAAAAATACTGATGAATTCAAATTATGTACAGACATAATAAATTATTTATACATGTATCAAGAAAATTAGCTAGCACCTTATTTGTCCATTTTTTTTTTTTTTCAAAAGTCAATATCGCCATTGAGAACAGCTAGAGCCATCCCTGCCTCTGGATCCCATGGTTTAATCCCTTGACAAGCCAACTCAAACATATCGTCTTCATCAAATCCCCAGGGATTAGTGAGGTAGTCCGAGTCACCAGAGTCACTTGAGTGCTTTTTTAAAGCCAGCATCCTAAAATATGATAATACCATACTCAGTATACATGTGCATTGTTTACAGATGAGTAGTCAATATACTTAGCAAGTAGCATTTTACATTTATTGACTTAGTTTGAGGGCAATATGCATTTTGTCGGACCCAAGAACCAAATTGTTAGCCTGAAGTTGTTAAGCCGAAGGCAGCCAGTTTAGTTCGAGGGTTGACAAAATACATTTTTCCTGAGAAAACAGCCAATAAAGGTTTTGTTATACCTTTAATTTTACCGGGTAATATTTTTTGACAACCATATATTTTGTACTGTATTCTGTGATGCAAACCTCAGGTCCATCACCGTTTAAAGCAATATGAGCTGCATTTTTGAGAATTTTATTTTGCTGGTAAAATGTGTTATTATGATTAATCTGTATGTAATCTAAACCCTTATGATCAATAAGACCAAAATAAAGTTTTAAAATGTTTCAGAAGAAATATTTCTGTACAACCGAATATACAGTATTATATAAGAAATCATTATTGTACAGGACGACAATAATTCAATTTTCCTTCAATCAAAGCTTATAAAAAGTTCTTCCATAGCAATATGACCAACAGAAGTTAATAAACGTTCTATTTTCCTGTCATTGAAATGGTTAATTACAAATTTGAAATATTTTTTTTCCGATGTCAAACATGCAGCTCATATTGCTTTAAAAAACATGGGTAATCAAAGATTACGAAGCTCACCTCGACGAATGTTATCAGTTTAAGTAATGCAAATCTCGCATCATATTTTCTTAACAGTTAGTTTTTATTCTGACAACAATATTCAAGCAAGTTCTGTTTAAATAGGTCTTAAAGTTCATTGGGATTGATCTGATCCAAAAATTTTAACCTGGTTATTCATTTGGAATATGTAAATCAGATCCAGCATCCAAAGCAAATTTAAATTGTTCATCCTTCGATGCATCATCCATGCAAGTTTGATCCCGTTAGGGCTTATAGCTACTTGGGAATAACCTTGTCACTAATCTGGAAAATGTAGTTCAGATCCAGCATACGAAGCAAGTCTGGTAGTGTCCATCCCTAGATGCATCATCCATGCAAGTTTGGTCCGGATAGGGCTTATTGTTACTTGGGAATGGACCTGCTCAAAACACTTAAACCTGCTCACTCATCTGGAAAATGTAGGTCAGATCCAGCATCTGAAGCAAATCTGGTAGTGTCCATCCATAGATGCATTATCCATGCAAGTTTGGTCCAAATAGGGCTTATAGTTACTTGGGAATGGACCTGCTCCAAAAACTTGAACCTGGTCACTCATCTGGAAAATGTCAGATCCAGCATCCGAAGCAAGTCTGGTACTCAGGTAGTGTCAATCCCTAGATGCATCACATGCAAGTTTGGTCCAGGTAAAGCTTATAGGTACTTGGGAATGGACCTGCTCCTTAAACTTTAACCGGGACGCCGACACCGACACCGAGTGTATAGCATAAGCTCATCTCGACTTCGTCAAGGTGAGCTAACAACAAATGCAAGTGAGATTAAGCTCCTCCCATTCTGTGACGTAAGCGGTCAAACATCTCATCCACAGGTCCAACATCTCACTCAGCGGTCAAAAATCGATTTTTTTTATGCCCACTCAGTAAAACATTAGAAATGTAAGACTTTTTTGTATTTATAAATTTATACGAACAAATTTTTTAAGGTATATCAAAGGGAAGTGTTCCTTACAATAAATATTGGATAAAATTGACTTTGAGCATGTTGAGTAATCACTGGGTGCCATTTTCCAAAGTACTGGGGCCAGTTTCACTCACCTGAGAAAGTGTTCAAGTCCTCCATTGTCTGAATCACTGGAGGAGTTGCTGCCCCCTGTGTAGGAGGCCACCAGGTGGAGCAGCAGCATATCCATACATTCCTTGTCATCATCTAGTCCTATGTCACGGTCTGTGAATTAAAGACCATGTTAATGCAAACACTTTCTGTAAAAATAAGTTGTTATCATTCCATATGATTTAAAGTAAAACATTCATTTGTAAACATGTTTTAAAACTGAAATAAAAAATAACTAGAAATATGTTCATACTCCATAAGATATAAATGTCCCACTCGGATGCAATAGTAATGCAACATCAAAAATTCGTATTAGTGTTTAAAATTTGATGAAAATAACTTTGATAGTTTCTTTAAAACTTAGTTTTATTTACAATAAATAGTAAATCAAATGTCACTGGAAAGGTGGAGGTAAAAAAAAAATAGACACATTAGGTAAATTCTCATCAAATATTGTATCAGTCAGTGTATAAGCTTGCTTAAAAATATATTGCATTGTTTCTTTGAAACTGAGCAAAACACAAATTTGACAGTGAATTCAAGGTCAAAGGAAATGTCAAGATCAAATTGTGGATGCAATTAAAAAGCTCTCTTATTTTATATGAAGTTTGAACAATCTTTAAATTAGCTATTTCCTGTCAGATTTTTATCTCTCTCTCTGAATTGAATCAATGTTCAATAATTCAAATAAAGTTGTATCTCTGTCACTCAAGAATGGACAAAATTAACCCAGTGGTTGAGGAGAAGCAGAAAATGTGAAAAGTTTTCTTTTACATGACGTAATGTGGATTTACCTGTAAAAGCCAGAACCAGTTCATGTAGAAAGTCATTGTGCCCCTCCTCGTCATTTTCTGACTTGACCTTATCCACGATGTGCTGAAGAAGGTGACGTGCCTTCCCGAACACGCGACCACAAACACCACAGCATGTCCCCCTATGGAAGCGAGGGTCGCGTTGGAGGAAATTAAGGTGCTCCTTGTTCATGCTGAGAAGCATGTCTCTGTAATGCTGCTCTAGTTCATCGTACTCGTAACTGAAGTCACTTCCGTCGCTGACATCCGACACATTACTTATATCATCGTCATCACAATACGTGGGATTTTCGCTGTCACTGGCTGTATTTTTGAAATCTTTTGGAATCTTAGGCAACACCTTCATGTGAATTAGTTTGCCACATTCTCCTAAGGTGATCAAAAAATTTAAGGAAGTTAGTCTTCATACGTAAACAAGGTAGATGTCCATAGATATTCAGTCTCGTACAAGATTCTGAACATTCTTTTAGAAAATTAGAATTTAAAAAAAAAAAATTTTGCTGGTTGCATTATTTTGCTAAGCTTTCAGTGTTCTTCTAGTAACCTATTTATATCAGATTATATTATGTCAGCAAACTAGCATCTGAAAGAATATTCTATTAAAAGAAACACTCTATGAATACCTAAAAATATCACTTTTTCTCCAATGTTTTTTCTCATATTTAGCAAACATTCAATTATTTTAAAATTTTTCAAACATATAACAGTTTCTCAGACTTACCACATTTAATGATGCCACTCTCATCTTCCTTTTTAGCCCCCTCCCCAACCTTTGCTTCATCAGAACTTTCTCCTGGCTCAGAGGAAGCGACAGGGGTATTATCACAGCATTCTTCATTCGCCTCTTGTTTAAGGTCAGGAATATTAATCTTCAATAAGACTCCATGTAAGAATTCATGGTAAAAGAGTAAACATTTTCTCTCATAAAAGACATGTGCAACATGTACTGGTACAATATATATGGCAATTTGGCCATAAATTCTTTGTTTTATACAAAGAACAGTTCAATGGAAATTGATCAATTGTCTTATCGATAATACCAGTGCTAAATAATAAATTATCTAAATCCATGTAAGAATCAGACTTTTAGGCATCACCGTATTTTGAAATAGTCATATGATTAAATGTTCCTTAATCTTTTCTTAAGGCAAATAAATTCTCATAAATATATTGCAATAAAACTTTTTCAGAAATCTTTGAAATTGGTGAAAAAGAAGCATCTTTTTTGCCATTCTGTGTATACATTATAATACACATGTAATTGAAAGCCCTTTGTACGATTTGTGATGCCTGGTAATGCTGTACATCTGCTCTCGATCAAATTTTGAGGAAAAACTAGCTTAAGCTATAATTCTATCAATTTTTCTTTAAAATAAAAAAGGGTTTTCATCAATCAAATATCAATTCAAAACAACTGGTAATGTGTGCCGGTTTTTGTATCAAGAAATTCTTAATGGTACATGTAAAAAAAGATTTTAAAGTAAGAATGTCTTTGAAAATTATCATTGGAAAAGGTTACATTAATATAAAGTTCATGTGCAAATATGTGGCATATGACCTTAAAAAGAATGCCCAGATGTACCTTTACAGACAGGTATTTCTCTTTACAGATGACCTAGATTTACCATTACAGACAGGTATTTCTCTTTACAGATGACCTAGATTTACCTTTACAGACAGGTATTTCTCTTTACAGATGACCTAGATTTACCTTTACAGACAGGTATTTCTCTTTACAGATGACCTAGATTTACCTTTACAGACAGGTATTTCTCTTTACAGATGACTCGTCTGGTGTCACCTTCAGGGGAAGAGTTTCCTTTGGTGTCTGCCTTATCTGCTTTTTTCTGGACTTTCACAGACTTTGGATCACCAGATTTCAGGGATAAAGACTGAAGAGCATCTTCTAGGTCTTTCTGAACTTCTGATTTCACCACAGCTGGAAATAGAATACCATTTTTGTTCATTATTAATGTTTAGGGATTTAAATACATGAATCTCCAGGATACCTACCATCTCCTCTGTTTTGGTTATTTTTTTGTGAATATTAAGGAAAAATAATTATATTCTCTCATACAGATAAGTACAGATGTCATGTGTGGATAAATGGTGTTCTGTATAACTTATTTAGCCTTAGGAAGAAACATTGAAATTTATACTAACCACTTATAATCTTTTTTGTGCCATCAGGTTCAACATGTTTGAAATAGCACTGATTTCCATTTCTACAAGTACCTGGTCCACTGTAAAAATAAATTCAAGGATCATTCATTTGTGATTATGCAACATGTATGGAAATAACAATCAATAAGATTAAAGTTTGTTTTAAAAACTGCATCAAACTACAGTATCAAGGTCATGTGGTCAAAGATGAAAATACAATATGAAAGGTCTTGCCACACTCATGTCAAGCTCATGTGAAAAAGTACAGGCCCATCAACCAGTACTCTGTACTTTTGCTTGATTGAAATCATGATTTTACCTCAGAAAATAAAATACATGTAATTACTTAATTACAGCAAAACTCGGTTATAATGAGGTCACAGGGACCTATGAAATCACTTTGCTATATCCGTAATTCACTATAACCGTATACGAAATTCATTAAATTTATATAGCTGGGGATTCAAGATGACTTCGCTATAAACGTGAATTCGCAATATCCATGTTCGTACTAAACGTGTTTTACTGTAATAGCTTTTTCCACAAGGTGCCTTTTTTGTACAAGTACTGTTTGTTTTTGAAAGCCCTGAGAAATATAAAAGCCCTGGCTCTTAATGCTTATTGACTGCTCTAACTTTTTTTCCATTCTTGTCCTTATCCCGACTAGTGATGCAGGAGCTTAAGTTTGAAAACTCCAAGAGTGGGAGAGAAGATGGCTCATGCAGTTCCATCCAGAGAAGTGTGAAGTCATTACCATCTCCAATAAGCGCAATCCAGTCAAATATGGCTACACCATCCAAGGCCACACCCTACAGCATGTTAACAACGCTAAGTACCTGGGAGTAACCATCAATAGGAAACTGTCTTGGAACACCCATGTGGACAGTGTTACCAAGAAGGCGAATCAGACCTTAGCCTTTCTCAGACGAAACATCAATATGTGTATCAAGGAGACTAAGGAGCAGGCTTATAAGACCTATGTCCGCCCTACTCTAGAGTACGCATCTACAGTCTGGGATCCCCACACTGCTCGTAACATCAATGCGGTTGAGATGGTACAAAGACGTACTGCTATATTTGTGACTGGAATATACCATCACACAAGTAGCGTATCAACGATGCTGAACGCTCTTTCATGGGACACCCTGAAACTTTGCAGAACAAGAGCAAAAGTCATCATGCTCTACAGGATTCATCACTGTCTTGTTGACATCCCACCGGCAGAGTACCTGATACCCACTGGCAGTCGCACCCGAGGCCATACAACAAAGTTCCTCATCCCACATGCCAGATTGCAACCCTATCAGTACTCCTTCTTCCCAACCAGCATCAGGCTTTGGAACAAGCTCCCAGCTGCAGTGTCCCAGGTAAACTCGCTTGAAGCCTTCAAGCAGAGCCTGGCAACCGTACAGTTTGTGTAAATACCTTGTTTTTAATTGTAAATACAGCGCCCTGTGTGTCACGATTGCGCCTTTTAAACCATAGTGCAAGTATATTTGAATCCCGAGGAATGCACTTAAAGCAGAAGAAGAAGAAGAAAACCATACATTTTCATTTTTTTTGGATACCCAAATACTCTACCCAATTTTGTGATGTTGACCACCCCTGGACTTGCAGGTGAAGTATGTTCTACCTGGGGCATACAAATGTAATGGTTTGGGCCGTGGATATCGGCCTGGATAGCTCAGTTGGTAGAGCACCTGACTAGAGATGCAGGGGTCCCGGGTTCGATTCCCGGTCCAGCCATACATTTTCTCCTTTCCTGTTACAGATTTGGTGCCGTGACCAGGAGTTTACAGGGATGTTGCTTCAGGAGGATGATTACAAATCCGCGATATTGTAATCCTGGGGACATTGGCCTTCCCCTTCCACCAGTCCATCAGGAAGCCCGGGATGAGGCTGCGAGGAAACGCCATGCTATGCGGGTGAAGCCTTTATTTAATCTTCCGGAGACCTACAACGCCCGGGATCAAAGACCTCAGTTTTTCTGACATTCCTTAAATTAATTAACATTTGTCTTATTTTGAAACAAAATTTACTGTGTAAATGTTTTTTTTTACAGGGGGGAGGAATAGATTTTTATTTCATAGCCATCGTTTGTAATTCATTATTTACAAGTATTTGCTGGTATTTCATTAATTCTATTTACCATTTGTTTTCAGTTGTTACTTACATAGCCCTTTATTATTTGTCTTTTATAAGTGAGGACATGAGTTGACATTCCACATGTTTTGCTTTTTAAACAGGAAATGTCATCCATGTTGGCAGTCTTTCCGTAGTACTTTTGATACCTGCGTTCTGATTGGTTAATTTAGCTATAGGATCTTTGATAGTCATTGGTTTTTATTTTGGGCCTTGCCAGGGTATTTAAACCCATGTTCGAGCAGTTTTCTTCACTTGGGTTGGGGAACACAGCCTCATGGTTAGTTCCTCTTTTCTGTGCTAAGAAAACCTTATGGTTTATGAGCACTATTTGATTAAATACTTAGTGGACTAAGAAAACCTTATGGTTTAACAAGTTCTCTAGGTTTTGGCTTAGATTTAGTTTCACGTTTTTCACATGTTAGGAAACAGTTAGGATGTAGGGTATTTAAAGTAAATTTAGTTTCCCCTTTCCAAGTCCAGCCTGGTCTAGGGATATGTAGATAACAGGTTTATTTTCTAGAACCACTATTTATTATTTGAAGGTTAGTACTTTTTTTTCTGTGCTAAAATACATAATATGGGTGTGTATGAAGATGAAGGGATTAACTTTATGTACACAGGACATATTTTCTGGGTCAGTTATTTTTAGAGCCTATAAGAATTAGTATTGATATTTCCAGATTAACTCTAGAGTGTTGATAGTGTCATATTGGGTGATGTAGCTCATTCCTTTTACATTTTTTTTCATCTCTTTAGGATTTTTGACTATTTTCATAAGTATGGATAGCTCAGTAGGTAGAGCACCTGACTAGAGATACAGGGGTCCCGGGTTCGATTCCCGGTCCAGCCATACATTTTCTCCTTTCCTGTTACACAAGTAAGAACTTAGGCTCTTACTTTCAGGACAATAGCAATTTATTTTTCTCAATTTAAGAATTTGATAATGTTGTCTCCTCTATCCCCCTTTTCTCTTTAGAACAGTGGACAGGCTTTGGATGTAGGCGAATCAAAGTTTGTTCACTTCTCTGAAGACCCCCCCCTCCCCCACCCCCAAATCAAATTAATAACGTTTCTTATGTTAATTTTTACCTGTAGAAGCGACACCTTGGAGCCACACCTTTGATGTGGGAGTATCGACAATGATCTCCATACCAGCATCCCGAGGGGGAGTTGAAGTAGACACAGGGTTCTGAGCTCTGGGAAAATCAAGCAGTATACTCATCTGTAGTTTACTGAATTTAAGATACTCCCTTTTGATTACAATCTATCTCAACTATAATAACTTTCGTAATTAATAGCCTTATTTCGGTCAAAAAAATCATATTTTCTTACCATCTCGAAACTGCACTTAAATTTTCCCGCAAAACTGGATTTGGGTAAACTAAGATCCCCAGATATGGAATTTAAATAATGTGAGTGATGTTATCGTAAATAAAAATCAATAGTTCTAAGTTACATGTATTAAACATCTATATGTACATATACAATATGAGTGTTTAAAAATGTATTTCTATTTGCATTTACGTTGTTTAAATGAAAGTAGTAGGTGTGTTCTTGATCTGGAATTACCGTGATCTTTTTCTACGATAAAAACCAAACCATACTAATCCGGATAAAGTCAACAGAAAAAGGGATTGGGGATAATAGCTACCATATTATGTACAGAGCTCCAAAGGCATTTAATAAAAATAATTAAGACATAAAAAAACTTCCAGTCCTGTATTGGTTCAAGAAAATTATAGGATTAAAAATTTAGGGCATAAATATATCTTCAAATGTTGGAAACTTATTCTATCATATGTAGATATTTCCAATGCCTTCATTTCATGAGCATCTGTCATATTTTAACCTATCTCCAATGGTTTGATTCTAGTGGACAGTATACAGGGAACATACTGCCTAAGTTAGATCATGGGCTAGCTTTTCTAGTGATGCTCAAGTCGAGCTAAATTCATGCAAGCTACAGCAAGTACCTTGAACATGTTAAATCCCTGGTGGCAGCAACACAATACATTAGGTGATCCTCATAACTGGCAATGATTGAAAAAAAAGATGAAGCTCATAAGTAGAGGCAATGGCCTGCAACATACAATAAAAATTTCCTAAGAGATTTTGTAAATTCAGGAGGAAAAAACTCCAATCTACTGTCTATTATTTTTAAAGTAAATATGGCTGTCAGTTACTGAGTAATTGCAATTTTAGAGTTAAAACTGAAAAAGGTAATCTCATTCAATAGTGGGCTAAATCCTAACTTCTTGACACAGTTTTTTTTTTTTTTTGGGGGGGGGGGGGGGGAGATAGATATAAAAAGTAAAATAGCATATGGGTGACTTATTCTTCTCTTGGTCCTTTCTGATAACGCACATTTTGATAAACAACAAACACTTCATTTCTACAATATTTTGATATTTATTTAAATAAATAACAAAGTCAGCAAATGAATGCAAAAGAGCTTGGTAAAGTTGGGCTACATCTTTTGTGAAAATGGAAAAAAAAATCATTATATTTCTACACATAGAAACCAGCTGAAGTGAATACACTATTAAGAGTTGTGTAATATCCAATACATTATACAGATATAATATTATGTTTGTTCACTATTTTATTACAATATTGCACAAATCATGTCACCTAACTATATTATGATTATATTCATTAATTAAGTTTTGTAAATGTGACAAAGATTAAATTCTATGATGAAAATGCCGATTCCCGCAATTAGTATGAAATTTTTTTAAAATTCTCAGAGAGGATTGTTTATAGGCACATACAATAGGTCATCCCTCTCTCAGCCACATTTAACAATGGTTACTGGTAAACTGACAAAACTCATAGCGTACAACATGACAAGTCATTCCCTGTATATTTTCTTAACACATGAAAGAGAACATGCATTCTATTTTTACCTATCATGGTTAATCTAGATGTACAATGTATCTATGGAATTTTCAAATTATTAAATATTGTTGACTGAATTTTTCTTAAAATTACTGAAACTGTAAATTGCACAAAAAAAGTCTATGCCAATACTGATACACTGTAGATCTTAACACTCTAAAGGGACAGTATCTCAATACATTTGTAAACTGATTTAAACAAAGATGAAAAATGTAAATAGTGTAAACAATGAACAATTTATCACAAGAAGATTATATCCAATAATATTTCTATCACAAACAACCGTAAAACAAAGTCAACAAAAATCTTTTGACTATATGACAATAACCTTTCATGAATGAAACTTCAGTGTTTCACTTTTGAAATGACAGGTCCTACCATTTATATGAAACTGGCTTTACAAAGGGCAATATTCTTTGTGAGTCATTTTGAAAGCTTTCTTAGAAACATACAAGCAATATAAACAAGGGTTTGAATCTGGTAAAAAATACAGCTTTAGACAAAATTACCCTGAGATTTGAGATAGGGATCTCCTATTTGGGATCAAATTTGAACTTATTTGGAAGGATGCAATTTTAAAATTCAAGTAAAGAGTTAAACCTTGAAAAAAAAAATTATCAATGAGTCAACACTCAAATCTAAAATGAGTAACCACATTTGAGCTAGCACTGTTCATTTTGGTTTTGGTTATTTTCTCAGCTTTTTAATAACATATATATATATCTAACTTTGTGTCTAATTAACTAAATAACAGCTTTTACACTTCATACAAAATCAAATATGCTAATCACAAACTTTGCAAATACACTCAACATTCTTTATTGAATTGTAACAATAATGCCTATATGTGTGTACAATATGAATACATAAGGCTATAATTAACATGTTAATTAATATAATAAATGAAGCAGATGAAGGACATTTATACACACTGATTATAGTATGACATGGTAAAACCTTAAATGACAGGTACGTATGTAAATAATTATCAAAAGTTTATTTACATATACATGTACATTGTAATAATTCAAGTGACAAAATAGCATTGACAGCTTTACGAAGAACGCTACAGTATTCAGATGACAGTGAGTTTAATGACTAGGAGAAAGAAAAGCATCTTTTAGACTTTGAATAATGATCAAAGCAATATTTCAATGACAATATTGTTCATCCTACCTAAGGCATTTCAACACAAGCACTTCCAACAAATACTACATTCAATTTGATATTCATATATCATTAGATTTTTATTAATAATAAATATTTATTGATAGCTGCATGGATAAATATGCCTTTCCATGTTGCATTAGTAAATAAAGCCAAATGAAACGTTTGACAGACTATGAAGAAAATCAATCTTCTTTTTTAAAGCAAATCTAGTATTCACATAATTATCAATAATGTAGTAATAGTTCCTAAAAGAATACAAATTTAAAATATGTTTGCATAGAATTTTACCTTTTTCACACACACAGAAAATTCAAATTCTGTATTTTCATGTCTTGAAATTATATGTATATAGTATTTTCAGCTCTTCTAAACTCAAGAGCCCATTTTTATCATTTAGTAAAAGCACTTTTGAATAAAATACTTGTACATGAACAAGGTATGTCTCCCTCTTGTGGACATGCTCTCAGAGTACACAATAAATAATATTTTGATAAATGACGTTCTTCAAATAAAGAAAAGATTATAAGAAATATAAAGGTTTGTCTTAGACTAAAATCATTTGTGTCTGAGAATTATTTTTTGCTAAACTACATTTTAAGACATAAATTACTGGAATGTATGACTGTATGATGTCTTCTATCAATCCACACAAACGCCCACTATCTGGCAGAGGTAATTCTGTAAGATGCCTTGGTTTGTTGATTGCACAAGCGACTCTGTATCAGCGGAGAGTTTCATGCTGCTGCAGTCAGCAGTGTGACTTTGTTTTCTAGGTCATTATCTTTATATAAGCACTATGTGAACATTATCTGCTATGCATTGTCAAATTTTTGGAGAGCTGATTCTAACTTTTGGGTAATCTGAAAACAAAAGAAATAAAATGTTCATTATTTTACCATTTTCATGTAAATCTTCAATGTTCATACATACCCTTTAATTAAAATACAAATTCAAAATAATTACACCTGACAGTCTTTCTAAAAAAAATTAATTTAGAACTACATATCATTTACATATGCAGGAACATCACAACTTATAAAGCTGTGATTTTATTTGAACATTGTGAATATTCTGAATATCAACAGTCTATCAACAGATTGAAGTGTGACTGTATTGAGGACTTTAATCAGACCAGCAATTAAGAAACTGACCTCTCTATAAAACTTTATTTGTCCTGTTAAGAATTTCGTCATCATGTCTTTGTAGTCTACAACTCTTTCTCGCTGGAAATGGTTCATTTCTGCTAGAGTCCCGAAGGATATGACATCAGCTCGCTGTATCACTGCGGTTACGTCAGACTCTGGCATCCTCCCCTCTTCCTTTAATCTCTCACACTCCTTGGCTTTACCAATGGCTCCCTACAAAGGGAAACAAACATATGAATAGGTGGTAAGCTGTAAGTACAGAATTCTGGGAGTAAGATTATCATTTGTTGAACATAGTACTAGTTCTTGTGATTTTTTATACCTCGTGTAGCTTCAGAACATCTGGGTAGGTGGACAGCATTCCCTTGTACTCAAATAAAACATCAAGCATGGGGTCCAAGTCCTCCTTTGGCTACAATCAATACAAATCACTTGTACTGTTTTTAATATTTAAATACAGTTTAAATATAAACAACGTGAGCTTTAATATCTCGATACTATACAAGAGACCCAAGGGCTTCACTCTCTAATAAAGAATTCACACATGAAGGTAAGTGAAATCCCATTAATGAAGTCACCAAATCAAAGTCCATGCTTTCAATCCTTTTTAAAATACATGTAGTATATTGAGGCTAAACATCATTCTATGTGTACAAATTCTATTTCTTTCTAGAATCAATGTTTATAAACAATAACTCTGGTCCTGACCCTCAGTCATGGCCCCATCCTTGCCCCAGTTGCCAGGATTTGAACATATATATTTTTTTCATACTCTATGGAGTTGACTGTCTTATTATTTGAGGAATTGTGTCTTTAAAGAAACCAGAATTACAAATCAATATTTTCATGTAAAATGAAAAATTTCTTCCAAATAATTTAAAAATGACTAGATTTTTACCTGTTTTTCATACATATTTCCGATTTCATTGTATGTATCTCCAGTATAATCGATGGCTGCTGTTAAATTTCGTGAATCTACAAAATACAAATGTGCTTAAATTTACATCATGCAATAGTAAACTATTATACATATTTCACTCTAAAACTACATTAAAATAACAGTACATGCATTCCCTAGGTTGATCCAAAACATAACATTTCTGTATATTTAAACATAGGTACGGTAATCAGAGATTACAGAGCTCACTTCAACGAATGTTTGTTGTTAAGTAAGTCAAAGTTCCACATTAAACTAATAATCAAGAAGTGTACAACCAATGATCACTCATCTGGAAAATCTAGATGCAAGCCTGATAGTGTGCAACTTAGATGTATCATCCATGCAAGTTTGGTCAACAAAGGGCTTAAAGTTACTTGGAAATGAGACCTTCAACAAAAACTTTAACCTGCTCCAAAAACATTAACCTGGTCATTCCTTTGCTGAAATTGCAGCGTCTGAAACCTTGACTAGTACAATGAAAGACACTAGAAGCATCCTGCATGCATGTCTGATCAGTGTAGGGCATAGAAGTACTTAAAGACAAAACTGCTCTTAACCTGGGACGCTGACACAGACGATATCATATAAGCTCCCCCAACTTTGTTGAGGTGAGCTAAAAATGGAGAGAGAGAAAAAAAATACTTAGATATGAGCCAATCAAAAAATTTTAGTAGAATTTTCACTATTCTTATGGGCTTCTAGCTTGAAACAATTGTTTCATGTCTCAGACTTACGGTTATGAGCTAAATTTAAACCCTCATGAGTCCCGAGCATACATTAACTACTTCTCAGTTATTTCCTTTTGAAGAATGCATGACTCTTCATTGTACAAACATTGATTTCAATTAACAAGAACGCTTAACAAAAACTAAAGGAAGAGAACCAAATATCTTTCCAAAATAGCAGAAGCACAATGGCACTATATAATAAAATTTCTGAAAAGTCTCATTAAATTACATTCACTGGTAAAACAGGAGTTGCAGACAAGAGATCGGTAACCCCCCACCCCCCAGTATAAAAAGACAGTATCCATGTTTTGCTAGGGAAAACCCCAAGTATCTGTATGATTGAAAATAAACTGTTTCAAATAAAACATCATAACATCAAACTCACGCCCTGATTCATCCAAATTAAATGTTTCAGCCATCTGTTTAAATGAACCACCAATCTTCTGGAATTCTCTCTTGTATGCTGTTAAAGTGAAATTTTTAATTTTTAATTTTGACATGAAATTTAAATACTGAAATACATGTATTCACTAGGTAATGTTTTTGATTCAAAATGAACTTAAGTACATGGTCATTGCAGTGACCAATGAACTCACGGCCTAGGTGTTTCTTTCTACTGTCGTGCCCTATCTGTAACATGTTGCGTACATTATCATCCATATTTTTCACAAATTTACAAAAGACTTCCATTCTTTTCTCCCTGTAATTATAGAAAATTAAAAAAAAACATCAAAGTAAACATCGAAAGCCAAATATGGATACTTTTTACATCTTAAAATCTTCATAACAACAATAATAAAATATTTACTTTTGAGAATGACATCAAAACGATACCATAAAACTTTGACAAGCTCATTTTATTTTTATCTCATTCTCACTTTTACAAAATGAATTTAATGTGGGAAAGTAAGACAGTGACTGAGATTAAAAGTGAGATCAGCTTCGTTCTATGGCCCCCAGTCTGTTTATGACAAAAGGTTCTTCTCACTATTTTTATTTCAATATACACACTTCCTACATTCATTTCACTTACAAAAATATACCATTCCAGGACTAATGATGCAGTGTACTTACACGTCCCTCATATCAAGAGAGGAGGGTGGCGTTTGTAGGGTCAGGAAAAACTTCCCTCCCTGATATTCATCTTTCTCTGCCTTCCGTTTCCCAGCCTTCCATTTCTATAAAATCAGTACATAATTAGCAAAAATGTAGAGAATGCCCGTAACAAATTTAACACATTCTGGTAAAAATTCAACAATGCTAGGTCCATTTCATACAAAATATTATATACATGTAATAGTATTTTTATACAGTGTACAATATGTATTGCAAATTTTTATAAATCATTTCCAAAGACAAAAATTTATCCTAAAACTATATGTTATATTTGATATATAATTTTGTATTGCTTATTAAGTGCCAAATAATAAGAATGTTTTACTCATTGAATAAAGATTTCAAAATAAGATTTGACTAGCAAACTTAAGGAAGAAAGAGAGAAAAAAAGATAGCATGCACTTTTGTTACATGTGTTTGAGAGTTTCTGAAAATGTACATACATGTAGCTAGACAAGTAGATTACAATTTTATCATAAACAAAAGGTAATGTTTGTAAAATGTATGTATTGTTAATACGGTATCATCACATTCTCATTTCTCGTGTACAAATTGTACAAAGTAGATAGGCTAACAAACTGGGTATAAACAGTTAATCAAATACACAGTTATAATAAAGAGAATTATTAATTTTTTATGAAAGAACCCTTTTCCAAAATCACATCTTGTTGACACATACAACTTTTGCATGGACTATTTCAAATTATGAACTGAAAATGTAGTTTTTCTTAAAAAGCTTCACTATACACAAGGGGCTACTTGAAATTGAGATATACATAAAAATATCTGCAAGATAGATTAAATGGCCAGAAATACCCAGTTTCATTAACCTAAAGTGTATATTGTATAATGACTGCAAAACTTACTGCAAGACCCTGAAAAAATTTCAACATATATTTATTACTTCTTCTCTACCTATGTTATGCATATAAGAAAAAAAATTGCTACATGTAACAAAAAGCTCTGAGACTTGTTTTGTAAGTCTTAAAAACCTAGATACTGGTTAAATGTATAATCTGAACAACTGAAATATTACTGCTGTAGAGAATTCCTCCTTCTGAACTTTAAATTCACTATAATGTCTTTAATTGTCATTAATTAAGAGGAAAATTTTTACTTTGTTTTTTTTTTAATTGGAATAATATTAAATATACGTGCATTGGAAACATGTGGAAATTTTTTTTAAACAAATATGAAGTTAAGAAAATGAAGAAACTTTAAACAGCCTCTACGAGACCTCCCTACTAGCAGAACTGACACAAATGAGCTACCTTTTCGTCGGTACAGGTGAGGAAGTGATTGAAGACCTCGGACTGGGAAATGACCGGGTGTCTGACCATCCTATCTACCCATAGCTGTAGTAACTTCATCCTCTCCGACACAAAGTCATCCTCATAGCGACCTGAAAAGTCACATCAATCATTTTATTACAAATATCACAAAATGTATGAACACAGCCTGGGTTAGAATTTGTTCCTCTAAAGAGCATTAGTTGTACAGATAGTCGGTTGTTGTTTAAACCTGCCAAAGAGAAATACAGAAATAAAACGTTTTACTTTTATGCGATGAAAATTTAGATTCAGTGTAATGTGATAAAACAAATTCCAAACTTTTTTTGATTAACTGTGAATATATAATGCCTTGAAAATCATCTCTATGCATACACTTGTAAATATGTGTGATGAGTTTACAAAACAATTGATTAGAACAGGGGGGAAATATTGCTTGTATTAATTTTCGCATTTAAAACTAAAGCTAATTAGACTGAAATTCAGACAATTTTGCTGAAGAAAAAAAAATCAGAAAGCAAAGGTCCCAATATCATAAATCTGCTACAAAAAGAAAAATTTTATATCTATCACTGAATGAATAATACTGGCCATAACAACTTTTTATAAAAAAAAAAATCCTAATTTTTTTCCTTGTAGAACTACATTTTTTTTATATAGTTATATCACAATTTATATCAATAAAAAGCTGTAATAATAGCATGAAAAAAATGTTTACAATGTTTTATCTTCTAGGTTTGCAACATCTTTCAGTTAAAAGTTTGGCCAACTTATGTCCCTTAGTTACTCAGAAAGGATTTGGTGACTATTCCAACCAGAGTATCTTTGCTAGCCAAGAGTTTGCAGTCAGCTCTGATCTTTAAAAGAGAAGGGGTGGGGACCACAAAGCCTTGGCTAGCAATTTTATTTTCAAAGGCTAGAGCAAGAATGCTTTGAAGTATAAAATCAATACAAGTTTGAGCCAAGCAGTTAAGACATAAAACTGTCCAACAAACCTTACTCTGGGAAGAGTATATGTCATGTATATTGCATTTGCCATTGACATCCTCATGAAGATAATTCCAAAATTTCTTGTTTTACTTTTTTTTAACAAATGATAAATTAGTTACTTGTGAATGATACTCTTTTATTTACACAATGAAAACAACTGTAGTCAATATGAAGATGTCTCATTTTTGACAACAAAAAGTGCACCCACTAAATTTTAACATTATTTATTTCTGCTTACATTTATAATCTTACTTCAATACCTTTTCATGAATCCAAAATAATAAATGGCACTGTTCCATCAAAAACCCATATGATAACTTTCTTACACCTTTCTTTCTAACAATGACTTCTCAAATGTGACTTCTGCATTTCATGTACCGTTAAATAAAAATACACATACAGTGGATCTTCATTATCCCAAACTCAATAGGAAAATGTGAAAGGGACTTTTAAATCATTACAACATATCCAGATTTTGATGTTTGAAATATTGAAGTTCAACTTTACTGACTGTTTTAAACTGTTAATTATAGTAAATCTGTTAGATTCTATTCTAATGACCACTTTCCACTACAAACAAATTAAGTTTCATACCTATTAGTCCTTACTTAGTTCTAATTTTCACATGTTACATACTTCTTTAATTAGTTTTTATCATGCAAAATGAACTTCTACCATATAAAAAATGAATTCCTTTAAAAGCAAACCTTTTGATGAATTTTTTGCTGAAATTCCAAGGCATCAACTTTTAAACCATGACATATAAATGAATGATACTTAGTAAATACATTTTCTACTTTCATACTAAATTAATAATCTCTGAAATTTCTAGCTCTACAATGATACATGTGTCATTCATGATAATGATGTAAACTACATGACAAACTGGTGACGTGTGTGTAAAGGGGGTGGGGGTGGGGGTGGGGGGGGGGGGGGGGGGGCAGGCAGTTGAAGGCAGGTGGGAAAATTTAAACTATAAAGAAAAACCTCCACAAGAAACAATGCATCATTAAATTAATCCTGCAATTTTAAAATAAGGTTAAGCTTTGAACAGCATTAATATGGCAGATTTGAGGATATCCAGTTTTAAGCCGGCCGACGGTATAAATGGCTATGAAGCTGGTTATGCACCAGATACTGGTAAGGAATGGTTGAGAAACTAGTTTTGTGTCTGCATGCCGATAAGGAATGGCTGAAAAGCTACACACCTCCTTTCACCCCCTGAGTTGATATGGAGCCAAAGCCGACTGCAATGAGTTCTCAGTGATAACAATTCCAAAGTGACATTCATGACATCAGCAATGAGTTTAATTGTAAATACATGTAAATGATTATTGAAACTATTCCTATAACAGCTAAAACATGAGCAATCATATATAGTTTCTACTACATCAGTCCTAAGAATCATTTTTCTATAGATAGTGAAACAGAATCTGAATACAGACATCTTGAAACATATATTAAGGGAATACACTAAGATTTTATGATATACACATGTACATACCTGATATTGCCTTATCTGGTAATGGTGGGATAGGAATACATGTGAACTTTGCCTCTAGACGTTCGTGTAACCAGTCAAAGTGTTTGTACCTCCGACTGACCTGAATGTTGCTAAACTACAAAAACATAGCAATAATCAGGATAAACATCAATTATTATTATGTTAAATTTTTTTTTTAAATTCTATAAATCCATATGAACTTAGAACTTCAATAAATAATTTCATTCTACGCATACACCTACAGTTGAACCCCGATATCTCAAACATGGACATCATAAATGCCATGGATATGTCGAAGTGATATGAAAGTCCCAACCACTTATTCTTTAAGTATTTTACCCTGGATATCTCCAATCCTTGGAATCTCAGTCCCAATGAATCCAAGATATCCAGGTTCAACTGTACTTTTATAAATGTTTTTGCCTTAGTGTGCTTGATATTGCCATTACATTAAAGGTATAGAACAAATAGAGATGTCACTTACAGAAGGTGTGAGTTGGTAGGCTATATAGCTCTTCAGTCCTTTTAACTTGCTCTCTTTTTTGGGGGACTTAATGGAGCAGGTGTAGGGCTGGGAGGGATAATTCCAGGCGGGGCCATCTGCTGTCTCCTACAGTAAATATCAATCAATCAGATTCATCTAATTTATATGAAAGTATAATAAACAGTATGATAAATTTGATGAGTGAAAACAATGTCACTTATAAAGCAAACATTAATTTTGTCAATTTTGCTACATCTTTATAATTTTACATCAACAGTAAAGTGTACTTTGTTTGATATAAAGTCACATAAAAAGAGATGAACGAATCGATTGAGTACATTGGAGCCTCATTTATCCGGACCCTTTGGTTCCTAGTCAATTTGGGCAGATATGTGAAGCATACAGATATCTAAATTAACAGTTAAACAAGACAAAATAACGTTAAAAAATTCTGTTCCAATGAAAAATCTTCTGGATACTGAAGTGTCCAGATATCTGGCATCCAGATATATCTGATGGTCCACTGTATATAATTACATGTATATGATAAATATCTATATCATTAAACAAGTCAAAACACAACAAATGAATGAGACATACTATAATTTTGATAAGGTCACTCTCTGATACATTGGCTGAAACTGTTCCCATCAAAAAGGCATCACCACCAGTTTTGGCAAAGGTTGAAAATCTGTGTAAAAAACAGTTCTCATAAATTAAAAACATAATTTCCATGAAATACAGCTTTCAAATTCATACTGAAAGCAAACTTCTTCTTGTGAACAATAAAATAAACATAGTTCACAATTTTTTAAAGTTGGATTCTCACTTTTAGGATAAAATTTCATTAATTTCTGGTTTTTGATTCACTGGCTCACCTGTTGAAGCTCTTCTTGACTGTGCCATACCTGGACACATCAGAATTTGGGGACAGTTGTTTTTTCTCCCTTTTTGGAGCAGATAAACCGAAATTACCTGACCCAGGAAGCTGGTCCTGTAAAAAAGGTGAATAAAATTAACACAAGTCCTACAATACAGGTAAACTATTGTTTATTAACTTTTCATAGACAATCTGTGAAACACCATTCAAGACACATCACTCCACTCCTGTACAAATTTTTTTAATAGACAAATTTAAAAGCACACATAAAAAGATATGTTACTTCACAAAAGTTAACAGACAGACAGACGTTCACTGCAGAACACATGGAATCTCCCTCAATCCAGACCCATGCAATGACTAACAAGTCACTCCACTAAATGTTGTTGTAAGCATGCTTAACTGTAGATTCCCTATTTTCATGCGAGTACAAAATATCTCAAAATGACTTACAGACATCAGATGGTGGAAACTTGGATTCGCTATATGGACTATTGAACAGGGATTTTTACTCATATTTCAGCAATATAAAAAATAAAAATTAAAAGCAAGTAATTTTATTTCACGAGTGTTGGTCCTCACGAAATAAATTACTAGCATATATTTAGGAATCTACAGTATATTGTTTGATTGCATTGTTACTGTTTTACTTTTATTTTTGATTCTCTAGTCTACATAAAACAGGCCCCTCTCCAAGCTGTGCTGACCTTACCTCTAGAAAATCCTGTTCATATTGAATATCAGAGACAGAGAAAAATTATATTATGTGTATACAAGGCAAGCTAAGAAAAATTTGGGAATGTGTTTCAATGATTCAATCATTAACCACTTTTAAGAAGTGGCATTCCTTTAAGCTAGTTGAGAATTCTTTTAAATTGTCTTGATGCCATATACCCTAGTATTAATGTCTGGTAATTAATTCATGAAGATTTATCAAACAACTGTTAAACTAAACCTGTTTGCCTTTACAATGTAGCTGCTAAGTGTTTGATATTTTGACTGTGCAAGAGTACATGTAATATAATAAATTTTTGGTGCTCTGTCTAATATTTTATTTGTGGTGTGCTGATTAGGCCATGCAAAGTTAATTCCTTGGTTCTCAAGCCTTTTTTCAAGAAACATGATGATGGAAGGAGGCATCTTTTTTTGAAAATTTTTTTATTGCCCCAAAAACATGATGAGGCAGCTTTTTACATTGTTCAAAACTACAGAAAATGATGAGGGAGGTGATTTGTTGTTTTAATCTTATTGATTTAGCAATACAAAAGGTCAATGAGGCACCCTTGGAAAAGATGAGGGAGGGCCTGAGAACCAATAAATTAATTTTTTATGGCCTTACAGTTTTTCAGCAACTGTATGACTATGTGCAATATAGTAAAGTATAAATATTGAGCCTGCATTGATTTTCTTGTGATCTGTTGAGGTGTACTTGAGGTGTAGGGGTATTTGAGACAAGGCATTGAATCTATTTTTTTTTTTAACTGTGTACTGAAGGTTTAGGGGTATTCGGAGACTTGATATAAATGACTACCTCCTCAATTATTACTTCGAGAGATGGATCAGCAGCTACCGGTTCTACTGTCATTGTAAGTGGACCATCAGGCTTTGTCTCAATTAGCTAATAATATGTCACTTGAGTTACTTCAAGGTTTGTTAACTAAAAATTCATGTTAAAATTCTACTGCAGCTATCTTTGTATTCTACTAAAGATATTACAATATATCAAAAGAGAGACTGACAACATGCATTATGTACTTTTCTTAGCTTTGACTACATGCACTATGATTGAGCTTTTAAATGATAATGCAAGAGCAAATTTTATCCCTTTTGTCAAAACTCAGTGAAAAATTACTCAAGGATATTAAATTTTGGCAAAGCATGTTTAAATAAACCACCTTTAAATACCCATTTTTATATTTACCTGTATTAGTTAAAGTGTAATGACAACTAACTGTTATTTGTCATATTCACATGCAGATGTTTAGATAAATAACTTTCTGAGTTGAGCATTGAATCGATGAGTTTCTGCTTGAGCTGTCTAACTCAGTAAGACTTATCCTCAGTGCCTTCAGTCCTCACCTGGCTTGTGTTAGTTGTCCCTGATGAATCATCGTTATCGTCATCCCAATCATCGTCCCAGGTTTCCTCACTCGCTTGATGAGGCACCCCTCCCCCGTGGTACCCCTGATTGTTGTGGTTTGTGTAGTCCGGGGCCACAGGGGGTTCTTGATCCCAGCTGTCCGTGGTGTGGCTGTTCCAATCACCTCCCCCTACATGTGGAGTATTCCAGTCATTACCCCCTCCTTGCTGGTGGTCCCAGTGATCATTACTGGGTGCTGATGGGGGTGGGGGTGGAGGGAAAGATGGTTCTGGTGGCTCCAACAGCTTAAAAAAACCCAGCTAATTTCTTAAACAACTTTATTTCAAACCAAATATCTCTAAAAGTATTTAGAAAGAATTGAAAAAAATGTAATGACTCAAAAATGTTAAAACAATAAAATATAAATTGATGTCATTTAAGAAAGCATGACAAGTCTTAATTCTTTTACATTTTTATCAAAATTAGAATCCAGCTATAGAAAAAAAATAGCATTTTTAAAGAGTCAAACAAATCAGAATTCTGTGATCCTAATAATTCCCATCAAAATCACAAAGCAACATTTATCTTGATATACACAGTCAACTGATGTACCAATTTATATTGAAATTCTGTAAATATTATTAGAGGAGAAGCATTAAGGTTCATAAACCCTCTGCTCACTCATATAAAATTTTGCTTGAACCTTAATGATATTCCAAAAGAACTGTATTTTATAAATTAAATTCAAACAATTAACGATATATACAGTCAAAATTGATTAACAATTTATATTAGAAATTATGTAAATGTTATCTCCCTCATCAGAGTATCAATGAACCTTAATAAGAAAGACTTTATGGATACAAAAGTTACACCATTCATACAAATTAAGAATTAAATTATATAAACTTTAATTTTTTCCCCCTTGCATATTTCCGATTGTAAAAAATCAGAGGTTACATTACTACAGCTAGAATTGAATGTTTTCAAGATGACAAAGTGTAAACTGTTGTAAACAATAATCTTCTATATGCTAGCATGTTATTTTTTTATGATGTATGATAGGAGGACATCTTGACCATACCTGTACATAGGCCTCCGGGATAAGTCCCTGCTCACCCGTTTCATTTTTGGCTTCCCACCAACCTTCTCCTATGTCCTAAAATTAACAAATCACACTTTATCAAATACAAGTATAAGTACATTGTTTTAAAGTATAAAGGTTTATATAAAATAGCCATAAATCACCTAAAACAACAAAAAACAAAAATGTGAAAAGATATGTTATATTATTGATACACTAAAAACATGTCTCCATTCTACAAAATAAATGCAAAGTTCATATAGATCGAGGTTATAATAGAAATAAAAACCTCCCTCCCTCCTTACCAACCCAACTGCCCAAAGGAATTTCCATCGAAATCAAAGGTCAAGGTCATTTGTGTTCATATTGTTTAAAATTCAGTAAAAGTTTATGTTAAAATTTATTACGATATGGATATGAAGACTTCAGATTGTAAAGAATGAATTTTAGCGGTCTGAAAATATTACTAAAAAATTGGAAATATATTGAAAATAAACCCCCTGCTGATATATGAAATTGTTGATTTAATATAATATATTAAACCCCGCAATATTTTGAACCCGGGTTCAAAATATCTGCTGATATATGAAATTGTTGATTTAATTTTATTTATGGTCATAAAATATTGAGTCCCCCTGCCCATTTAATTTAAGAGGGAGGGGGTTCAAAATATTATGCGATATTTCGAACCCGGGTTCAATATATCGCGGTATCAAAATATTATGCTACACCGATAATACTTTTGATTTTGAGAATTAGAATACGAGAATATCCATTTCCACCCACATTTACACAGCTCTTTAAATCTGAGCAAGTAGCTCATACCATTACTTTAATTTTTTTTTTTGCTTTGTCATATTATATCACAGGAAATGTGCATGCATATTTTACTGTACACTTTACTTCACATTCATTATTCAGATTCATACATGCAGTTACCATACTACCAACTAAAAAATTTCTGTTATAAATACACCAATGTTACACATGCAGGAAGATAGCTTCCTATAATCATATAAATGATCAAACAAGAAGATAATGACAAATTGAGCACCTTAAAAACAGGGATTTTTTTGTCAATAAAATGTGTTTTCAGATTTTTGTTAACCTCCCAGCTATGTCAATGACACAAGAAAGTAATAGTTTAACAAATATTTGGAGTCTGTAGATATGTATCTAGGACAAATATTATCTGTTTACTCTCTCTCTTTCTCTCTCTCTGTACGCATGCAGTCACATTGTTTATATAATACAGGTCATCATCGGAATGGATTACAGTTATAATAGTACACTATACAGTCAAGTACCATCAAACTTGTTCACTGAATGTTACAGGGCATTACCTAAACCCCACAACCAATACTTAACAAAACATCAATTCATAACTTTTGTATCTCGAACATATTAGATGTACTGAATACCATGGATATATCAAAGTGATTTGGAAGTCCAATGAGCATCTTTTCTATAATCCATGTACTGTATAAGCATATTTTTACCTTCAATATATCTCAAGATTTTTTCTCAGTTCCTAATAACAAGGATTACATCAACTTTTGTGTTTTAATTTTTGAGGTTTGAGGAAAAATATTGGTTTGTGGGAATTTGATTTAGTGATTGGAAAATGTTTAGTAGTACATGTAATGCATATGAAATTTTAACATTTCATGGTGGTCGTAAGTTCGTGGGTCTTTCCACATGAAAATTAAAACCCCACGAAAATTAGGGATTTCACAGTATATATATATATATATCTAGATTTAACACATCCTACCAAAAAAATTCTTTGCCTCAATATGTCTGATTTCAATATGTATATATATATATATTGAAGTTATCTACAGAGTCCAAAGTTCTCTGGCCGAGCAGATTTAAAAGCTAATGACAAGTAAAATAACACTCTGCATGGGTACTGACTTTCAAGCTAAGTAGTGGATATAAAGACCTTTATGGATTATTGTTCCAGTGGGAACTTGCTCATTAGAACACCAATTAAACCAAAATATTTGGAGAAGAATTTAATAATGGTAAAAAGAAAAAAATATTATAAGATTAGCATCAAATGTGCTCTGCAATAAGCATTCAATAGGAGAAAGAATTCTCGGTAAGGGATTCTGGGCCCCCACCCACCCATCCCTTCTAATTTTCATTGTTTGTAAATTTTTCAGGTATATAAACTGACAAGGTAAAACAATATATCCTAAAAACGACTCTGAAAACTCTCAGCAGAAAAAAAAATCCTTCCAAAACATACATGTATATTACAGGTAACAAGTCCAAGGACTGTAACTCCTAAACCTGTTTAAATTTATCACTGAATCAGTTCAGAATTGAAACTTGATCTGTAAACATATTAACTTTTATGTAAAGTGTTCATTCACACATTTCTATAAAAAAAAAAAAATTATGTGAGATGAAATGCGCACTTGATCTGCATAATTCATCAATGTCAACTCACATCTCTAAATCTGAGTGGGATAGACTAACTGACAGACAGAATAAAAGACAGACAGATACAGGAGAAACCTGGAATTCCCCTCCTGTTTCACTGAAAGGTACTAATAACCCGAGTACCATAGTTTATCTTAATGATTACGACACTTCTTTTTTTTATAGCATTATCAATTAACAAACACAAACACTAAAGGTAAATGTTTGTGATACTTAGTCAAGCATGTAAGTACAAAATAAATCCGCAAGAGTGAATCAACACTTAAAAATTAGCTCATCAGGAAGCTTCTACCTCCAAAATAATGAGGAATGCCTGGTGTCTAAGTAGGCAAAATACGATATTTCCCCTTACTGGTAAAAACAGCTGACTGGTCTAATGGGTCTCTGTCCAGTAAACTAATGAGTAACTATCTCACGAAAATCCACAACAGTGACATTTACTAACGGCTATTTCATAGGTATATGTATAACCTTTAAATCATGGTAATTGGATTATCAATCCAGAGTATATTTACTGTGTTTATAATCTATTCATTGCATACAGCGATACAGACTGAATTGTACTTCTTCCTCACAAAGACACGACACCTACAACACATACAAAGGAATTTTATGACCTTGCTGTAAACACATTTATACAAAATAGTTTATAGAACATGACATAGATTGCAGTCAGTTTCCATGGCTGAGTGTCTTGTCTTCATTCAAGCATTTAAGAATGATCTTCACAACATAATTAACATGATTAAGATTCTGTTTATTTGATAAATAACACTATTTATTCATAGAACAGGCTTTTGTATAGAAGTATAATTAACGATTGGTTGTGATGTGAGAAATACAAACGACTTCATGGTAACTTTACACAATATTGTTTGAACACCTTGCCACAAACATTAATATCTATGGCAACTGTCCAAACCTTGCCAAATTTCTACATACAGTAAAACCTGGTTATAGCAAAGTCCTAGAGAATATTTACTAAGCTAAATTCATCATCCAAATAACAAATATAACTAGAACTGTCCAAACGGGACAAAATACCATCCGCTGGGTTTTTCAGAAGTAAGTTTTTCCATAATAAAGATACGTATCACACATGAATTATGAAATTTTTCTTCCAGTGACCTTGAAGTTCCCCAAATGACCTTGGATCAAGGTTATGACACACCCTTGGGTCATGGGCAATCTTTGTGTGGAATGAGAACCTACCAAGTTTATCCAAAAGAAAGATATGGACCGGACACAAATTACGAATTTTACTTCCAGTGACCTTGAACTTCCCCAAATACCTTGGGTCAAGGTCTTGACACACCCTAAGGTCATAGACAATCTTTGTGTGAAATGAGAACCTACAAAATTTATCAATAAGAAAGATATGAAACGGACACAAATTATGAAATTTTACTTCCAGTAACTTTGAACTTCCCCAAATGACCTTGGGTCAAGGTCATGACACACCCTAAGGTCATGGGCAATCTTTGTGTGAAATGAGAACCTACCAAATTTATCCATAAGAAAGATATGGACCGGACACGAATTATGAAATTTTTCTTCCAGTGACCTTGAAGTTCTCCAAATGACCTTGGATCAAGGTCATGACACACCCTTGGTTCATGGGCAATCTTTGCATGAAATGAGAACCTACCAAGTTTATCCATAAAAAAGATGTGGACTGGACACGAATTATGAATTTTTCTTCCAGTGACCTTGAAGTTCCCCAAATGACCTTGGGTCAAGGTCATGACACACCCTTGTGTTATGGGCAATCTTTGTGTGATATGAGAACCTACGAAGTTTATCTATAAGAAAGATATGGACCGGACAAGAATTATGAAATTTTTCTTCCAGTGACCTTGAAGTTCCCCAAATGACCTTGGGTCAAGGTCATGACACACCCTTAGGTCATGGGCAATCTTTGTGTGGAGTAGTAGATTCTAATGTCCCTCCGTAAGAAAGATATGGACCGGACACGTTTGCACAGACAGACGGACAGCTAGACAGACTGACAAGGTGATTCCTATATACCCTCCCCCCAAACTTCATTTGCGGGGGTATAATGAAAGAAAAAGTGAGCAAGCTCACATACGCCTTACTCCCCCCAAAAGTTGAAGTGCTGAAATTCCCTGAAAAAATTAAGGAATCAGAATTTCCTGGTAATATGCACATCTACAGATTGTGTCCTAAATGTCTGCAAAGTTTGACAAAATTGTATTTTATAAGGAACACACAAACTGGTACATCTTCATAGTCACACATGGCCAAAAATCACATGTTGAAAAGTGCAGAAATTCCCGTATATTAAAATAAGGGATCAGAATTTCCTGGTAATATGCACATCTCACATTGTGTCCGAAATATCTGCAAGGTTTGACGAAATTGTGTGCAGCGGTTTATGAGGAGTTGTGCTGACAAACAAAAACAGGACTGACACACTGACTGACGGACAGGTCAAAAACATTATACCTCACGCAAGTTGTTGCGTGGGGTATATAAAAGTGCATATAGTGAACTAGCTAAATCAATATATGGTATGTTAATTTTCTTCAAGAGTAACTATGTATTTCCAGGAATGTATTGAATAAATTTTTGAAGTTTTCTAATGAATTGAAATAAATTATAATAATTGCTATAAACAGTAGTGTTTGTACCATAAAGTTTTTACTGTATTTACGTTAACTTTCCATATTTTTTTTTTCAAAATGCCACATTTCTTAACTCTGAGTAACAAATGCACTGTTCACCTGAAATGTTACACCTGTAAATTAATTAGATTGATAATATGTCATTAATCATTAAGCTGTGTTAATTGTGAGCTATATCATACTGCACAAGTTTGTCTTGTTTGAGTCATTTTGAGAACCTCATTGAAACACATTGATTATATATGTCTATAGTTACCCAATGATATTTTATTTCTGAATTATAAAAACTTACTAGAAATTAAATACCATGGAAACACCAGTGATCAATGTTAATCATGTTAATCAAATTGATTCAATAAATGAAATTGAATTTAGATGTAATTAAAATCTTGTTTTAATGAATATTGTCAGTTTCCTCTAAAATCGTTAAGGGCCTTGATCCTTATTCAACAAGCAATGATATTGTTCTAGGTAAGTCATCATTTGTAAGTAGTTTTAATAAAATATCTTCCTTAATATCTAATATCTAATAATATATATATGTATTAACAATTTGCTGTGTATACACATTTACAATAGGACAACAGTGCTACAAAGTTATTGTGTTGATACTGATAAATAAGGTTCAATACTTGATATCAGTGAATATTTGCAAGAAGGAAATGTTTTCTATAATTATCTATTTGTACATACTGAAACATGAACTTCAAACACAATAAGATGAAAGTTCAAGTAATTAGTTACACTTAATTGGGCAAATATTAATTTGGCACATATAAAATAAGTTTCATTCAAAACCTTATAGGTACCATGGGCAAACCCTGTAAATTATACTTCCCATTGCCATTTTGAAATTGGTGCATCCAATATTCCTCCATGAGGATTCAGGGCTTCTAGATATAAAGTAATAGACCAGACACAATTTTTTTCTGCCAGTAACCTAACTCAGGTCATAAGCAATTTTGTATAAAGCATAAATTCCAAATAATTCAAGTAATGGTGAAAAACGATGCACTAACAGACAGACTAACAAGATGATTCCTCTACATGTACAGGTATAAGACATATGTATGGGTCTTTCCCCTGTCACTTCCAGGGCAGAGCACCTACAGTAATATAAAGGGAGAGGAGAATGCAACAGACCAGGCCAGGATTTGAACCCAGGCCCCCTGAATCTCTTGTCAAATGCTCAACCAACTGAGCTACCAAGACACCAGCAATAAATCCAATTTGACAGACACACTTCGTGAAAATCTTCCAAAATGTTCTAGTTTTTAAATTTTACCAGTCAGAGGTCATCGACAAAAATAAAGACACATGTTTAAAAAAAATTAAATTAAAGTTTTTTCTTATTTAGAAGCAATAATTGTAATGTTTATTTATTACTTATAGTACAAATTTCAATATAGTTCCATCACATATTTGCTATGGTTAGGATTCATAGAATTGCATGTTATCATTACTTTTTTTTCATTTCCAGATATAATAGCTTAGCGTCATTTACAATTTTACATTGTGTACTAATTTTTGGGAAAAATCCCGATTTTTATGAACACCGTAGGCCAAGGGTTTATGAGGAGAGTCTTACCTGTGTATGATTGTGAGGCAATTTTTGACAGACACACTTTGAAAATCTTACCTGTGCTTTTTTATTTTACCAGAGGGTTTTCCCCACTTAAATTTTACCTGTGCTTTGATTGTGAGGGTTTTCCCAAGGAAATCTTACCTGTGCTATGATTGTGAGGGTATCCCCAGGAAATCTTACCTGTGCTATGATTGTGAGGGTTTCCCCAGGAAATCTTACCTGTGCTATGATTGTGAGGATTTCCCCAGGAAATCTTACCTGTGCTATAATTGTAAAGGTTTTCTCCTGCTCTAAATATTACCTGTGCTATGATTGTGAGGGTTTTCCCTGTAAATCTTACCTGTGCTATGATTGTGAGGGTTTTTCCCTGTGCTATGATTGTGAGGGTTTCCCCAGTAAATCTTACCTGTGCTACGATTGTGAGGGTTTCCCCAGCTGCGAATGTCAGCTCACCATTATCAACATCACCAGCAAAGTCATATAAACCCCTGGCGTGAACAACCTACAAAATTCCAAAAAATGAAAGAGGGTCAGAAATTCAAAATACAAACAAACAGCATGTGAGCATAAAAGAATGCCTTTTCACAGCTAATTTAATGCTTAATTTGACAGTAAAGAACATATAAATTTCCACTCAGAATCAATCACTAAATAGAGAGACAGACTTTCTATTACCTTTCTCACTGTTAGCATGCTAAATCACTGGCAGTTTCTGAGTTTGCCAAGATAGCATCTAGAACATCCTTCCTATTTCACTGGCAGTAACCACTGCCAGGCATTCAATGACCCTTACATTGAAACACCAACTTTACACTTTCTAAAAACTCTCCAACATTTCCAATGTTAAAGGTCATCTTCCTTACAATGATACAAGTAATTTCTAATCATTTTTATCACAAGGTATACAAGAAGAGGTGAAGAAACCTTTACAATTTTCTGGAAAATGACAAATGAACCATAATGCAAGGTAAATGATGAAAAACAACAGAAGCTTATTTTTCCAGCAACATTTTCTGCAAAAAGAATTATCTTTTGGGAGGTAAAATGGATAGAAAATTTTATATCTTGTTCTATCAACAAGTATGTGAACAAAGATATGCTAGAGACCTGCTTTTATTTTGAAAGAAAATCCAACTAAAGGAATAAAAATTTTGTGTGAAAGCTTCTCAAGTTATTGAGTTTTAAGTGTCTGATTGTAAGATCCCCATTCAAAAGTTGTATTCTACAACTGCAAAACATTTTACATGTTTGGGTGTGAATTTTTTTACATGGAAGAACACATGACATTGTAAACATACACAAAAAATATATGCTACAATTAATCTGCTTATAGCCTAATTTTTTGACACAAACTTTTACATATCTGTATCAACAGAGAACATGGAGAATATATATAATCTAGATAAATGAAAGTTTCAAACATACTTGACATTATTTGGTAGTAATAGATCAGAACTTCCTTTCAACAATAGAAAATCTCAAGTACAACTACTTCTGTACTGCCTAAGCTTAAGTTTTGTTTTTCTATGCTCAACTTTCTCCACACATTCATGTCCATTAACTCAGGCTATATACATGTGCATGTACAGGTATATTTGCTCAGATGACCTACATGTACTTTCCAAAATTATCCTTATCGCATAAAGATAATTTATTTTATTATTTACTAACAACTCCCTCCAAGCTGTCTGCTTCTTTTGCCTCAATTTTTAAGTATTTCATTCTTCTAAAATTTATTATCGATAAGATTTTTAAAAACCAATTCTTTTGTTGGAGGAAAGAGGAAGGCTAAAGTGATTAGATTTCTAAATGAAACTAGACAATAGGCATGCATTAGAACTGCAAGGGAACACCCCATCCCTACCCACCCCCACTATTTTGGCAAAGATAGACATAATATACGCATTTAAAAATGGCTTACCTTTTTTGTTGGATTAGCCTCCCACATTCAAAAAGCCCCCCCCCCCCTTTAAATTTGCTTCAGACTCCTATGTAAACTCTGTTCACAGAGATTCCTATAATATGTATCAAATGTATTAGAGCTAGGTGAAAGAAAAGCTTCCAGAGATTACCATGTTTACATATTAATATATATAAAGCTAGTGAGCATTTATAGATTTCAACCATAGATCTCTCTGTTACATCTTCCCAATTTACAATTTTTTTAACCTATGATATTGCTCTTTATATGCACAGGTAGAATCTGTTTGTAGATGTACATGTGTGAATACACATTCATACAGACACTTCTTATTTAGACTTTTCAAATTGATCAATTGAGCAATTTTTCTCCAAAGGATGTGCTAAATAAATTTGTATACAAATATATGTATAACTATTTCAATGAGCATGGACACACATATTATATGAATTGGCTATTGATTATTGACTTGCTTAAAATAGGATACAAACATAACATTAAACATCATTATGGTTATCAGTATCAGCCAAATCATGCAGTCCAGCAAGTACCTGTCTCACTCTGGGTTAACTACTACCAGTACATGTACATGTATCTCCAAAACTCTATTGATAAAAATCACTTATTTGTTTTTCTTGTGTAAGACTGTCAATGTTCATCAAGGTCATTCGGGTGGTCAATGATCTAATGGTCACTATTCTAAGATGAACTTCTGTGATGAACATTATGCCATACATACTCCCCAACAGTAATAATACTCATAAGATATAGACACTGCAGTGACTTACTGACAGACATACAGGAAAACTTGGGCAGGGTGAGTTTGATCTGACAATGGATGTCTTAAAAATTTGTGGCATTTTCATGAACCTCTGTAAAATGTATGATGTATACACTGGTATAGTAAGTTAATCCCTTCAGTTCTTTGGTATTTATTTTTGTCCAACAGATTTAATTTGTTTTAATTACTGACATCCTGTTATAAAATTACATTTTACTCTATCATGTATACATCCTAAGGTATAATTCACACAATAGGGCACTCAATAGATTTAGTTATTCATTGCAAAATAAATATTTTACCAATGATTAATAAATATACTCTGTTTAAGGACTCTCTTTCTATGTAATATCCTGTTATCTTTTTTGTATATAATATGTATATTGTTCTGCTGTATAAGAATACTGAATATGTCCAAAATTGATGAAATATAGCAGAGTTCTGCCAAATTTCTTTACCCAAAGAATGAAATACATAAACAATTAAATGATCAAATTTAATAATTTAGATCTTTGCTGTGCACCCCATAAAAAACAACCTTAGATATATGGTCAGGGTTTTAATCTAGAGCATATTTACTATGGATATTCGGTATTTTTCCCCAATAAAAACCTTCCCCTGAATATCCCATTTCCCCCTTTTGATAAGTAAAAAATTCCTCTGACATTGATAAGATCAAATAAAAAAAAATTTCATAATAAAAAGTGGAAATTTAAATTAAAAATGTTCAGAGGATGTGTAATATGGTTTTACTGATATTTAATGCTCTTTAGATGGTCATTAAAATGATAAAATTCAGCTGGGCCTCTCATTTCTGCTTGCCTCGCACCAGCTGGGGATCTGGAGTGGACTCAGACCCCCAACTGATTTTCCCCAAAGAGCGTAGTTTCTCCCAAAACCTAAGATTAATCTCTGAAGGATGATATATGGAAATAACAAAAAGTAATCAAAATGGGAGCAGAGCAAATACGGACTTCTGAAAACATCAGTTAGTGGGATCTAGCGCCATGGAATAGTATGCACCCCATGTTGACTGGAAACACCCATTGTGTGCTCCTTCTTTTTATTGGGCAAATGGCAATCCATGTGTAAATGACAGCCTAATAAATAGTGTGAAATTTGTCAGTCCATACTCAACCAAATGATAGGTTGTATTCAATAAAATTCAAGTCATTACTCTACAACTTGCGATTTGTTGACTTTTATCAAGAATGATGAAACAGATATCATTGTTTCACCAACTTGTTTGTCAATAGCACTCTTTTTTTAGAAATCGCTAGTACATAAAGCATGATTCTGCTTATCGAATCAGCTAAAAATAATTATAAACTTCAAATGCAAGTGAAAAGGGTATATTGCTACATATATAATTAGGAAAGATAATGAAAGAAAAGTTGAAGTCATCATGTTTATCTGACATGAAGTTTTGTTGTTATGGCTAGGCCTGTAGGTTACCATTAACACAATTACGATACTTTTTAAGTAGAATATCCAAATATGAATTGCATAGACTATTGGATATCTTTCATTCTAATCCCACTTGAATATATAAAATTATATTGAGTTGACATATGAATGGAAGTAAATATGATTGATTGTATCATTCGAGCTAGCTAAAAAATAATAAACATGATGATAAAAACGGTATATCCATTGTTTTTGTCAAATTTTGGATTGAAATAAATCTGTCCACATACACGTTTTAACATTTGGACACCTGTCTGACTGATTCACACGTGTCTTTTGACAATCTTCGTATGATTAAGGGGGTGTCATATTTATCATATCAGTGTTCAAATCAAGGGGCGGTTATCCAACAAAAACTCGTAAATAAATTCAAGATGACAATTTATCGTAGAAGATAAATAGAGTTGAATACCAAAGAAAAAAGAATATCTCGAGATATGTTAGTGAACTCCTATTTAACGATATTTGTCGGTGTTCACACTTACCATATCCGCCATACTACTTCGTGTTGAAATTGAAAATCAGCGCCATCTGTAAACAAAGAACATTCGACAGGGGCGGTCACCAGGGGTGGTGATTTCTCGAGATGAGCAACAGACATCGTACGATAGATCTATAGGCAATACCTATCGATCGATCGATCGAGAGAAAAAATGTTATTCTTTTTTTATAACTATTTTAAACATATTTTTAATAAATCATATTTATTGATAAGATAAGCATATTAGCATGATTAGATTTACTTGTTTTTTATTTTATTTTAATATTTATTTTTTTTTTTTTTTGAAAAATGTAATCCTTCTAAGTTCATATAAAGAATTAAATATTTTTATGAATAGGACATCTCAATAAGAAATATCTATAATATATCCATAATTCATCCCAACCCTATAAGCATAGATTGATTTATTATTATTTAAATTTGTTTTATTTAAATTTTTTTAGGAAACATGCAATCCTTCTAAGTTCATATGAAGAATCAAATATTTTATGAATAGCGGCTTCTCCATAAGAAATGTCTGTCATTCATCCCAACCTTTAGGGCTTTCCCCTTTAGGAGGGGGAGGGGGGCTATGAGCCCCTCTTGGGTACATTTCAAATTTTGGATCTACCCTTTAAAAGAGAGGATAAAAAGACGGAAAGGGGGGGGGGGGTCCGTGATTATATATACGGTATATATAGTATATATACCCCCTGCCTGTGTTTGTTTTCGTTTTTGCTTTGTTAGGGAGATAATTTCAAACTTTTTTCTACGCTAAACTTTATTAATATCAACCTAGGCTTATTTGACTACACTGCATTGAAAAAAAATAGAAATCAACTGCGGAACATTTTCCACATGTCCAATAGTAAAAAGTAAAGCACGAAAAGGGGGCGTGCGGCCCGTAGCTGATGCTAGGTTAATGTAAAATTCGTACAATATCCTACTGTTTATAGTTACAATATCATACGAACTATAAATAGCATGGTTTAAAATCTTTTCATAAGGCGAAAAAAAAAATGAGAAACATCCCTTTACCTCTTAAAAAATCAGAAAAGGAGAAAGAAATACACTGTACCAATCAAACCCAATTTTAGTGGGGTGTGGGGTGTGGGGTCCCCCTCTTTTGATTAAAAAAATGAAAAGCCACCCCCTCCGTCAAAGTTATATGATATTCCAATGATTTATTTTAATCTATGCATTTCTTTAATTAAAATTAATTTATTATTAAGAGAGAAAAACTACGTTCTTTGCAGACGAGCACCATGCTTCTTTATTGGCCTATCTCTTTTTATATACATGTACCTATCAAGCAGAATTTATTTTAAAACTTATAAAAGAAGGAAAAAAAACATATCCGTCCCCTTGATTTTGCAAAGTAACAAAATTTTATGCTAGACAAGGTAAAAAATGACCCTGGACCCCCCCCCCCCTCGGACCAGTGACACTAACTCACCCCTCCACCCCAAAGAAATAAGTTGTATAATCTCCACTCATTATTTGACAGACTATACCTCAAATAATACAACAACTATGCTGTAAGCCAGGCTAGCTTAGTGGGAGCAGCTGGCGTTTATTTTGAAAAAACAACACATAAATATTGAACATACATTACATTGTATGTGAAACAATAAAGCACTGCAATCTATTTGTAAATTATATTACATGAAATAAATTATACCCTATCACCGACATTAAAAACCGCCCAGGCAAAAACCATAGACGGTTAACTATGGAAAACCTGTGTCCGTCGCTATGTAAATAATGTCTCAAGGGAGAATGTCGGACGTACATTCAATGCAGTACTTGAAAAATGCCTGAACACCCTATAATGTTTGCATGTATAAAAAAATCGAAATTAAAATTCACTCCAACAAAATTGTTTCTTCTATTACCGATATATTTATACAAACATGACAAATATTATATATATATATATATACATAAATAAAATTAAAAAACACGTGTGTGTGTTGAAGAGCACTGGCTTAGAATGATTCGAACACCTTACTGAATACTGCTTTCTCATTGGCCTTCCTTTGACCACGCCTACTATACAGGCAAAAACCAATAAAATACGTTCCTATCATACAATGTTTTCCCGCTATACTACGAAACGCGGGAAAACACTAGTATAATCTCCACTCATTATTTGACAGACTATACCTCAAATAATACAACAACTATGCTGTAAGCCAGGCTAGCTTAGAATATCTAGTTCAAAAGTTAGTGGAAGAAAAAAGATCATCGACAAAAAATATAATAATAACAATAACAAATTTTTTATTTATTATAAAATAATCTCTATTTCAATATTTGAAATTGGTAGATAATATCATAGCCCTAAGTTTTTAGAAACTGACAATCTACTGTCCAGACTGTCTTGAACATAACCGTCTTTCGCTGAATCCGACGCCCAACGCCCATGTTTTTTCCAACACCTATCGTTGATGTCCGAATTGGCCGCTGCCGTGGCTCCGCCAGCGCGCAAAGAATGAATGCCTATGTTAACATCACCAATAATGCTCTTGAGTTTTGATATAATACATTCTCTCGCTCGTGTATAGCTAAGTTTTTTGTTTTTGTACACCAGATTAATTTTTCCTTTTGAATTGAATGTAGGTTTGAACAAAAAATGATTTGAAGATTTTTCGATGCATCCCAACTCATAGTATCGTAGTAGCATTTTGACAGGACAGGCGGATGTAGAACCACTTGATATAACTATTTCATTTCCTTGCCTGTATTGGTCGGTTTTACTTTTACGTATGAACACTTTTATGTAATTTTCCACGAAAACTATGTCGGAACAAGCTAATGAACTGAGCTCGTCAAATCTTAGAAATCCTGCGAAAGCTAATAAAATCATGGAAATATCCCTCACGTCTACGAGATTGGTACTGTTGGAGTAAAGATTACACAAAGCTATTAGATCTTTAGCGGAAACTGCCGCCTTTTTGGATACTTTGGATTTGTTGTGACGTCTGGAACTCTCTAACAAATTCTTCACAAATGGATGATCGGTAGGATCAGAGTAACCCAAAATGGAATGTGCCCACTTGATGGCATAAACTGCACTTGAAACCACGTGAAATGAACATCCAATATTTAAAAGATGAGTTAGATACAACGAAATATGCACAGAATTAGCGGGAACTGACCGCTTTTTCTTGTTATATATAAACCTACACCACCTGTTAAAAGCTGACATGTATTTTTTACTCGTATTTACACTTTTTGATTTCAGAAGAAAATCACACAGCTTCCTCGCTAGAATGGCATTTTCCGAATCTTCTAAATCCACACCCGCTGATTTAACCACTTCCTCTATGGTCTTGTCCAAGCTTAGGTCTGCAAAAAATACATAAGTAATATATAAAACAAATGCCTAATATACATGTAATTCTAGAACTGTAATCTAAGAATGACCATATCAAATATTTTGTGCCCACCGAAAATACCATTGTCCCCTTTTCCCTTTTGGGTTATCAAGGATGTTGTATGTTTAATTTCTTTCACGAAATATTGCCATTTGTCCCCCTGTTTTAGAAGTGGCCAATAAGGAGCAGACTTCCAGACAGGAACTATTAAAGTACCCTTGCCTTTATCTGATTTCAATTTAAGAACGGTTTTACCGATAAGTCTGGGTGGGGGTACTAACCAGTGATTATCCTCACCCCAACCTTGACTAAATGCATCGACCCCTTTTGTGCCTGTACACCACCACCTTGAATTAAATGTTTTACATTTTGTGTTATAATCAGTAGCGAACCTGTCACATGTATGAGGGCCCCAGTTTCTGTCAATGTTTTCAAACACATGAGATTTAATTCCCCAATCATCGCTATCAAAACACCTTCTCAGAGCATCTGCTCTTGTGTTCTTTTCTCGTGGTACCCAAATGCTATTTAAAAGCACATTTTTTGTGGCACACTTATCATGTATTTCTTTTGCAATACTGTGCAAATATGGTTTTTTACTGCCCACCTCTAAAATTCTACAAACATTTTTATTATCATTGTACCAATTGACTTGTCTATCCTGAATACTTTCTCCTATGGTATTCAATGCTCTATTTACAGTTTCGAGTTCTCTCCAAGTAGAACTCCGACAAGACTCCTCGCTTGTCCACGTACCAAACGTTTCTGAATCACTGATTCCTTCTATAAAAGCACCAAAACCTGTATCTGATGCATCACTGTATACATTCAAATCAGATTCCTTTTCTTGACATTTTATATCAGAACCGTTTAAATGCAATAAATTTTGTTTCCAAAATAACAACTCTTCTTCAGACCCTGAACTTAATCTTACCTGCGAGTTCCAATTAATTCTCTTAAGAATAACGTCATATAGACACCTTGTATAAAATCTTGCCGCATGTCCTATAGCGGCTTCCATAGAAATGATTTGTCCTACGATACTTGCTATACGCCTTACCTTGAAAACAAGCTGACCTGATTGTACTTTGTCTAAAATTTCACTGATATTTGCAAGTAATTTTTCTGTTCTTTCAGAAGTGATCTTTATACTGCCCTTTTCAGTGTTCCACTCAAACCCTAACCATACTAAATTTTGTTGAGGCTGCCATACACTTTTTGAATGTGCCACAACAAAACCCAATTGTTCTAAAGAAGTCTGAACGAAGTTACTAATACTTACAGCTTCTAGGAAATTATTTGATCCAGCCAGACCGTCATCTAGGTACATAATAACCCTAATACCTGTTCCTCGCCAATATTGAACTACCTTTCTCAAAACTTTTGTGAATATGAATGCGGCAGACGAAATACCAAAGGGTAAAACATTGAACACAAAATATTTCAAAGTGCCGTCATATTCCCAGTGAAAACCTAAATATTTTTTATGATCTTCAAAAATTTCTATATGATGGTATGCTGACTTCAGATCAAAACTAAATAAAAAATCACCTTTGTCAAAAATATCGCGAGCAACTTTTGTGTCTTCCATTCTAAAAGGAAAACTATGTATACATTGATTAATGTGTCTACAATCCAAAACTAAACGAGCGTTACCCGTCTTGTTGAATGCAACAGTTAAAGGATTTACAACGTGAGGTATGTCCTTGACCTCGGTTACACAACCTTTCTGAATGAGTTTTTGTATTTCTTTGTAAACAATCTCACCGTTATCCCGAGCCGTCTTGTTATTGTTAAGAAACACGCGACTCGGCACGTTCTTAAATGGTATTTTATATCCGTTTCTCAAAATATCTAAAATATAATCATCGGCCCCAATACTTTCCCATTTTGACAAATGAGCCCTTAAGCGACCGACTGGACTTTCGTTTTCATCTACTGTTTCTAAACATACGCTCTCGTGTTCGATTAAATTCTCTGCGTGCTTAGCTTCATTAGCGCCAATATTCCTAAACAGTTTGATAGAAATACTATCTAATATACTTATCTTAGAAACTGTTTCCTTATTTGTGCACTCTTTAGCCCAATGCCCTGTAAAACCACACTTGAAACAGGTTCCCGGTTTTCTACTGGCTTCAGCTTTGCTTGACCGCTCCTGAACACTTTTCTCTGGGGGTGCATAAGGTACGCTCCTCCGTTGACTTCTGGCTTTCTGTATTCTTTCATCTTTCAGTTTTTTCTCTGCCCTAATCTCTGCCTTTAATATTCTTTTTTCGTCTTCGTCGTCAGCAGGTTGGGCACAGCCTACCAAATGGTACTTTATCCCCCGTTTGGTAGATAATCTACCATATCGGTAACGAATTTTACTAACCAAATGGGGGACAAAATTGGTTGTGTTTAATTCTATAGAGTGGAGTGGAATTTCGCATAATTTTAAACCATGTGGAATAAAATATAGATATTTATCGGTGTTCTGGGTGAAAAAAATCAAAAATTCTATGTGCAATTTTTTGCGCAGAGTCGTTTCAAAAATTTGACAAAAACGTAGCTTATGTAAACAAGTGTAATGTTTCTCCGTTTTTTACTTTAAAAGAAAATTCTCTCCTTCTCCAACGATGCTGCACCTGTCAATCATGTCCTTTACTTTCTATTTTGATTATCCGGGCAACCAATCAATTAGTGCAAACCAATCAAAACGATGATCTATTTTAAACTTGATGAAAAGTCGGATTTAACTACGGAGGCACATTTGTATTAATTTTCAACTAGGAAATCAGAAGAAAAATAAGTTTTGCCTTTATTTCTTTTTATTTTGAACACAATGGCTTTGTTCTTCATAGAAATAGTAAATGCAGTTGGGGTATGACATAATTATTGTTTTAAAACGATGTACTTGGAACAAAAACAAGAATAATGGCAAAAGTCATTTTGTACATCTTTTATTGAATATTATTTTTCGAATTTATTAAATTCACCAGTAATATGCATATTAAACCCCAAAAGATCGCATGGAATCTGCAACTTCATCCTAAAAGAAAAATAACAACAAATATTACGTACAACTCTGGAAAAAATTAACTTTATAGCAGGAAGTGCCCACCATACCGGTAAGGCATGAGGAGCTCGTGTTTAACAGGATCTTATGGAGATAAACATTGACGAAGATCCAAAAAGAGATTCAAAGTTAACCCATCAAGAGTTAAATCACTGTATAAAATTGGATTTTTATCCAACAAGACACAATAAAGATTTTTTTTTGATCGTTTGATCAAGAAGTTCGACTGTTACAGACAACTACGGGTATTGTTTTTACGAATTTACGGAGAAATTACACATAGAAATTCGACCGTTTTATGTTAATTGTACGAGGAATATGTTCATTAAAATTCCCCATTGCCTGAATAAATGCGCTTTTGTTTTATTTTAATAAAAATTGCAATAGAATAAAAAAGTCCCCCATTTGGTTAGTAAAATTCGTTACCGATATGGTAGATTATCTACCAAACGGGGGATAAAGTACCATTTGGTAGGCTGTGCCCAACCTGGTCAGAGGCCAGCTCGTGTTGTGTATATTCTTGGACAGTTCTCCATCCGTTTTTAGAGGAATCAGCGAGCTTCACTAACTTTTGCCTATTATTAATAAGCTGAATACCGTCTGTTATCTGTTGAAAAGCAGACTCTGCGTCTCCGTCGTTTAAACTTGAATTAGCCCCCACAAGTTTTTCCTTAACAGTATTGTTGAATTTGAATTGTGCCTCATTTCCTTTCTTCTTGAATACGAAAGTTTTGTCGGTGACTGACTGCAGTTTTGACAACTGCTGCTCGTGTTGCTGCTTTTGTTGCTTAGCCATTTTCGCTTCCAAAGATTGCAACTTGTTATCCATCATGTCGGAAACTCTGTTTAGAAGAACTTCGAGATTAGCCGCCTCCATGCTCCCGAGGCCTCCGCAAAACACGTGTGTGTGTTGAAGAGCACTGGCTTAGAATGATTCGAACACCTTACTGAATACTGCTTTCTCATTGGCCTTCCTTTGACCACGCCTACTATACAGGCAAAAACCAATAAAATACGTTCCTATCATACAATGTTTTCCCGCTATACTACGAAACGCGGGAAAACACTACTCTCACGTTTGGGAGAGTTTTCCTTCTTTTTTTTTGGGGGGGGGGGCTTGTCAATTTTTTTTATTAACTGGGATGGAATCCTGATTTATATGTCGACTCCATTACTTGTATCCCAGTGAACTTGAAATAAGTCTGCGGCATTTGATCTATATTTGGATGCATGGTTTACTGACTATAAACATACAATTAAAGGCCAACTAACAACAGATTGTACTTCATTGTATATGACAAACGAGATGATTTAGAATTTCAGTTTTATATTTTATGTAATAATATTTCGCTCTCACTTGTAGATGCATGGTGTTTGTTGTTCCGGTACTGACTTATTCTCTACTCTAGACAGGCTACTCACACATGAGTTGGTGTTACAGGGATTTCAATGACCCGCCTAAAGCATGCCAAGAAATCTCGTCCGGTTTTCCACAGCGATGGAGTCAGTGTAATTGATGCAAACCTTCTTCTTCTTCTTCTTAACCTTCTTCTTCTTCTTCTTCTTCTTCTTCCAGTAATGTGCGTGGCACCAAAGTTGGGCATTATCGCACATGATCACCCATATGCCCAAAACGCTGGCAAGACAATTTACGGCAGCAGACTTCAGGGGGTGGAATCAGGATCCTATAGGTTTTTAGCTTTCTTAGTTAAAGAAAAAATAAACGTTTACCCCAGGGAGTAGTCATCTATTGCCCTAAAAAGGTTACTGTCAAAAACCTTTATTTATATACAAAATACGTAAAATGCCCCAGGCACTGGTACCAAAATTATATTTAAAAGAAGGGGGGGGGGTCGAAGAAAATTAGAGAAAAAAATCAAAAGAGAGATATTTACTAAAAGTATTTGCTTTAAAATGAAAATATTTACAAAGCCAATCGGGTAACGTCTACCCATTCAGTACTCTTCTCTATCTCAACTAGGGAGTTCAACCATGCAGGAAATTATGTCAACTTCCGGGAATTTGGTACTTTTCCCTATATTTCGACGCGGTACTTCCACAACTACCCGATGTCAATTTGTACCAAGAAAAAATATTTTGAAATGGAAATACGTGAAAAATTGAAAGGCAGCTTATTTTATTGAAGAATTACTCTACTACAATTGATTTCCTTTTCTTTTTTTATAATAGCATTTGATATAGACGGAACCCCCCCCCCCCAAAAAAAAAACAGGAGAGGGGGCAAAGGCTTCTAAATAATTAGTATTCTACCTATAATTTAAACCCAGTAGATTTTAAGAGCCCTCCCTCAAAACTGCGGACATTAATTGCCTCGCGCACATCTCCATCTCCCTGGGGAAGAATAATTCGGCTTTTACTGAGTTCGCTCTACGGGTATAGAATGCATTTATAAGTTTTATTGGCATGGACAAGGTTTCTTTAATTTCATGGTTGTTCTAATGACCTTATTAGCAAATATAACCTACCACTGTGTCGAAATATAAGACCTTTATTTCTACACAAAATGTCCTTTTAATTAAATATCAGATAAATATATAGGGCTCACGACGAGTGTGACCAGTCAACGGGGGATGCTTACTTCTCCTAGGTTCCTGATCCCACCTCTGGACTTTCCAAGTGTTTATACCCTGTTCACAAATTTGTATTGTTTGGAGTTTTATGAGATCGGTCTCACTTTTTTAAAATAAAATTTCTATCAACTGAAGCTTTTCACTGATTGTTGTTTTACAGCTGGAGAAGGGGACAAAAATATTCATATAAATTTATGTCCAATTTCAAGGACCAACAATTAACCATAAAATTTGATTTAAGGGTTAGATATATTTAGTTCTCGAAAACAATATAGGCCTTTATAGGCCTAGAAGCTGAATTTTTTTTAGGAAGTTACTGGTAAAATTATGATAGAGAATGAACTTTGCCGTCGGAATTTCCCGTGTATCATTACACCCTAACCTTTGTGGCTTTTGTCTTTCACCCTGTATACTACATATTATTACGCATTTCTCCGAGTCTCAAATTCTTTACACTAAATCATTGTATTTTATCACTTTCCATCCTTTTCATTAAATCACATAAAATATTGGATCGGGCACGGTATTCTTATTAAAAGTTAATTAAAGACAAATGATGGATCATACTCAATACTCATTGACACTAACGTTGTTTTTTCTGCATATTAACATCAACATGACAAGGAGAGTCCATAAAATGTTGAATGCTCGTGAAAACAGTTCTGTTTTACTGGTAAGTTAACGTTCTTAATCATGTCTGAAAGGTAATAAGGTAGCCGGTGAAAGAAAATAATTTGCGCACATTTAAATCAAGCGCAGTTTATTTAAATGCAGCTGACAGACTGATGCAGCTATCCAATGAGCAATGATATTGTTAATTTAATTGAATTTCTAAAGGTAGTTACGCAGTAGACAGGTATGGTGCTGTTAAATCTTTTAAGTTTAGTTATTTTACTGTTTTATTTTTTAAGGCTATGAGCACCTGTGTTTCTTTCATTGTTTGGTAAGATGCATTTATTAAATTTTTATCTACATTATTTCTCTGTTTTTCCCCTCCAATTTTGGTCGATTAGATTATATTTCTTTTTTTTTAAAAAATTCTTTGGTCTGGATGAAAGAATTTACTAAAAGGATGAAAGCTTTCTTGACCAACTATGAATCGGAGAGCAAGAAATCGACTAACCATCAAATCTATTAGCTAAAATGTTTTCTTGGTATTATTGATTTATTCCCACCATTTTAGTTTACCTGTTTAAAAATTAAAGAAATTTTTCCATATAAGGACACGGAAGAAGAAAAAGTTGTGTGATGGTTTGTCAAATTCTGGCTTTGATATACGATGTAGACTCCATGGAAAAGTATGGAAATATATCAGCCTATTTTGGGAAATGCCATTTTGGGGAATTAGGAAAAATTATCAGGTAGTTGATGAAATTGGTAAAATTTTGAAAATTTTGCTTACATAATGTATTCAGGTGTAAATCACTTAACATTTCAGCACAAACTATTACCGGGGTACTTGGGGAACCAAACAGACAATTAGACATGTTAAATATTATCCAACTTCATCATGAATAAAAAATTGATAGTGAATAATATAGGCTAATAAAAGTAAATTTGACTTCTGGATCAGGGGTTCTGGTTTTAGAATTTAGATATTGGATCACACCATATCCTTTCATAGCATGGCGTGTGATGGTTGTTTACTTGCGCTTTTCATTTCCGATAGTAAAGAGTCAAAATATATCCCTAACGCACACAATTGTCATTTACCAAAAACAGTTGCTGATTGGTCAATTAATGCCAATCCACTCCAATCACTACTTGAGAAAAAAATCCCACCTTTTTTTTAAACACTGTAGCTATGCCAAGAGTTGATGAGGAGAGTAGCATATCAGAAACCCTTGGCTAGCGAAGATGGATTATGCTGAACAAGGATGGTTCAAAATGGCAAAATTTATGATCCCAAATTCAGAGGTTCTGACATTAGTGTTGCTCTATAATTGATACTGTACTGAAATGCATTAGTAGTATTAGAAAAATCTTCTCTACTCCTGGGTATTTAGCAGGTGATTGTGCTTGAGTGAATGCAGTTGTGCCTTTACTAAAATTGGAAATTTCAAAGCTGGTTGGTATAATGTAATGTAATGAGAATGAATAAATTCTTATCTTCCCTTGGGCATCTTAAAGTTGTGCTTGGAAGGGGTGTTTATTTGCTAGCAGATTTTTGAAATTATGGATCTCTGTGTCTAGTGTTCCGGTGCTTGGCCAGGGCTCTAATGATATGGTATCCTAATGAGAGAAGTTGTTCCCCTTGTTATTTACCTTTGATAATCAATTACTGTAGGTAATGCAATTGATAGATCAAATTGAATATAAGAAGTAAATATTTTTTGAAGTATATTATACAAAAAGTAATTGTGATTTTTTTTAATGGTAAGCTATTAAGGAAGACTTGTAAATAATAAATAAATAAATGATAAAAATGAGACAAAAATACCTTATCTTTGTGCAATATCTACTTTTCAAAAAAGTACTTATACTAAATAAATAAAGGAGTAGACCAACTGTTTTGTTGGTCCTTTATTATAATTCTATTCCCTTTGCTTTGGAGCAGCACACCTTTATCCATCAGTTGATTACTTCAGTGGATCCAAAATACAGTATTGTATTACATGTATCAGTTATACTCAGGTTACTGTAAAGGTCCGTGGACTTTTTTTATTGGACATTTAGATTTGTAAAAGGAAAAAAAAAATATTCATTGATATTATTTACTGTCTTGTGGGCATTGAGGCATGGCTTAGCATTACCTTCATATTCATAAATTAGTGCCAATCAATCTTCTATGATTGGTTTTATTATTTCAGTAGCCTTGGCATGAGTGTCAGTGTCTTGGTCAAAGTTTAAGAAGCAGGTCCATTCCAAAGCCCTGCTTGGATGAAACTTACATGTATGATGGCATCATGCATCTAGGGATGACACCTAGGGATGAAAACTGCCAGACTTGCTTCAGACCTTACCTTTTACAAACAAAACTTATGAAGCATTTAAATTTTAAATAACATATCTTTTACATCAAAAATTTTAGACGTAATTGACATGGAAGAAGATATAGAAGATTATCCTAACATTGAAGTGGACCCACAATATGTCACTGTGACTAGCGTGGCGTCATATGTCAGCACAGATTCCACAGATGACCTTGACTGGTTACAAACCTCCAAACTTACAGGGGGGATAATCAAGTTCCTGTTTGATGGATCTACAGAGGAAAAGGTCAGTATGTCAAAATAGCAGGAACAAGAGAGGGTTGTTTTAGTCACTTAGGTAAGCTTTATAAATTGTCTGTCTGAAAAAAAAGTATGTTAAGGATGTGTAAACCATGTTATACAATGGGACAAATGTCAGTAATGGTTTATTGCTTTCTTGATTTTTATTCTATGTTATGTATGGTTACTGTTAAATGAAACAACACTTAATAATTTCATAGGGAACATGATAAAGTTTACATGTTCCAGTACACATTGAAGTATACCTAACGTAAGAACTTGTAGAAAATTGGCAAACAATGCATTATCCTATTTTCAGAATTATTTATCTAAAGATTTTCCTTGGGCTTAAAATGAGCCTTTCAACTTATTTAAGACATCAAAAATATACTTCAAAGGATTATCCCCAATTTATTTTTTTTAAGAAAAATCTTTTTTTCAACACTTTATTTTCAAAACTTCTGATTATATGTTAACATAAAATAACACTTTATTTTCACAACTTCTGATCTTGTACTTATATAAAAATGAAGCAAACAGTCTATGTAATTTTGTCAAGACCAGCTAAGTACATCTAGGAAATAAAATAGAAAATATTGATATATTAAAATGTCCAAAAAATACCGTGTAAGGGATGAAATTTGCATGAAACTAAAACATTTTTTATCATTTATTTAGGGAAAGGTTTATTTCAACTCAAATTAAAGATACAATTGAATGTGTCTATTAATCTTTTATATTAATTGTAGAGTCACACAAGTTACTATGTTTGTGTGGGGGAGGATGCTACTGTGGACAATGTGGCTAAATACATCACCAAAGTGTGGAAAAAGAGGAGCCCAGACATCATACTCTCTGTTATATCCAGTCTCAGTCATTTCAGGAAGTGGAAGAATCAGCAGGAAGTGGAAGATTTCCAGACGGGTTTGATTCAGGTCAGAAGGGCAAAGGTTAAAGGTTAAAATATGAAGTAGACTTTGTATAAAATTGCTTTAATTGAACTCTTTTGAGAATCCTTAACATTTTATCTAGCTATTTATCACCAATACTTGTCTATCACTTACATATCATTCCCATTTTTAGCCATATTTCTGATATGTTCATAATTATCAATATTTTCGGACATTTTTGCTGCACAAATATAGGAACATCAATGTAACATGTGTATATACATGTATATGCATATTAACAGTGAACTTAATAAATTGGATTTGGAATTTTCACATTATGAAACAGATTTATTATTTAAGAAAAATTGTACTGAGGTTGAAAATTGACAATGGCTTGATCATAGATTTCTTTTTTTTTCTTCATTTTTTTTTTGCGCTGCAGGCCATGAACTCTACCAATATGTGGGTGTTGACAAATGGTTTAGATGGAGGAATCGCTAAAATAGTTGGGGATGCCGTTCGTTTTGAGAGAGAGAGGCGATCTATTCTGATGACACGAGCTCAGAACCCCTATGTAAAGCTTCACAAGAAGGAGGACGTAGAGGAACTGCCTAAACTAACCGTGATGGGAATCGTTCCTAAACTACAGCTCAAGTGTGTGGCTGGGACTGAGGGATTGGTACGTGGTCATGTCTGAATTTACACTGTATTTAGATAATTAGCTATTGGGGCCTTTAAAGAAGTTTAAAGATGTTTATTGAAAAGTAGGTCATAGTGACCTACATTTTGAAATTTGCAGGCATTCATATTCAAATTGTTTCAGAGGCAAATTTTGGAGTGCGTTATGACTTTACATCTTAAAAAACATATATATGTATATACATGTGATTACATGTATATTGGCTTATATGTGTAATACAGTAATTATTAAAAACAATAGGGAACAATTATTAAGACCAGCAATGCAGAAAATCCTGTATTTTGAATTTCTCTCACCTGTAAATGGAACTTATTGTATTTCTTTTATTTGCAAATTGCAGCATGATTCCATTATTTCACTGAAAAAAACGGGGACTAAGGAAGCTATGGAGTTGAATGGAGAACACTCTCATTTTATCATAATGGACCAGAACACTGATCTAAGGGAGCTGGAAGGCTTTAGACTCAGAATCGAGGAGAGACTTCTGACCCCTATAGGGAGGGGCAAGAGATACAGAAAAGTCAAAATGTTAGACCCCTCCCTTGGTAGGTTGCATATTTTAACTCTCCTGAGCTAAAAGCTCAAGTGAGTTTTTCTGTTCACCTTTGTCAGTCTGTCCATATGTCTGAAAACTTTTTCACATTTTCAACTTCTTTTCGAGAACCACTGGGCCAATTTTAACCAAAAGTGGTACAAAGCATTTTTAGGGAGTTTAAATTGTTAAAATGAAGGGCCAAGTCCTCTTACAAAATGATGTAATCAAAAAAAGGACAAAAATAGGGTAAACTCATTAAAAAATCTTCTCAAAAAACCATTTGGCCAGAAAAGCTGAAACTTTCATGGAAGCATCCTGGGGTAGTGAAAAATCAGATTCAAATCAGGACCCCTGAGGACAAGTGGGGCCACAATAGGGAATCCAAGTTTTACATTAATTGAAATATTAAAAAAAATCTTCAATAATTTTCTCCTTAAGATTGGAGAACTACTGAAAAGCTGAAACTTTGTAAAACCACAGTAAGTACATGTATTACAAGGAGGAAAATCTGGAGAAGAACAATGGGTCCAAAGTTACTTGGGTGAGCATTTTGGCCCATGGGCCTCTTGATTTTTTCTTTGTTTCAAGTAGACTAATTTTTATTTGATGTAGAATATGTCTCACATATATAAAAAAGTTAAAATTTCTTAAGGAAAAAAGATTAAATATGAATTATAATATGTATTATTTATTCACATTTTCTGTACACTAATATAATATTTTTATGCACAGATGCAGAAAATTTAAACATGATTACCTGCACCAGTACCCCCATGGTGGGCCTCCTGATACAGGGTGGACCATTAGATATTGACCATGTGGTGGACCTTCTCCGGAGAAAAGTTCCTGTTCTGGTTCTACAGGGAACAGGACTGGGAGCCGATCTTATAGCGTTTGTGTACTTTGAAAAAGTTCATCAGTAAGTACATGTATAGCTCTTATGTGTATAAATAAAAGAAATAAATCTACCTTTGCATTCTCACAATGTTTGGTAATCTAGATGTCTATAGAAATCTAGAACCTAAGATCCAGACTCTGTTGAATAAATTTTAGATAACTCTTCTACATTTGATGGTCTTTAGTCTTGACTATGCTTTGTATATAAACATGAGGAATTTGTTAAACTAAATACTAGTAGATGTTTGTTTCCTGTAACTTGTACATGTTATATTTAATTTCTTTTATAGCCAGGGTGATGAGTACGAGTCTTTTGTGAAAACTGAGTTAATTAAGAGAATGATGAACTGTTATCCAAAGGATTTTGTGGACAATGAGCTGGCCCGGAATCAATGTAGAGACAAAATACTGGAGTGTGTTAATCTCGCCCACCAGGTTTGCCTCTAAGTTGTTTGAAATGGAAATACATGTATATGATACATTTTCAATGTTTTGCAAAATAGTATATTTTTTTAATCTTGTAGGAGAATGGGAGGTTCCTAACTATTTTGGACATAAATGCGGATCCCACTGGACTTAAGAATTTGGACAAATACATCTTACTCACATTGTTTGAATGTAAGTTTTCATTTCCTCCCTTAGCAGCTGATCCGAATAACGCCAGAGGCGTTTTCAATAGAATGAACGTTCACAAGCGCTCACCAAAATTTCTTATACCTTCAATAGAAATGTTCGCTAGCGCTCGCTCTGTTGAACAGGTCTCTGGTGATAACATGATTATAGGCAAGGACATTCTCCATCCGCTGGGTTTAAGAGATACATGTAACCCTGTTGAATGAGTATTCTGAATCTCTTGCTCATAAAACAGCTGTTTGTACTATTTCAGCTCAAGGGTCCAAAACAGGAAGTCAATTCCAGGAACAATTCCAATCTGACCTCAAGTTGACCTTACACTGGAATAGACCTGATCTCGCAGAGTCTCAGATTTTTGAGAAGTATGATTGGACAACTGTTAAGGTATTGCCAAAAATATATATATACAGTTAATTCTCGATAAACCGCCACCTTTTGTTATTTAGAAATCATGGCGGTATAACGAATTTGGCGATGATTTGAATTTCCCATATTTTAGGAAACAAGAAGTAGAGTTACCGTTCTTGGAAATACCATAAAGCGTTTCTATTCCTATAAGTACATATACATGTATACAAAACATTTTTCTAAATTTTAAAATACTTCAAGTATTTTTTATGTACAATTTCTTTAAAACAAAATGTGCAGTTATGAAATAAAGACATGTACATGTGCATTTATGTACATGTAAATCGACACGTCTGATATTAAAAAAAAACTTCTTGATATATTGCTGACCGTACGTATAATAGTTTCTTGAATAAATTTATTGTTTATGACATCATTGTTCGTGAAACGTTCACAATTTATACCGTATAATCATTTTTAAGCAAACTTTGCATTGTTTAAAGCAGATATCATCAAAATGATATCGTATTCAGTGTACTTTCACAACTACCGCTTTCGTGGCGAAGCCGTGACTAAATGATTTTTTAACAGAACAAAATCATTGTAACAGTTCATATTAAAGTTGTTTGTTCATTTAATTCTAATTTAATTATTTAATTGCCTGTACCTTGTCTGGCTTTGCATGCTTTACAACAGGGATAGCGTCAACCAATTAGCCGCGCTTCACTGACCGCTCGCACCTGTGGCGGTATATCGAGATAATTGACACTTAAAAATGGACGTTTGTTTTGAAAACAGGGTGGCGGATGGCGGTATGCGAATTTGGCGTTATAAAGAGAATTTTATATAGCAGGAAAAACGTTCTTGAGAAATCATGGCGGTATTGTGAAAATGGCGATGAATCGAATGGCGATAATTCGAGAATTGACTGTAATGCTATTTACATTTTAAAGCATATCCTTTAACTAAAAAGTTAAAATCCAAGACATCCAGGTGCTTCTTGTATTAACATGAAATAAGTGTGACATTTTTGCATGTAACCTATATCCTGACTGCCATCAGCCTACTTCCATGCAGATCCACAGTCTGTTATGGTATTTTATCGGTTGTTTCAGATAACACCCGAGCTGTTTGATAAGGCTTTGCTGAAGAGAGGGAGAGAGAGGTTTGTGGAGATTTTCCTGGAGCGAGGAGCAATTGTCCTACATGAGTATGTCAACTATAAAAAGCTTCTGGACTTGTTCAATAATCTGGACATGCCTGATTTTTTCTGTCAAGTCTGTCTAGAAGGAGTTCTGGCCAAATCTCCAGTGAGTGACGACATGTTTTGTTTCTGTTTTGTATTGGATAAATGTAATCTTGGTAATGCTAGTCAAGTTTGGTAAACGAGCCAGGTTAACATTTGGTTTCCTTTGGCTCAGTGAAATTCTGAAAAATCAAAAGTTTTTAGTTTTAGTTGACAATGTATTCATACGTTTGTGGAGTTGAAGTATTTCTTTTCCCAATTTTGCCCTGCAAGATATGCGATAATTGTTTGTATATTATTTTACTTAACAAATACATTGAGTTTTTGAAAATCAAAAGAATTGAAACATTTTATATGAGCATGATGATTGAGCAGAGGATTAATAGGAACCTTAAGACCTTCAATTGGCACACAAACAGGGCCATTTTAAGCATAAAGCAAACCTAGTTGCAATATTAAATATAGCCCCCCCTTTTTTTTGTTGGTTCCAGACAATATCAGATAAAATAAAAAGATTATCAGAGAGGGCTACATTATTGCAGCAAAGTGAACCTAGCTCTTTCTTTCCTATATTTAACATTGAAAATTAAATAATTCCTTTTCATAATGATATGTATGTTCTACATTTAGTTATTTCTCCCATCTCTTGGCTGTTCTATTAGTTACACAGTCAGTTAGTGACCTAATACAGTTTCATACAGGGTGTGAAATGGAAATCCATATTGGGCGAGGCTTCGCCTTGCCCAATACAGATTTCCTTTTCACACCCTGTATGAATCCGTATTAGGTCACTAACTGACTGTGTTACAAATTTATCCCGCTGAAGACCTTTTTTCAATATAAAAAAATGTTTGTGCATATTATGAAAATATTAGTTTTAATCCAATAACAATCAACATAAAATATCGTTACGGTAACAAGAAATTTAACTAAACTGCCTACGTAAACCGTTTCTTTGCCGCCATTTTTATTTACAATAACAACGCTTCGAACGGAATTGCGTGCCCGATTTTCATATTACGCCTCGACGGAGACGTAATACGGAAAATTTCAGGGCGTCATGTGATCAGCCTTTATCCAATCAGCAATCTACAAATTTGTCTGAAGCGGGATAAAAAATGATATGAAAAAAATATAGACATGTAATAGAATTATAGTGCATGATTTTATTTATAGATTATATTGGATGGTAAAAAGGTAACAGCATGGTTTTTGAAATATACTTGTTCATGAATATATAATTATGTTGATTTTATTTCAATGTTGCATAATTTATTAATTTGTTCTGCACATACAGTGTATATTAACGGCTTTTCTTTGTTATATATTGCTCTTTAAGCCATCTGACATTGATTGGCTGATCATTTAAATGATTTAAACTATCTTACTTTACATCACAACAGGATGGAATTCAGAATATAGTTAGATGTTATGTGTTTCTACATTATGCTGCCATAAAATAGTCAATGCAAGGGCATGCAAGAACATTGCTGATTTTGATTGGCTGATACTTGAAAAGGCTGAATTCTGATTGGCTAATACTTATTAGGCTATATTGGTTATATTTTCCAGTAAAATTAATGAAGGTAGAAGGAATCCATAGACACAATAAGAGAGGGAGGGGGGTTCATCTGTATTGATTAATATACTGACACGCAAAAGAAACGCAACACCCTCCTTTAGGGGGAAATAATTATGTAAAGTAAAGAATTTTGTATCTTAAAATTATGAATATCTTCAATTTGGTAAACATCGGTAATTTAACGGTTGAACAATTTCCAAACCATAACCGGAAGTCAAGTTTTAGTCTGCTTAACAGAAATAAAAAATTGCATGTTTAACAAAACATTTGGCAATATCATGGATTCTTAACGGTTTTTTACTGTTCATCATACGTAATGCAGCAATATTTCTAAAAAATGAACTCTCCTTTCGTTTCCTCTAACGATGCTAAGGCTACTTGAAAATGGCTTATGTACGCATATTCATTGCTCTGGCTGGAAAATTACAATGTAAAGGTGATGGAGAATTGCTGATGCAAAATTTCACTACATTACGTCTCAACAGGGTCTTACGTATCATATGCATTAAGGACAGACCTTGTACCAGAAGTCCAAGGGTGACTACACTGCTCTATATTAGAGAAAATTCGACCTAATCATCTGAATAACGGGTATTTAAAAATGCCAAAGAATAATTCCTTCACGCAGATCTCGATGTAAATGAACCTACTGTATCGTAGAAATTAAGCTGCAATTGTTGTTTAGGGCAGTCTTGCACGTTTTACTTGAATGGCTGGGAGGGGGGGTGTTTTAACAGTCATATTTTACTTAGTAAAGTAAACACATAAACATTTAACATTTTTATCAAATCTCTGGTGTTCAGAAAAGTGAGTTTAGCCTTACTTTATTCGCTTTTGATAATCATCAGATAAAAATTATCAAACATTTGTAGATTACTACTTGTTGCGTTTCTTTTGCGTGTCAGTATATATTGAACAAGTAATTCAGAGAATCTGTGTACCCCTTTAGGAAAAAAGAAGAGCATGTGTGAATCAAAAGGAGGGGGATGGGGTGGGGGGCTCGAAGGATGGGCAGGACACTTTAAGAGGGGTAGGCAGGGTCATAGGGAGTTATAAAATTTTTATTGCAAAAGCTCAAAAGATTCTGTATATTTCTCCTGGAAATGAAACTTTTACACACAGACAGAATGTATGAATTTAAAATCTTGACCTTTGACCTTAAAATCAAGAGGGGTTTTCCATAGGCCATAGAGAGTTATGGTATAAAATTTCACTGTAAAATCTCAAGACTTCTTGAGAAATGGTATGGAAATGAAAGTTTTTAAATAGACAGAATTTATGACTTTAACTTTTGACATCAAAATCAAGAGGGGTCTGACTCTTCTTTAGGCCATAGGGAGTTGTTAACGGGTATGTAAAATTTCATTGCAAAGTATTAAAGCTCAAAGACTTTTTAAAATTTCACATGGAAACAAGGTGTTACTGACGGTTGGATGGATAGACTAAAAGTTTAGGTGCAGTTTTCCAGGTTTTCTTTTTCAATTTATGCCGTTCAGATCAAAATTGCATGAATTTTGCATCTTTGGATGTACACTTCTAGATTGTGAATTTACTTAAAGACCACAATTATTTAGGTGAACTCTGAAATCTCATATTACATATCTTTTCCTTTCTAAGGAAATGAGCATTTTGTGACAATCAACATCCAAAAGAAAACTCAAAATGTTCCAACCAGTTGGAAAATTATACCACTTCAATGCGTTCATAGTAGACTATTATTTCTGTTACAGCTTTCTTAGATTATCATTACTGTTTATGATTCTATGTTCTTGATTAAAGCAAAAAGGTAACAGTGATGGATAAATGCAGAGGTCTTAGTTTAGAACTTGTAACTTGGTGTAACTGACATTCCACAAGACCTTGAGAAATTCATTGAAATTCAAAGGATTTTATTATGTAAAGATTCCTTGAAACACTTAGAAACTTTACTTATTAAAATTAAGAATTAGCTGACACAGGAAAAGAAATATTTGAAATTAACTATTTCCACTTGATTGAATTATTTACAATTAAAAAAAATAAATAAAGTTTTGCAAACGTAAACTTCATATTTCTGCATTTTCATGTTCCCAGATTTTTTTTTTTTTTTTGGAGGTCTTTCTTACTCCAATTATTAATAACAATATATCGAATAATTCCCTGTAATAGAATGTGACAGTATGACCTATATATCCATCAATCATTTAATGTTAAATTTGTTCTCACAGTTCACTGTATTTGTTACCTTCATCTTTTATTTGAGTATTAGATTGTCAATCTCTGTTTTGTAGGGGCTGAGTTATCCAGTGGACAAGGACTTTGTGATAGGGAAGAAATGTGACCTGAATCATCTGCTGTATAAACTGACCAGTCTAGAAGCTCTTGTGTCCTCCTATGATCTCTCTATGAACTCTACTGGACAGTTTGTGTGTGACAAACCTACTGCTGAAAGAAAGGTCTATAAATAGATTTCTGTTTCTTAGCAGATGGGGCTTTATGATGTTTAATTGAAAATATTACAATGACCCAAATGCAAAATCATATGATAGCATGCATAAGACTTAAAGAACTTGATATTTAACTCAAGTGAGGATATTGTGAACATTTATTAATGGCATTAACATTTTTAAAAAAATTTTTGGAATAGATATGAATTTGTTGTAGGTTATGTATGGTTACAATTATTTTTATATTTGAAGGCCTTGAATGCCCTTATCTACTGGTCAGTTCTGACCTTTAACCCCTCGCTGACCAGAGTTCTGTGGAAGCAGTCTGACCAGCCGATGGTAATGGCTCTTGTAATCAGTATGATCTGGCACACACTAGCCACAAAATGGTGCAGCAGAGATTTGGACATCAAACGACAACTCAATGATTCTGCTATGTAAATACTCATTATCACAGGCTAATTATAATTAGCCTAATACGTGCATATGCATTTTATTCACAAACTTATTTTTGTAAAGCCTAATATGTGTATATGCATTTTATTCACAAACTTTTTTTTGTAAAACCTAATACATGTATATGCATTTTATTCACAAACTTATTTTTGTAAGGCGGCAGCCAGATATGTTTCATTCAACGAGGTGAGCTTCGTAATCTTTGATTACCTATGTTTATGATCTGGTATTGTAGAGAGTTTGGAAAACAGGCTGTCAAATTATTGGACCTGAGCTACCAAGATTCATGCCTAACAGCCATTGCTTCATTAGATGAGAAACTGCCAGAACTTAACAATAAAACCACCATCAAGCTAGCCCACATTGCTCGGAATAAATTCTTCATTGCTCACAAAAGTTGTCAAAAATGGCTGCTTCAGCGTTGGCATGGTAACCTGTTAATCAGAGAAGTGGATTATGGGGTATTCAGACTACCCAACTGGTTCAAGGTTTGTAGACAAGACATATCCTTAAATCACTTTCAAAAGCATACCTGTAATTCACATTCCCAAACTGGTTCAAATTTTCAAATGAGACTTGCATGTACATTTAATTAAGAATCCTTATCTGGATTCATCTGAGGTTTGTGATGACAAGATATATGTTTAATTCTGTTTTTAAAGGGATTTAAGTTTTGTAGTCAAGACATATGTGTGGATCTTCAGTTCACATCTTTATGATCTCAGATCTTAATGAATTGAAATTTCTTACAGTAAAAAAGTAATGATCGAGGTGTATTTCCGTACAATGTAGAGGTGATCAGTTTTAAATGTACAAGCTAATTCAGAGAATTTGTGTTCCCCGCTTAGGGAAAAAGTCAACCATGTGCAGTTCGGGGGGGGGGGTCGGATCCCTCTGACTGAATTTATAGAATTATTAAATGTATGTACATAGGGAGTTGCTATGCAAAATTTCATTGCGAAAGCTCAAAGGGCTCTTGAGATATGGTATGGAAACGAAAGCGTTACAGACAGACAGAATGACAGACGGATGAACGGACAGACCCAAATTAATATCCCCCACTTTTCAAGCGGGGGACGAAAAGTAAATTGTGTTCCTCTTAATCTTATGATTTGTTTTGTTTTAAATTTTCTCTTTGGACTAGGTCATGCAAAATTCTGTATGTAATTTTCCAACTTTTTACATGGAGAAATCCTAAGTCACTCAAAGTGACTCAGATATAATTTAATGATGATGATCGGGAGCCTATTAGCCTTCTTTTGCTTGTAGATATACATGAGTGTCTTCTTCGTCTTCCCCATGTTGTTTTGGATTACGTATGAGATTAAGAAGGACCCAGAAGCTAAAACACCAGGTAATGTGTGTATACATGTACTTGTATGTTTTAGATTATTGTTTAGGTCCAAAATAAGGAAGGTTAAGTAAAGAATTTCAGCTGTTCCCTTTGTCTTGTTTTATTTCAGAAGATGAAGAGGAAATGGAAATAGACCAAGTGGATAGTGAAGACATGATTCCTATGAAAATCAAATGGGTATGCTAACGACTCTTAGAACAGACTGTTGTAGATCTGAGAATTGCTTTTGTTTAAGATGTTTATTCTTTTTATTTAAATTTATTTTGTAAATTTGATGACCAGAAAAGGAGTACAAAGGGACAGATGAAATACCAAATGAGGGAGATGTTGAATTATGGTCGACAGAACCTTAAGGTGCCCCTTTATCTCCAGTTCTATTACCTGTGGAGTGCCCCAATCACCAAGTTTTATCTCAGTCAGGTAAGGAACTACCCTAAGCAGTGTGAATGGCACATTTTGTAATCACCTGTAGATGAACATATCAATGCAACATAATCAACTTTGGAGTATTTATTGTAGGCTACTGACAAATAGGTTGATGTAACAGAGCTTTCTATAGTCTCATAATGTCAAAATTTTAAAAATTCTGTGTTAATTACAGTGATTTGCAAATACAAGTTAATACTGGGTCTGACATGTATTACTGTAAATCACTTTTTATTCGCGAGAACTTTATTTTCGCGTAATTACACGAGACTGTGTGCTCGCGAAAATTTAATTCTCGCATATAATAGTATTCCTTAAGATTATAGAGAGCAATAACCACAATTCACGAATATTTTGTCTCGCTAATCAGGAGTCAATGACTATCTTGCGAAAATAAGGTGTCGCAAAAATTAAGTGATCTACAGTATACCAATAGTAAGGTTGTTTATAGTTTTTGAATGGATTACTTGTTTTTCTCCAACAATGCTAAAGGTTCACTTAGCCACTGTTATATGTCCAGGGGTCTATTATTTTGCTCTGTTTGGATTGTTCACTGGATTTCTGGATTGTTCGCTGGATTTCTGAGATTGGTCACAGTTTGGTATCTTAATATTTATAAATATATTTCAGTTGCTGTATATAATGTACCTGGCCTTGTTCAGTTATGCAGTCATTATACCATCATGTGGAGATTTCTACATTGACCTTGTTGTGTATTTTTGGACGGCCATGATTTGGGTTGAAATCATCAGAAAAACTATCATTAAGAGAAAGGTACATCTGTGTAATGTTAAGCCATGCTGATTATTTAACATGAAAATAACTCTTTACAGTTGGAACTCTGAAGTTAACTCCTACCAGAATTCTGGTTTGCTGATTTTGTAGTGTTGACAAGTTTGGATCTTACTTTCTTTTTAATTTTAGGAATACAAAGAGATGAAGGTTTTCTGGACAGTGATAGAGATATGCCTGATTGGTTCCTTTCTGATCGTGATCGGATTGGTCCGAATCATACCAAAGTTCATCCCCTTCATCAAGTACACCACGGCTAAATTTGTCATGAGTTTGGGCCTCCTGTACTTCTACTACAGGTTACTGAGTGTTTTCCTTCCCATCAGCCCCGTGCTGGGACCCATGATGATCAGCTTCAGAGCTATGGTATGTGTAAAATACATCTATGCAAAACTGTCTGGCTATTTTAAGGGCTTGGGACACTATGTTTGACATCCATGCCTCAGCTTTTCAGTTTATTCAATGGAGACAAGCTTAAACGATCTCTTAAAACCCCACACAGTGATACATCTTTTTAGAGTTGGAAATGTAAGAAATATTGAGAATTAAACTGATTTATGTTCACAAATGCTGTATGATTTTTTCAGATGAAGAAGGACTTTGTTACGTGGTTGAGGATGTTCCTGGTGTTTATGATTGCGGGGGGTATCACCATTCAGGCCACGCTGTACCCTAACTTCCCGGCCTCAGAGGAGGGCATTGTGGGTACCCTTAGCAGGGCCTTCTTTGCAATGTTCCTCACTAAAATTGATGACCTTGACAGTATGTTTCAAATTTGTAATCTATTAGATCTATGCAAACTTTTTACGCCCTCAGATTGAAAGATCCTGGGGGTATATTGTGTTTGTCCTGTCTGTCTGTTTGTCTCTCCGTCTGTCTGTTGTCAACTTTAACCTAGCCTATTACTTAGTGGGTGGAGCTATGGCTTTCATATATCACAGGTGTATTCTTTGTGACAAAACCTTTCTTTGGTACCACCAAATTTGACCTCTTGACCTTGGAGTTTGACCTATTTATAATAAAATTACCACACTTTAACTTTAATTAGCCATAACTTTTGAACAGTTGGAGCTAGGGCTTTCACCCTTCACATATTATGTATTCATTGTAACAAGACAGGTCTTTCAGCTGGTATAAATAATTTTGACCTTGACCCAAGAGTTTGAGCCACTTTTTAAAAACCTTGAACCTTGGTCATAACTTTTGAACAGTTAAAAAAAAGGGGATTTCATATTTCACAGGTGTATTCCTTATAACAAGACCTTCCTTTGGGTATGAAGTCTTTTGACCTTGACCTTAGGAGTTTGACATGCATTTGAGAGAATTCAACCCTTGCCATAAGCTGCCATATGGGGGCATCAGTGTTTCACAAACACATCTTGTTTTCTTTGATTTTAAAAATCTTTTGTCCCAAGATCACCTACAAGTATTGGAGGGATTTCGTATGTTTTTTATCGACATCCATCACAACTACATTTTATATTTTTTATTTCTTCCTTTTAAGACTTTCAAGCAACTTCTTTCTATGGATCACTTATCGATTATCCCATGCATTGTTATCCTTTTAAATTTTTTGGAGCAGTTGTTATTCCTAAGTACATGTAAACTATAAGCCCTAGCTGGACCAAACTTATATTAATCCAATTGTATAAGTATATAAGTACCAGGATATGACCTATATATTTCCCAAATAAGCAACCAGGTTAAAGTTTACGGCACAAGTTTAAGTTGCATGCATGGATGCACACTACAAGGCTTGCTTCAGATGCTAGATTTGACCTTGAGAGGCTTATTTTTTGGAGAAGTTTCCTTTACAATTAAGTTTAAGCCTTGCCCAGACTAAACTTGCATATAGGATACACTGCCACCTTGCTTTCAATGCTGAATCTCACCTGCATTTATTCCCAAGTAACTTTAAAACCCTGTGGTAATTACGTTTGCTTGGATAATGCATCTACATGCTTCTGATGCTGAATCTGACCTACATTTTTAGGTCACCTGAGTAAACTCAGGTGACCTATTGCTATCCGTTTTCGTCCGTCGTCGTGTGTTAACATTTGAACATTTTCAGCTTCTTCTCTGCAACCACTGAACCAATTTCAACCAAATTTGGCACAAAGCATCTATGGGTGAAGGGGAACAAAAATTGTGAATTTCATGATCCCTGCCCCCCTGGGGCCTGAGGGGTGGGGCCAAAACCACTAAAATTAATGCAATCTTTAAAAATCTTCTTCTTTACTCCTGGACAACAAGCAGTCAAACTGTTTGCATGATTGTAATCAGCATTGAGTCCTCTACCAAAACTGTGAAATTCATGGCCCTGGGGTCAGGGGTTCTAGTGCTAGGGCAGGGCTAAATAAGTATATAGTGAAAATGCATTATTTCTTTGAAAATCTTCTTCTCTGCTCCTGGGTATTAAATAAACCAACTAAGTACATAGTTATGATGAGCAAGATTGCCTCTACCAAAATTGTGAATTTTATGGCCCCAGGGTCAGGGGTTCTGGTGTTAGGGTGGGGCTCTATTGATTATATATAGTGAAAATACATGATTTCTTTGAAAATCTTCTTCTCTGCCCCTTTGTATTAAATAAACTAACTAAGTGCATAGTTATGATGAACAAGAGTGCTTTTACCCATATTGTGAATTTTATAGCCCCAGGGTCAAGGGTTCTGGTGTTAGGGGGGGGGGGGGCTCTATTGATTATGTAGTGAAAATACATGAATTCTTTGAAAATCTTCTTCTCTGCTCCTAGGTATCAAATAAACTAACAAAGTGCATAGTTATGATAAGCAAGAGTGCCTCAACCAAAATTATGAATTTTATGGCCCCAGGGTCAAGGGTTCTGGTGGTGGTGGGGGGGCTCTATTGATTATATAGTGAAAATGCATGAATTCTTTGAAAATCTTCTTCTCTGCTCCTAGGTATTAAATAAACTAACTAAGTACATTGTTATGATGAGCAAGAGTGCCTCTACCAAAATTGAGAATTTTATGGCCCCAGGGTCAGGGGTTCTGGTGTTAGGGTGGGGCTCTATTGATTATATATAGTGAAAATACATGATTTCTTTGAAAATCTTCTTCTCTGCCCCTTTGTATTAAATAAACTAACTAAGTGCATAGTTATGATGAGCAAGAGTGCTTTTACCCAAATTGTGAATTTTATAGCCCCAGGGTCAAGGGTTCTGGTGTTAGGGGGGGGCTCTATTGATTATGTAGTGAAAATACATGAATTCTTTGAAAATCTTCTTCTCTGCTCCTAGGTATCAAATAAACTAACTAAGTGCATAGTTATGATAAGCAAGAGTGCCTCAACCAAAATTATGAATTTTATGGCCCCAGGGTCAAGGGTTCTGGTGGGGGGGGGGTGCTCTATTGATTATATAGTGAAAATGCATGAATTCTTTGAAAATCTTCTTCTCTGCTCCTAGGTATTAAATAAACTAACTAAGTACATAGTTATAATGAGCAAGAATGCCTCTTCTAAAGTTATGAATTTTATGGCCCCAGGGTCAGGGGCTCTGGTGTTAGGGCGAGGCTCTATTGATTATATAGTGAAAATGCATTAAATCTTTGAAAATTTTCTTCTCTGTCTCTGGGTATGAAGCAGATGAACTACTTTTATAGTTATGATGAGCAAGGGCCCTACTCTTGCAGAATTGTGAATTCAAGGCCCCAGGGTCAGGGGTGGGGGGGGGGCTCTACTTATATACTGAAAATGAATTAATTGTTTGAAATCTGCTCCTTTATATTTATATAACATTTATTTTTTTTCCTTTTGGGATAGGCAATTTTAAGGGTGCCTTTAAAAAAATTGTGCAATGTGTGGACCTAGGGTCAGGGGTTTATGTCACAGTGTTAGGGGCACTTCTGATTATTGCTGAATATTACTGATTAGTTGAAATGCAATATTGTTCCCCTACCCTGCGTATGGGTATTCAGTAACCAAGCTAAGCAACTGCTAAGTGTATTGTTATGATGATCAATGGTGCCTCTTTCAAAATTGTGAATGCCATATAGCATCTGGCTTAAAACATAAATCAAATTCAATAACTGGAAAGTTGTTGCATAATGCTCAGGTGACCTATAAGGCCCGTGGGCCTCTTGTCCAGGTGAATAAACAGGTTAATATTTTAGAGCTGGTCCATTTCCAAGTAAGTAATAACTTAAGTCCAAGGTGAATGAAATTCAACTGTTTATGCATGTTTCTTTGTATGCAAATTACTGATACCCTAAAATCTTAAAAATAAGCCGCGGCTTATTTTAAGTTTTGGTAAGAAATTGGGGGCTTATTTTCAAAACCAACTTATTTTCAAATTGCGGCTTATTATCAATGCAAAAAACTGGTAAGAGAAGAGAGCACAATCATGGTTTATTTTCAATACAATCATTGAATAAAGTGTAATCTAGCTATAAAATAAGAACTACTTGTTCGATCTTAAATTTTAAATCATGAATATAATAAAATAAAATAATTACAATAATACTTTGTTCAGTATCTTGCGTGTAGAAAAAAATACTGTAAAAGTGGAAAGTTTGACGAGGAGGAAACATTGACGAATGATTTTAGCTCCTCAAAGTTTTCTCTCGTCAATTGTTTAATTCATTGGCATTTCCAAGTGTACGTTCATTAGGTTTATTGTGTAATCAATCGTCTACTTTATATTTTGAGAATGCCGATCCCGAAAAGATAACTTCATTGTATACAGCATATAAAGTTACGTGAAATATAAACTTGTTTTAAAAAAGTAAAAATAATATATAAGATATCCGCTTGAATCACTTGATAAATGTATCAAACAAACACATACTTAAACAACTCAATTACATGTAAAAGATATATTGAAATATAATTACTACCAAGCCCTGCAGGTTAGCAGGTTTCCTGCCGCGGGCAGTATTACCTGACAGTTAAATGCTTTACAAACAAAAATCTCCTTTTATCCATTTACTTATTTAATTATAACAACTTTAAATACATCGTTAGCTAGTACAGGTCTAAATGAGATAATTATTGTTCTGACAATTTCATGAAAAAAATTCACAATGTTAGCTGGTTCCGCAATGACATTTTTTTAGCCAGCGTAACATGCTTACTGGTAAAAAAAATTAACTTTAAGAGCTACCCTTTATTAGTAATTTTACAAAAGTACATTAGTAGCTACAGACTTAGTTCGTACTATGTCATTGATACTCGTATTCGTTCGTACTTTGTCGTAAACATGCAGAAATTGAGAAAGGTTAAATGAATTCAAGAAAGATAACTCATTTTTAATTTGCACAGTAAAAATATCGTCAAAGTTTTCACTCGTCAAATTTTTAAGACGAGGAAATCGTCAAACGTATAACATCTTTCCTAAATGGCATTGTTATCACCGGCTTATTTTCAAAACTGGCTTATTTTCGAGTAATTTTTAATGCAAGAAATAGGTGGCTTATTTTCAAAACCGGCTTATTATTAAATCCGTCTTATTTTCAAGATTTTAGGGTATGTTTTAGAAGCTGGATCTGACCTTCACTTACATGGTGATTGAACATTAAATCTTTAAAGTTTTTGGAGCAGGTTTATTTTCAAGTATCAAAATTCCCAGGACCAAACTTGTATAGATTTTTTATCAAGGGATGCACAGTACCAGAACATTTGTTTGGTGTGAGACTTATAGACTTATAGACAACATTTTTTCAAGATTACCTTACAATTTTACATTAAAATACTTTTTCTCTTGAAAGGAGGGTTTTTATAGCATTTGTATTACATGTACACGTATAAATATGCAAGCATTTCCTTGTTGTGTAGACTATTTCTTCCTTGACTTTTGGCTCCAAGAGAAGTACAGTAAAACATGCTTATTGTGAACACGCCTTTGATGAATTGACACTTACAGCAACTAAAGTAACGTCATTCTCTGAGACTTTATTATTCTGTAAATGTGGTTATTTTGACGAATTGAAAAATTGATGTTTTTTTGTTTACGAAAATTGACAAATGTTAATTTTGGCAAAATATTGAAACAAGAGTTATGTATTTTTGATTTTACAGGGTTAAAAATCGAACGCAAAGAATTCTCAAAAAGGAGTTTCCAAAAATGTTACACTGGTGGAAATATTGGGTTTGATGACATTATACTTGAGAGCAGAAATGGGTCCTGAAAGTTCATGGTGTTGTAAGCAAAGACTGCAACTTCCTTGTGAACTCATTTTCAAGCGTTTGCATCAATAAAATTTTATTCTGCTTGTAAAAACATGATCTACAGTGTATATAGTGTCAAAATTTCCACATTTACAGTATACATGTATTGTAAACTGAACAGATATAACAAATTATGCTGATAACAAAGCAAATTGTCTGTCCATGATCTTTCAGAATGTTTTACTGTAATACTGTCACAATCAGGGATGAAGTATTTGCTTGAAGCATGTTTGGAAATTTTTTAAGAAATATATTCACCCAAAAAGCAGGGTGACTGAGTTGTGCCTTCTTTTTAGCTCACCTCAACGAAGTTGGGGGAGCTTATATAATACCCTCGGCGTCGGCGTCAGTGTCCCAGGTTAAGGTTAAGTTTTTGGAAGCAGTTTTCTTTTTAAGTACTTTTATGTCCTATATTGATTAGACATGCATGGAAGATGGTTCTACTGTGTTTCAATGTACCAGTCAAAGTTTCAGATGCTGCAGTTTCAGCAAAGGAATGACCAGGTTAATGTTTTTGGAGCAGGTTAACATTTTTGGTGCAGTTTTTGGTGTAGATTTCATTTCCAAGTTACTAAAAGCCCTATGTTGACCAAACTTGCATGGATGATACATCTAAGGATGCATACTACCGGGCTTGCTTCGGATGCTGAATCTGACCTACATTTTCCGGTTGAGTGAACAGGTTAAAGTTTTTGGTGCAGGTTTCATTTCCAAGTAACTATAAGTCCTATGTTGACCAAACTTGCATGGATGATACATCTTGTGCATACTACCAGGCTTGCTTCGGATGCTGAATCTGACCTACATTTTCCAGTTGAGTGAACAGGTTAAAGTTTTTGGTGCAGGTTTCATTTGCAAGTAACTTTAAGCCCTATGTTGACCAAACTTGCATGCATGATACATCTAAGGATGAATATTACCGGGCTTGCTTGGGATGCTGAATCTGACATACATTTTCTAGTTGAGTGAACAGGTTAAAGTTTTTGGTGCAGGTTTCATTTGCAAGTAACTTTAAGCCCTATGTTGACCAAACTTGCATGCATGATACATCTAAGGATGAATATTACCGGGCTTGCTTGGGATGCTGAATCTGACCTACATTTTCCAGTTGAGTGAACAGGTTAAAGTTTTTGGTGCAGGTTTCATTTCCAAGTAGCTACGAGTTCTTTAATGACCAATCTTGCATGGATGATACATCTAAGGATGCATACTACCAGGCTTGCTTCGGATGCTGAATCTGACCTACTTTTTGTGGATGAGTGAAAATGTTAGTTTTTAATACATGTTTCATTTCCAATTAAGTATGAGCCCTATAATGAGCAAACTTGCATGGACGATACATCTTAGGATGCACACTAATGGACTTGCTTCGGATGCTGAATTTGACATACATTTTTCAGATAATAGACCAGGTAAAAGTTATGGTTGCAGGTCTCTTACCAAAAAACTATAAGGCTCATATAACATAGTATAAATCAAACTTGCACAAATGTTGCATCAAGAGATGAAAACTCTCAAATTTGCTTCAAATGCTGGATTTTGATTACATTTTCATTAAGAAGAACTAGTTTAAATTTTTTATGTAGGTCTATTTCAAAGTATCAGATCAAAATTGCTTAAATATTTTCATTTTTGGAATGTACACTTTTTTGTTGGTTAATTGTGTGACTTTGCCTTACTTAAAGACAACATTCGTTGAGGTGAGCTCTGTAATCTCTGATTACCTATGTTTTTTTTTTGGAGGGGAGGGGGGTGGGGGGATGAGGGCTGTATTTATCATCATTATCAATCATTTACCAGTTGAATGTTATTTAGTATAAAATTGTTGATAAGGAAAGAACATGAAACTTTACTTAAATAAACTTGCAGTATGACACTCAGGTACCTGTACTTTCCCCATATTTTTTTATCTGACATAAAAAATTATTTTAGGATTTCAGGCATTTATAATCAATTGCAAAACTTATTTTGAAATTTGTTTTTGTAGAAGTGCATTTTTTGCCCTCGTTACAAAGGTTTGTTGTTTTTATCAATTACAGGTAATGAAAAGTGTGAGAATTTTTATGCCAACCAGACAAGAGAAGTTTGCTATAGTAAGTTTTGTCACTCCTCTGTTTAATTGTCTTAATATGTTAAAGATTCCAATATAATATATACATAAGTCTGTGAATGGAAATATAGTCATAGTTGGTTATCTCCAACCTGATGGGGCTGAGAAAAAACTTTGAGATATTGGAGGATTCACTATATCGATGGTATATATGGTTGGAACTTCCAGATCACTTAGAAATATCCATGGTATTCAAGATTGAGATTCAGTTGAGTTGGAGATTCAACTATTTTTTTGTTTATAGATATTCTTTTGTACATGTTTATATTACATACTGTACGTTTACATAATTTGGCGTATTCAAAATTTAGTGTAATCACTGGGGTTGAAGTTGTTGGCGTAATCATAAATTAGCGCAACACATGCCAATTCAGTGTATTGTATATGTAAATGATTTCTCAGCGGTATTCATGAATTAGCGCATTGTTGTCTACACCAAAGAGGCTAAAATATGAAGCCCGTTTTTTAAAATACATGTACAGTAGTTGGCAATGTTTTTTGTGTTTCAGATGCTGCTGCTTCATTTTGGAAAAGAAATACAAGTATGTCAGATATAAAATGTAGATCAAATGCTACAATTACTTACTCTTTATCGGCAAAAATAAAAATACATTAGTGCAGGTACTTGGTTAATGCATTCTAGTCAGATAAAAAAATATCCAGGATATAGAGATTATTTGGGGATATACACCAAGAATTTTTTGATGAGATGAAAATTCAAATTTCAGTCTAAAGTGTAAGGTTTTTATTAGAAGATATATGTAGTTATACCTGGTATGTGTATTAATTCACTTTCAAGATCCATGAACATGTATTCCAATCAGGAACGTGAAGTAAGCCAGTCCTTTTTACTTCATTGATGGTCTGATACTCATTTTTATCATTTAACAATTTAACCTTAAATGGAATTGATTCACTATTGTCTGAATTATAGCTCAAGTGAGATTTCAGCGGGAGTTTGCCGAGTGTCCGTACCGTAGCTTTGGTGGTTATGCGATAGTGATTCAGTATCTGGTCATTACGAAACTCATCCTTCTAACTCTCCTCTACGCTTTATTCAGGTAGGAGTCCTCCTTATATTTTTATCACCTTCTTTAAAATTCATGATGCACAACCTGCCCAAAGTCTTTGAATATTTTTTTAAAGTGTGAATACTTGATATTATCAGACAAAAGATGTACTAGATAGAATACAGAATGAACAATCTTGTAAACTAACAAACACATTTACTGACAGAGTAGTTAGATATATTATGTTATGTTTCAGTGCCACCAATGCCAAAATAAAGCAAGAATCGGAGGAAATCTGGAAATACCAGGTGTACAGCATCATTGTGGACTTTGAGACTCGTCTGAGATTACCCGCTCCATTTAATTTCATCAGCTACATCATCATGATGTTTGAGTTCATCTGTCAGAAACTCAAACTGTGCCTAAAGAAATGTTGTCAATCTTCTTGCTGTAGGAAAAAGGATCAAGTGGTAGAGTGAATTTTTAAAAATTTTACTTAAAGGGCAAATTACTTATAATAATTATTGAAACCAACTCCTTGAACCTCCAAATGAAATATTAAACCATCATAATTATAGTAAAAAACACAAAGTTAATATAAGGTTGCGCTGTGGAAGACTTTAATACATACAGTCAGATCATAGACTTTTTCACCATATATAAATGGATATACACTAAAAATGACTTAATAAATTAATGATAAAAATGAAATCCTTAATAAACATGGGAACACACTGTATCTAGGAAAAAATCTTTTTAAAATTGTATCTTCATGAACCACTCTGACATCAGTTCTGTAGCTTGAAAAAGTTAACAGCATGTGTAAGATTTATTGATATACATCAAATATCAAAGCCCAATCTAGCAACAACTAATTGATAATTATGGGTGCAACTAATTTTGTTGAACAACAAAAAATCCTGTCTTTGAGTATGTGTGTATAAAAAGAATGTATGGTAATAGTAAAGCTCCATTTGCAGGATGGTGAGGGTGTGTCTGTTATAAAGATCAAGGGCACGACAGACTACAGCTACTGGAAGATCTGTATGAAGAAACTGAACGAGGAGCAGGAGAAAGGTGAAAGAGAAGCTGCACGACTTACAGAGCAGAGTCAAAGGTTAGAGAAATCAAACGCAGGGTCAAAGGTTAGAGAAATCAGACTCACTGAGCAGGGTCAAAGGTTAGAGAAATCAGACTCACAGAGCAGAGTCAAAGGTTAGAGATATCAGAGCAGGGTCAAAGGTTAGAGAAATCAGACTCACAGAGCAGGGTCAAAGGTTAGAGAAATCAGACACACAGAGCAGAGTCAAATTTTAGAGAAATCAGCTATGTGATAGATTTATAGGTGTGTTTTAGCCTATACATTTGTACCACCTAAGCAAATTGTTGTAAAATATAAGTTATCAATAAGCAATCAGGCAATGGTTTTACTTCTTTTAACTCATCTGATTCAAATAAGCTTAATATGATAATGATATGTTCCTATATCATATTTGTCCGTCTGTATTTGACTTATTGATAGATTGTATTTGCTAACAAGTATTGACCATATAATTTATGATATGAAACGAGACTGTCGATATTCTTGTCATAGTAATCAGAATTCTATTGTAGAATAGAACATCTGGTAACACAATCCAAACTACAGAGGGAATTTAATGACAGAATGACAGAGCAGATGTCAAATCTGGAGAGACAGCTGATTGCCTGTAGCTTAGCTTTGGAGCAGATTGCCCACAAAATAGACACCATTGGTCAGTATCATTGAAAGCCACATAAAATTGTTGCATATATTAACACCCTGACCCCACCCTTCAACCCCACCCCACCCCAAAAAAAGAAGTTTTGGGGAATATAGAAATCACCATATTTATTTGTTTGACTTTCTTTCAACGTAATTATGAAAAGGTCATAATTTTGTTGCAGAAACATCTGAGACACACAGTCCCATATAACTCAGTGTGTCTTGACCTTGACTTAGGTCAAGTACAAGGTGACCTTTTGAAAAAAAATTTGATTCCTGTCTTGGCCATATCTAAAAATGGAATACTTAAAATTTTCTACAAAAATTGCTGATGACCCTCATGAACTTGTGACAGGTCAGTTTGAAAAGCTGAAGGTCAAAAGCAGGAGAAATGCACAATTCATGTCTGATCCATAAATTTTAAATGGAAAAACACTGGATGTTCTAATTTCACACTAATATTTCCGTATTTTCTATAGTTGTGACATAACCTCGACCTAAGTTCATTTTGAAAGGTTGAAAGTCCTGGCAGAAGTTTGAAATTCATAGCCCTTTCATACCTGTAAAAGTTGAACTTCAGTATCTCTAACACTAATATCTTAAAAACATGTACAGTATGTAAATAAGTGAAGTGATTTGGAAATCCCAAACCTTTTCATTCAGTTTTTAAGAAGTAAGGAAAAAGGGAAAGGGTGATCTATACATATATACATGTAGTACATTGTTTTCTTGCAGATCCCCAGGCCCGGCCAGAATTAGAGACCGCCACCTCCCTTCACATTGCTAGTCGTCAGTCTCCGTATCCCTACACTAAGATACAGAGGTTTCCTGTCTTTGACAAGTACGTCAACTGGGAGGTAGGTATCATGTTGCACAGACTTAGAACCTTTTGTTAGAGGCATCTGAAGATGACATACTGTAACATGTGAAATATGTTATACAGGAGCCTTATCCTACCTATGATCCAGTCCTGTACACCAAACCTGTGGATGAATACAGAGAATCTATACAGAGTCTGGTGGATCCAGATTTTATTGAGTAAGTAGGATGGATATTACATGGATTGAGAATTTCATTTTTAATATTTAAGGAATCACTGTCTAGTTTGTTGGGTATGCCAGGGCATTGATGATTGTTGAAAACGTGGGATAAAATTATCTCAGGCTTCTAACATTGTTAAAGTCCCTGGCATACCCAACAACCTACACACTGTACCGGGTATTATGTATTCATCTACTTAAGTTTTGTACGTTGTAATGTTGAAAATGCTTAATATGTTATATCCGAGAGCAAATCAGTCTACTGGCCTATGGAATTAGAACTCTTTGTTGTTCAGTGCTTAGAGCTTCAGGGACTGACAAATCCCATTGCCGGACGCCCGGGCTAGTGAATTTTAGAGGCGGGCAAGTGAATTTTTAATAGGCACTTGCCCGTGGGCAAGTGACTTTTTAAAAAAATCAATCGATAAATATTTTTTAAAATGTCATCGTTTTCCACAAAATTAAAATTATTTTGTTGTAAGAGTTATCTTCCTTTGTTTGTCACACTTTGTATGCAAACCAGTTTAATTGTGTCATCATTATGCAATTCATTACAAGTTTTACCGAAAGTTTTAAGTACATGTATTTGTACTTAATTGAAAGTGACAAATTGGCATTGAAGAAATGGAGAAAGTTTTGACAGTTATGTGGCAGAAAACGATCGATAGTTGATGATAAGTACATCGTCCATAAACAAATAACAGATATCATGACTATAGCTGAAATATGATAGCAATTTTATGTCTCTATATGAGTGGAAAATTCTCGAACGGGACATAAAACAGCATACAACCAATCAAAAGATTGTATGGTACGTAGTAATTAATGGCAGGAGGTTTTAAATGTCACCAATATTCAAAACAACAATCCTAGGCTGCAAAATTTTTCGATTTAGAGACAAGCTAATTCATTATGATGAATATAAAGTGCTGGGGCAAGTAAAAATTGAAGTAGGGCAAGCGAAATTTGACCATGCACTTGCCTGTGGGCAAATGCTTGAAAAATCTATTTGTCAGCCCCTGGAGCTTCCTTAATATATTTTTCAGGATCATACAGCGTATGGAGAGCAGCAGTCAGAGTCAGGATGAGAGAACCAGTTTATTGTCGGTTACCGGGTACCAGAAACCCCTGTGGAATCTGTCAGCTACATTTGTCATCAATGAGAAAAGCATAGAAATCAATAGAGTATCTTGGATCACCAGGGACGGTGTACCAATTCGATATGAGCTCGACTCCTCCAACATGCCTATGTAAGACACACTCTTTAATGTAAATTTTAAAATATAATTTCATGTAAAATCAGTTTTAAAAAATGTTTGTTTGACCTCTCCCGTCTAAGGTTAGGGCCTTTACCTTAAAGTTTTAATTTTTTTTCGATTTCTGTGTTCTACAATAGTAGAATTAATATTTCAGAAATTCCATGGGTCGTACTGGTATGAGAGGAAGAGGGAAGTTGAGGAGATGGGGGCCGAATCATTGTGTGATGTTGGTCGTGTCCAGATGGAAGAGATTTCTGTCTACAGGTCAGAACCAGCAGAACTTCATCACGGTGGATGGCAAAAAAGTCCTAGAGGTCGTAGTATTTCAAAAGAAGGAATCAGGGGAGTTCACTCTGCCTAGTGTAAGTTTGATGAAATGTTCAAAGAAAATTGCATGTGTAGTAGTTTGGGCTATATGGACTGTCGGTATTGGTTTTGTTAGCTCAATGGTTGAAAAAAGTGATCATAATACGTGCAAGTAGTGACGATTATAAATTCCTCATAGTTTATGTATGTCTTACCTTCAAAACTCGGGATATTCAAACCATACACATTTACTTAGCCATTTTGGAAATTTTCTTTGTCTTGGAGTTCCATCTAATTTGGATGGTGATGTTGTTCTTGAATCTTTCTGATTTCTGTATATTTTTACAAATTGTAGACCATTTGTTTATATACTGACACGCAAAAGAAACACAACACACTACTTTAGGGGGGAAATAATTATGTAAAGTAAAGAATTTTGTATCTTAAAATTATGAATATCTTCAATTTGGTAAATATCGGTAATTTAACGGTTGAACGATTTCCATACCATACCAGAAGTCAAGTTTGAGTCTGCTTAACAGAAATCAAAAAATTGCATGTTTAACACAACATTTGGCAATATTATGGAGTTTTAAGGGATTTTTTACTGTTCATCATAAGTAATGCAGCAATATTTCAAAAAATCAACTCTTCTTTCGTTTCCCGTAACGATGCTAAGGCTACTTGAAAATGGCTTATGTACGCATTTCCATTGCTCTAACTGGAAAATTTCAATGTAAAGGTGATGGAGAATTGCTGATGCGAAATTTCACTACATTACGCCTCAACAGGGTCTTACGTATCAAATGCATTAAGGACAGTCCTTGTACCGGAAGTCAAAGGGTTGCTACACTGCTCTCAGTTAGAGAAAATTCGACTTAATCATCTGAAAAACGGGCATTTAAAAATGCCAAAGAATAATTCCTTCGCTCAGATCTCGATATTAATGAACCTATTGTATCGTAGAAATAAAGCTGCAATTGTTGTGTAGGGCAGTCTTGCATGTTTTACTTGAATGGCTGGGAGGGGGGTATTTTAACAGTCATATTTTACTTAGTGAAGTAAACAGATAAACAGTGAGTTTAGCCGTACTTTATTCGCTTTTGAAAATCATAAGACAAAAAATCAAACATTTGTAGATTACTGCTTGTTGCGTTTCTTTTGCGTGTCAGTATAAATGAATCTATATCATATTGTTTCACTCATAAACATATTCTGCAAAAAATAGCATGTAAAACACATCAGATGAAGAAACCCCCAAATACAACCAGGTACAGGGTGTAATCTTAGATGAGCTCACTTTTGATCTAAGTCTCACTTTTCTATTATTAATTCCTTTTGTAAAAGTGAGATCAAAAGTGAGCTTGTCTAAATTTTATGGCCCTGGAGCCTGAGATGGCAATCAGCTGTAGCTATCTGATAAGCCAGCACAACTTAGAGTTGTGATCATCAGGATAAGAAATGAAAATTCACCTACGAACAATTGTGATCCAGATGCTACCTAATCCAGTTTTATTTTGAATGAGCTTTGAGAACTTATAGACATTTTATAACAATGCACCAGTTATTCTTCATTCTGTTCTGTAGGGTATGGTGTCATGTCTCTCTACTCAGCTGTCTGTAGGAAATTGTATTGTTCTGTGTTCTGTAGGGTAAGGAATATGGTGACATGTCCCTCTACTCAGCTGTCTGTAGGAAATTATATTGTTCTGTGTTCTGTAGGGTAAGGAATATGGTGACATGTCCCTCTACTCAGCTGTCTGTAGGAAGTTTCTGGAGAACATTTTCCAGGAGTCTGAGACCAAGCTTGACCCTAACATGACAGAACAACAAATGATTCAGGTACAATAACAACAAATTAATGATTCAGGTATTGTAACAACAGACCAACAAACAACATAACAACAAGTGATTCAGGTACAGTAACAACAGAACAACAAATGATTCAGGTAAGATGACAACAAATGATTCAGGTATTGTAACAACAGAACAACAAATGCTTCAGGTACAGTAACAACAGAACAACAAATGGTTCAGGTATGGTAGCAACAGAACAACAAATGATTCAGGTACAGTAATAACAGAACAACAAATGATTCAGGTACAATAACAACAGAACAACAGTTGATTCAGGTAAGACAACAACAGCACAACAAATGATTAATGTACCGTAACAAGAAGAACAACACATGATTCAGGTATTGTAACAACAGAACAACAAATGATTCAGGTACTGTAACAACAGAACAACAAATGATTCAGGTAAGGTAACAACAGAACAACAAATGATTCAGGTATGATAACAACAGAACAACAAATGATTCAGGTAAGGAAACAACAGAACAATAAGTGATTCAGATAAGGTAACAGCAGGACAACAAGTGATTCAGGTAAGATGACAACAGAACAACAAATGATGCAGGTATAATAAGAGCAGAGCAACAAATGATTCAGGTACATAACATCAGAACAACAGATGATTCAGATACATAACAATAGAACAACAAATGATTAGGTATATAACAACAGAACAACAAATGATTCGGGTACATAACAACAGAACAGCAGATGATTTAGGTACAGTAACAACAGAATAACAAATCATTCAGGTATTGTAACAACAACACAATAACAAATGATTCAGGTACGATAAAAAACAAAAAATCAGGTCCGAGAACAACAGGACAACAAATGGTTCAGGAACAGTAACAACAGAACAACAAATGATTCAGGTAGGGTAAAAACAGAACAACAAATGATTTAGGTACAGTAACAACAGAATAACAAATGATTCAGATACAGTAACAACAGAACAACATATGATTTAGTTACTTTAACAACACAACAACAAATGAATGAGGTACAGTAATAACAGAACAACAAATAAGTTAGGTTTAATGCTAACAATAGAACAACAAATGATTCAGGTATGAATAAGAACAGAACAAGAGGACAACAAATGATGCAGGTATATAAATAACAACAATTGATTCAGGTACATAAATGATAGAACAACAATTGATTCAGGTACTGTAAGAGAGTATTACAAATGATTTATTTACTGTAACAACAGAACAACAAATGATTCAGGTACATTAACAACAGAACAACAAATGCTTTAGTTACCATAACAACAGAACAAAAAATGATTTAGGCACAGTAACAAGAGAATAAATGATTCTGGTAAGATAACAACCAATGAATCGGGTCTGAAAACAACAGGAAAACAAATGATTTAGGTTTGATAAGAACAGAACAACAAAGGAATCAGGTACAGTAATAACAGAACAACAAAATGATTCAGGTACATTATTGACAAAACTACAAATGATTCTGGTAATGTAACAACTAAATAACAAATGATTCAGGTACAGTAATAATAGAACAACAAGTAATTCAAAGTACAGTATCAACAGAACATCAAATGATTCAGGTATGTTAACATTAATGATAGAACGAAAATTGATTCAAGTACTGTTGTGACAGATTAACAAATGATTCAGGTCTGTAACAACAGAACAACAAATGATTCAGGTACAGTAATAACAGAACAACAAATGATTAAGTTAACAAAAATGATTTAGGTTCATAATAACAGAACAGCAAATGATTTATTTACCGTAACAAAAGAACAACAAATTATTTTTAAAAGTACAGTAACAACAGAATAACAAATGATTTGGGTATTGTAACAACAGAACAACAAATGATTTAGATACCTTAATAACAGAACAATGAAATTAATGATTTAGGTACCTAACAACAGAACAACAAATGATTCAGGTACATAAAAACAGATTGACAAATGACTCAGGTATAAGAACAGAAAAACAAATGATTCAGGTAAAGAACATTAAATGATTCAGGTGCAGTAACAACAGAACAACAAATGATTTAGGTAAATTAACAACAGAACAACAAATGATTCAGGTAAATTAACAACAGAACAACAAATGATTCAGGTAAAGTAACAACAGAACAAATGATTTAAGTACATTAATGATAGACCAATAAATAATTCAAAGTACAGTAACAACAGAACAACAAATGATTCAGGTATGGTAACAATAGAACAACAAATGATTCAGGTACAATAACAACAGAAAACAAATGATTTAGGTTAGATAACAACAGAACAAAAAATTATTAAGGTATGATAAGAACAGAACAATGAATGATTCAGGTACAGAACAACAAATGATTCAGGTACATGACAACAGAACAATAAATGATTCAGGTATAATGGTAACAATAGAACAACTAATGAGTCAGGTACATGACAAAGGAACAACAAGTGATTCAGGTACATAACAACAGAACAATAAATGATTCAGGTATAATGGTAACAATAGAATAACAAATGATTCAGGTACATAACAACAGAACAAGAAATGATGCAGGTACATTAGTGACCACAATTGATTCAGGTACATTAATGACAGAGCAACAAATGGTTCAAGTCCTGTAAAAACAGAACAGCAGATGATTCAGATATGATAAGAGCAGAACAACAAATGTTTCAGGTACATAACAACAGAACAACAAATGATTCAGGTATGATAAGAGCAGAACAAATGATTCAGTTACATAACAGCAGAAAAATAAATGATTTTTGTACAACACAATAGAACAACAAATGATTCAGAAAAGTAACAACAGGACAACAAATGATGCAGGTACATTAATGACAACAATAGATTCAGGTACATGAATGATAGAACAACAATTGTTCAGGTACTTTAATGACAGCATAACAAATGATTCATTTAAAGTAACAACAATGATTCAGGTTCAGTTCAGTAATGACAGAACATTAATGATAGGTCAACAATTGATTCAGGTTCTGTTATGGCAGAACAACAAATGATTCAGGTAAAGTAACAACAGAACAACAAATGGTTCAGGTAAGGTAATGTAGAACTACAAATGATTCAGGTATTTAACAACATAATAACAATGATTCTTGTATGGTGATGATGGAACAACAAATGGTTCAGGTAGGGTAACAACAGAACAACAAATGAATTAGGTACAGTAACAACAGAATAACAAATGATCCAGGTATTGTAACAACAGAACAACAAATGATACAGATGCAGTAATAAGAGAACAACAAATGATTCAGGTATTGTAACAACAGATCAACAAATGATTCAGGTACAGTAACAACAGAACAACTACTGATTCAGGTAAAGTAACAACAGAACAACAAATGATTCAGGTACAATAACAACAGAATGACAGTTGATTCAGGTTTAATGGTAACAATAGAACAACAAATGATTCTGGTACATAACAACAGATCAACAAATGGTTCAGGTACAGTAACAACAGAATAACAATTGATTGAGGTATTCTAACAACAGAACAGCAAATTGTTTAGGTGCAGTTATAACAGAACAAATAATTTAGGTATGCTTTAGAATAATGCAAATAAGAAAATCTGAAGGAGGGCATACTTATCAGTGTCATAAACCAACTATAGATTTCCTGTTTTATTTTGTTGTTGATGTAATTTTATGATGTTTGTATTTTAGACAATTTTTCCCTGTATTTCAGTTCTTTGAGCAGTTTGTGGAGCCCCATCCTGGCCCCTTCACAGGGTTTACTTCAGGACAAATTTACAAGGGCTACATGGATGATCCGTGTAACACTGACAATGCCTGGAGAGAGGCGGAGGTCTGGAACATACACTACCATGTTCCAGATAACCTTGACCTAAAGATCAAGGACGTATGTATAATTCACTTCATCATTATAGGTTTAAACATTGGTAGGAAAAGGCTTAAATTAACCATTGTCATAACACAGATGTGACATTCATTTGTTTTATTGGGGAATAACCCTATAATTATATTTATTTTATAGAAAGAGAAAAAATGGAAAGAAGTGTCTTCTTATCTTAGACTACCAGGAAACCAGAATCTAATCGTGCAAGAAGCAGCCCGTAACCATGGTGCCTATTATTAAAACTGGTCGACATACACCTACATATTTACCTGTCCAATAAAAGCCTTAACCACCAAGTACATGGTTGTAGATTCCAAGTGCAATGTTAATAACAGAAATAAATGCTGTGTTGTCTTGTTTAAAATTTTTATTGCTTTCTTAATATATATAATTTTCCCATATTATTTTATTGTATTTTTTTCTTTATATAAGTTATTTTACAATTGCTTTTTTTTAAATGCTTTATACACACTTTTGGTGTTGGCAGATTATTCTATGGTGCATTTTTATTACTTTCTCTTTTTTTGGTCAAAATTCTGTGCTGTGCCATTTTACACAGATGATTTATTGGTTTGTTTAATTACCTCATTTTTATATTTTCATATGTACCTTATTTTATCATTTATTTACTGTTCAATATTTTATCAGGTATATGTAGACTTTAAGGTGCCATTCATGTTATTGATATTGATAGTTTGGTAAGGTTCTGAGAGGTGGGACAATAGTGGATATAATCAGAAACTTTTTTTATTTAAGATTTGCAATCAGTTTCCAATGTCATTATAGTAGAGTAGATAAAACAGGTTGTAGATTTTACATTAGCAAAGCTTCCATGTCCTTGTCAGTTTATAATTCAGGGTAAAATGTAACAGCTTGTAAATAAATCATTATGAATATTGCATTAATCCAACTACAACATAAGGGTTGGCAAAAGGAAATACTCTGCATCAATAATGACTTATAAAGTCGGCAATATTTAACCACATGTATTTTTCAGTAGATCACTGTGTAGAAATGCTTATATACTTCTAAAGAAAATGAAACGCAAATGTACATCTTAGTTGCAGAATCTTATTTTTTTTTATATGATGTAGCAAACTTTAACATCGATGTTAATCTCTCAAAATTATTCCTGCAGTATGAAGCTAGTCTTAGATTTTTAAAATGAGAAATACGGGTAGTTAAGTGGCTAGAATGTAAAATCCAGAGAAAAATGTTTATCATTTGTAATTTGTTATTCATTGCTCAATTTTTAAGACCAATGATTTTATTTTTCATCTTGTCAGTTTTATCATAAGGTTTAAATAGTTCTATTGCTTGATAGAATTTGTTGCTCTTCAGTTTCATTTTGTTTTAACAGTATTTCAGTTATTAGCTCACAGTTACTTTTATTGAAACAAAAAAAAATCTCAGCTCCTGTGTGCCCAAGGCTGGAATAAACTTATGCTTTTGCCATTTGTGCTGGTTGTGTAAAAGTTTTGATTCAATTGAGTCACTTTAGTCAGACGTCCATTTATTATCTGCTCAAGTCCACTTGTTACTTGGTAAACTTCTGTAGCTGAACAACCACAAGGAAGCATTCCTAGACATAAAATTTACATTCAAGATTCCTTGGCCTCACAAAGAATTACATAAAAATATGTACGAAAAATCTTGTTTAATAATATATTCTCCAAAACATTTTAAATACCAAATTTTCAGTAGAGCAGGTTTGAAGTGCTTAATTTTCCTTACTTTTTCTTTTGCGAACAATACAAAATGCAGGGTATTTTGTAGTTTTAGTTAACAAAGGCTGAAGGAAGCTTTCTGTCTCGTTGTTGTCTTAAAAATTTATACAATTTCAGTTGCATGTGTACTTTGCCCAAACATCTAGACCAATTTCAATTCTTAGTTATACAGAATACTCTTGTTTCCATGTGGTATATATTTTCATTTTACCTTCAGTCTGAAGAAATTTGTCAACTTTGTTCCAATGATAAAATCAAAACAAGCTTACTGGGTACATCTTAAGAAACCTTGTACATCCAGAAATGAAGAGATACACCTTACAAATTTCCAGTGCTTTTGCACAAAATTTATTTTTGAAAATAATATTCAGTTTATTTTATATCCAGTGCTCACTTGAATTTACATGTATATAGCTAGTCATAGAAAGAAATTTTAAAAAGTTAGGTAATTACTGTATTAGAAAATCCATCAAAATGGATCGAGTAGTTTACACTCTGTGTGACATTGTGTGACACTTCAGAACCAATACTCTTTTGTTTATGGCATGGTTTGTTAAGCAAAATGTTGTTAGATATACAGTACTGTATATGATTAAAAGTAAATAAAGGGACTTGCATTGAATAAATATATTGATGTCGCTTTCTCAACCTTTTTTTCATTCATTTATATGTAATGTGAATATCAAGATGGAATGGGAAGAATGAAGAAAGATCTTTCTTTCCATAAAGAAAGATTAAATAAATACTGTATCCATGTTTTATCCTCTGTAGAATTGAACCAAAACTCTCCTGTTGTGGTTTGTTGAAGCAAGATGTTGTTAGATACTGTAAATCACTTTTTATTTGAGTGACCTTTATTTTCACTTAATTACACCAGACATTGTGCTTGCAAAAAATACTGTAGTATCACTCGTGGATATTAATACACCTAGAGATTATATGTAGCAGTAATCACAATTTGTGAAAATTTTGTCTCGCTTATAGAGACTAAATATGTATCTTGCGAAAATAAAGTGTTGCGAAAATTTAGTGATCTACAGTATACAGTACTGTATAAGATCAATAGGGGACTTGCATTAATAAATATATTGATTTGCTTTTGCAACCATTTTTAGCTCACCTTGACGAAGTCGAGATGAGCTTATGCTATACCCCTGGCGTTGGCGTCCCAGGTTAAAGTTTTAGGAGCAAGTCCATTCCCAAGTAACTATACATGTAAGCCATACCTGAACCAAACTTGCATGCATGATGCATCTAGGAATGGACACTACCAGACTTGCTTCAGATGCTGGATCTGACGTACATTTTCCAGATGAGTTACCAAGTTAAAGTTTTTGGAGCAGGTCCATTTCCAAAGAACTATAAGGCCTACTCGGACCAAACTTGCATGCATGATGCATCTAGGGATGGACACTACCAGACTTGCTTCGGATGCTGGATCTGACCTACATTTTCCAGATGAGTGACCAGGTTAAAGTTTTTGGAGCAGGTCCATTCCGAACTATAAGCCGTACCCAAACCAAACTTGCATGGATGATGCATCTAGGGATGGACACTACCAGACTTGCTGTGGATGCTGGATCTGATCTATATTTTCATTTCCAAGTAACTTTAAGCCATACCCGGATCAAACTTGCATGGATAATGCATCTAAGGATGGAAACTACCAGACTTGCTTCGGCTGCTAGATTTGACCTATATTTTCCCAAACAAGAGACCAGGTTAAAGTTTTTGGAACAGATCAATCCCAAAGAACTTGAAGTTGGTATCGGCAGTATTAACAAAGTTATGAATATTTGTTTACACTATACATGTTTTTCACACTAGACGCTTAGAAATGTGTATGTGCCATGTAAGGGGTTAAACAGAACTTGCAAGAATATTGTTGTCGGGATAAATACCAACTATTAAGAAAATATTATGTGAGATTTGCATTAACATTCGTCGAGGTGAGCTTCGTAATCTTTGATTACCTATGTTTTTCATTAACTATAAAATGTGCCGTATTATCATAAGAGAAACATAGAAAAATGTTTATGAAAGAAAAATAACTTCAACATAGATAACAGGTTAACCTTTTTTTTGGTGGTGGGGGGGGGGTGCAAGATGATATAACGCAGGCCTGTAGGAAGTAATTTTCAGTTGGGGGAGGGAGCACAGCCATATATTTTCAGTTGGAGGGGCATTTTGAAGTACCAGAACTTCTTTGACAAGCAACAACAAAAAAAAAGAACACATGTGCTTGAGGACAGGAACCCCCCCCCCTTTCGATATAGACCCTTAATTGGGCCTTTTCGACTTTTTTCTCATAAACTATCTTTCAATGTCATATCTGTGATAAAATCTATACCAACAATTCGAAAAATTACCTAAAACAAACGTTTTATAAATCTACTCTACATTCGATGTGTAAAAATCAACCTTGTTAAATATATAGATAGTGGGGTGGATTTTTGTATATAAAATGTTAGTTTAAACAAATTTTCTGAAATGATAGGATAGATTAATTCACAAATGTGTAATCTATTTATCGGCAGAACTATTGGGGGCACACCCCCGGCCATGAAACGCATGCATAACTAACAAGTGAAAATGATCCTTGTCACCAATGCGTTGTGTTAATCACCAATGTACGATGAAAAAAATTTGTTCGTGATTAACCTTATAACAAACCTGTATAGGACTTATCATAATTTCTTCGGTCACAAATCACAATTTCACTTCTGCTGGATTATTGAAAAGAAACAACATATTGTTCCTCCATTCGTCGTTAAAAGCGTTGATATTATGACGTCACAATTGATATTGTGACGTAAAAATATTGTTACGAATCGGTGATCACGTATCAAAATAGTGATTAAATTTCGTATATTAATCTATTAGTTTCTTATTACTAGTAAGTATCGGTATACACACTGCGGCAGACTGTATAAGAGATGCTAAGTGAATTATTGAAACAACGACTGTGAGCTTTCGCTGCTAATGTGTCATATACATAAACTCTAAAATACAATAAAACAAACACTTACAACAAATGAAAGGGTTTCTGTCTCCATATGCCAAAGGCAATGAAAACTCCACGTTTCCTTTTCTAGATTTTATTTTATCCAAATTATTTTAAGTATATCTTCTAATCAAAACAGCTACATTTTGTAGGCTCCTTGAATGTTGTGGGCAGAGATTTCTTGCATTTTCTGCATGCATGTAAGAACTAAGAACCCCCCTCTCCTTTCGAAAAGAAGCAGTGGAAATTATATGCTTCTAAATTTTGCGATCATCAAATGTATTTTTTTCATATTCCCCAACTGTATTAGACCACTTACCTGATCGCAAGTATTCATTCCGTTTCGTTGATCGATATTTCCACAAATTTTAAAATGATCAAGCATAACAAAGCTCCGACATTCGTTGCCTACATATTTGGAAATTGTGACGTCATAATCATCATGGCGTCATAAAAGAATGCTAAAACAGGTATAACCCCCCCCCCCCTTTCCTCATTCATCATCAAAGTTACGAAATTTATGTAATGAGTATACGCAAAGAACACAGGAAAATGACTTGTACTATTCTGTATGATGCAACAAAGAACTAAGAACCAATATTTTAAAAAATTTAAAAAAAAAAGATTGATTGATCAAGAAAATGCCAATGGGTGGACTTCATGCATTCAGTACATAAGCGGAAAATTAAAATCAAACGGAAATAAAATTCATGGCAATATATCTAAAGTCCAATTAAGTAATCCGCAAAATTAAACATTTCCACTATTTGTGTGCATCTCGCGTGTAGCTCCTCGCTCAGTCTTGTTAAAAAAATATTTTTTAAGGCCATCTACATTTAAAAGAAAGAATCTTGGCTTATACCCACTTCCGACGCAGGGTAAAATTATTGGAACGATGGGTAGCTGGGAAAATCTTCTTTTCCAGAAAATTCAACATATTTGTTGAATGGATAAGAGGGATAAAAGGAAAAATTATTGTACATGTCCTGGAATGTAAAAAAAGTTTTAAGTCGAGCCAATTTTAGTAATTTTAAGTCTGTCGGAAGAGGGCAACCAAACAATTTTTAAAAGATTTTTTTTTAATATGGCCTTAGCTACTTGTCATTTCGCGCTTTTCACTAATCATGGTTTTCGTTTTTAGATTACCTTTACCAGCTGTTTACTGAATAACTTCATTACTGTCATATTTTTACTAAATCATAATACTTATCTTACTTACATGTATAGACCATATTGGGTCGGGCACGGCATTCACCAATAATGAAAGACAGATGGATCAGATTTTCTGATTGACAAGTAAATAGTTTTGAATATTTACAGCCGATTAGCATGACAAACATAGTGAATCAAAATTTTTGTCAACAGACATAGAAACAGTTCAGTTTTACTGGTAAGTAAACGCATTCAATCGTATTTGGCAGGAAATCAAGGAACTGGTGTTAGCATGGTAAGAAACTCAAAAAACGAATCTGCGCAAATTATTTAAATGTAGCTGAAGACTGATGCAAACAACCAATAAAAATTGATGAGCATGATTCCCCTGTGTTATGTCAAAAGAAATAACACAGTCTATAGGTATGGATCCGTCCAATCTTTAAATTTAATTCTTTATTGTCTATTTTGCTTTCATTTTCGGGTCAAGATGCATTAATGATGAAGCTTGATTATGTAATAGAATAAAATGTGACGGTGTCGCATAATATTTGGTCCGCCTCGTTTAAAGGTCCGGCCGGACCTAATACGATATCATATTTGGTCCGCCTTTTATAAGAAAAGGTCCGGTCCGTATAAGAAATGGTCCCCCTGCGTTTTAAGGTCCGGGTGGTGCAAAATGTTTTAATCTTGACTTTAACATATGAAATTAAGGCTACTGGGTAGTTTGTTTATACTATATGATGAAAGAAGGATTAACCCTGTTGTGTTTGATTTTTTGTACAACATACAAGTATCTCTAGACAAGAATCTACTCGTATAGTGTGCTTTAAGCAGTGCCGTTTAGGGCCATGATTTCTTTAAAAATCATGCCACAATTATTTTGCAAGTGTTTGTTTTTCCTTAGAATTTGTTTTTTGTAAATTAGTACGATTAAAGGTGTGAAATCTGCCGATGTGTATAGCTAATAAAACAATGGGTGTGTGACGTATTTGTTTACCTGACAGGTACCCACCTACCCACAGGTAGAGCCCGCGGCAGATGGCGCTGTCATTGAATGGTCGGTGAACCTAATGGTCATGTGTTAGCTTTACATATTAATAGATCTTATTTTTAATTAATAAATTATGCCAAGGAACCAAATATTCAGGCGTACACTTCAAAACTGCGACATTTTTAATAATTATAACCATACATGTATAATCTTTATTTCAATATTTAAAGCTAAATATGGCGTATCTGAGCTAAAAATTAAAAATACAAGATTAAGCGTAGATGTACATGAGTTTGGGTTTTTTGTTCAAATTAAAAATTTCACCGATATTGAACTTAAATATCCCCACGTTTCTATTAGTTAAATTTAAACTAATAGAATTAAAACTGTGTCTGATATTTAAATTCCGAGTCGATAAGAATCGGCCATTGTTTTAAATCTCGGATATCTATGAAACGCGATTGATTTAAATTGTTTGATTTTCATAAAATGTTTCAGTCTGCATTCCATATCAGATTTTTTTTTTTTTTTTTTTTTTTTTTTTTTTTTGGTGTTGAAATATTAAACTTTTTATTTCCGACATTTTTAGCTTTCATTTTCGACATTCTAAAGTGTTCATCTCCGACATTTTTCAGGAATTTAGTGCTTTCCGGTAATGAAAAAATTTAAAGAATAAATTATAGACTGTTTAGTAAATCAATGTTCGGCGCATTCTTTGACATTTAATTTAGTGAACATTAAATGCGATGAAAAAATTGCATGCTCATTAAACTCTATTAACTAGACTTAGTGCTTCATGTACAGATGTATATACATGTATATAGAACTTTTTTATATTAAAATGTTGTGTATAATAAATTCTTTCAAAATTCCATTTCTACATACATGTACTTGGTAATCATTAAATTGCCGGAGAGGTACCTTGCAAAAATTCCAGAAATGAAAAGAAATAAATGTCAGAAAAGAAAAGACAAATTGTCAGAAATGAAAAAAAGAAATGGCGGAAATGCCATGCCGATTTCCGGAAATGAAATGCAGCGGTCTTATCTTTACAGTGGTATATAAAGTACCAAAACAAATAGAAAGATCTTTTTTTATATTTTTACTCTGAACTTATATAAAAAAAAAAACGCCTTATATGACTTTAAAGTTTTTAAACGCATTTTATATATCTTCATGTCATAAAGGGAAATTTTTGGACTGGGTTTATTTTCCTAGCTTGAAAACTAAAAAAAATAGACAGGGCGGACCTTAAAACGCAGTTATCAGAAAAGGTCCGCCCTCTGTATTCCAGATATTTTTATACTATAAAGGGAAAATTTTAGACAGGGTTTATTTTCGTAGCTGAAAACTAGAGAAAGGAATAGGGCAGACCTTAAAACGCAGTTATCAGAAAAAGTCCGCCCTCTGTATTTCAGATATTTTTATGTTATAAAGGGACTTTTTTGGACAGAGTTTATTTTCGTAGCTTAAAAAACTAGGGAAAGAGACAGGGCGGACCTTAAAACGTTGTTACCAGAAAAGGTCCGCCCTCTGTATTTCAGATATATTCATGTCATAAAGAGAAATTTTTGGACAGGGTTTATTTTCGTAGCTTGAAAACTAGAAAAATAGACAGGGCGGACCTTAAAACGCAGTTATCAGAAAAGGTCCGCCCTCTGTATTTCAGATATATTCATGTCATAAAGGGAAATTTTCGGACTGGGTTTATTTTCGTAGCTTGAAAGGGACAGGGCGGACCTTAAAACGCAGTTATCAGAAAAGGTCCGCCCTCTGTATTTCAGATATTTTTATGTTATAAAGGGAAATTTTTGGACAGGGTTTATTTTCGTAGCTTGAAAACTAAAAAAAAAAAATAGACAGGGCAGACCTTAAAACGCAGTTATCAGAAAAGGTCCGCCCTCTGTATTCCAGATATTTTTATACTATAAAGGGAAAATTTTAGACAGGGTTTATTTTCGTAGCTTGAAAACTAGAGAAAGAAATAGGGCGGACCTTAAAACGCAGTTATCAGAAAAGGTCCGCCCTCTGTATTTCATATATCTTTATGTCAAAAGGGACTTTTTTGGACAGAGTTTATTTTTTGTAGCTTGAAAAGTAGAAAAATAGAGAGGGCGGACCTTAAAACGCAGTTATCAGAAAAAGTCCGCCCTCTGTATTTCAGATATTTTTATGTCATAAAGAGAAATTTTTGGACTGGGTTTATTTTCGTAGCTTGAAAACTAGAAAAATAGACAGGGCGGACCTTAAAACGCAGTTATCAGAAAAGGTCCGCCCTCTGTATTTCAGATATTTTTATGTTATAAAGGGAAATTTTTGGACAGGGTTTATTTTCGTAGCTTGAAAACTAAAAAAAATAGACAGGGCGGACCTTAAAACGCAGTTATCAGAAAAGGTCCGCCCTCTGTATTCCAGATATTTTTATACTATAAAGGGAAAATTTTAGACAGGGTTTATTTTCGTAGCTTGAAAACTAGAGAAAGAAATAGGGCGGACCTTAAAACGCAGTTATCAGAAAAGGTCCGCCCTCTGTATTTCATATATCTTTATGTCAAAAGGGACTTTTTTGGACAGAGTTTATTTTTTGTAGCTTGAAAACCAGAAAAATAGAGAGGGCGGACCTTAAAACGCAGTTATCAGAAAAAGTTTCTGTATTTCAGATATTTTTATGTCATAAAGAGAAATTTTCGGACTGGGTTTATTTTCGTAGCTTGAAAACTAGAAAAATAGAGAGGGCGGACCTTAAAATGCAGTTATCAGAAAAGGTCCGCCCTCTGTATTTCAGATATATTCATGTCATAAAGGGAAATTTTCGGACTGGGTTTATTTTCGTAGCTTGAAAACTAGAAAAATAGACAGGGCGGACCTTAAAACGCAGTTATCAGAAAAGGTCCGCCCTCTGTATTTCAGATATTTTTATGTTATAAAGGGAAATTTTTGGACAGGGTTTATTTTCGTAGCTTGAAAACTAGAGAAAGAAATAGGGCGGACCTTAAAACGCAGTTATCAGAAAAGGTCCGCCCTCTGTATTTCAGATATTTTTATGTTATAAAGGGAAATTTTTGGACAGGGTTTATTTTCGTAGCTTGAAAACTTTAGAAATAGACAGCATGGACAGGGCGGACCTTAAATCGCAGTTATCAGAAAAGGTCCGCCCTCTGTATCTCAGATATTTATATGTTTTAAAGGGAAAACTTTGGACAGTGTTTATTTTCGTAGCTTGAAAACTAGAGAAAGGAATAGGGCGGACCTTAAAACGCAGTTATCAGAAAAAGTCCGCCCTCTGTATTTCAGATATTTTTATGTTATAAAGGGAAGTTTTTGGACAGAGTTTATTTTCGTAGCTTAAAAAACTAGGGAAAGAGACAGGGCGGACCTTAAAACGTTGTTACCAGAAAAGGTCCGCCCTTTGTATTTCAGATATATTCATGTCATAAAGAGAAATTTTTGGACTGGGTTTATTTTCGAAAAACTAGAAAAATAGACAGGGCGGACCTTAAAATGCAGTTATCAGAAAAGGTCCGTCCTCTGTATTTTAGATATTTTTATGTCATAAAGAGAAATTTTTGGACAGGGTTTATTTTCGTAATAAACTAGAGATTAGAACTTTTTTAGTGTGCAGTGTTTAGAACTTCCTAAATTAATATTTTAAGTACCAGCCTAATAGTGTGCAAATTTCCTACTTTCACATAAGCTTTATAAATGTGTTATGCGTCTTTTGCCATTCACACAAGTTTATACAAAGTTAGGCTCATAGTAAACAAAAACTTTGAAATGAATGACTGTTCTCGATTTACTATTAATAGATCACAAAAGTCGGCTGACCCCTACCACATTGTATGGTTTGTTCTTTATATTTCGTGAATTTCAGCGTTAAAAATTGTTGAATCTTATGGTTTAGATATCGATTAATGATAGATCAATTAATGATTTGATATGAAAAATTTGCTAACTTTGTTTATTTTTTTCACATTTTACCAAGGCCCATAAGTGCATTCGTTCTTTTCTGAAATTGTGTGTCTTTAAACTCAAGCTCTTTATATGGTGTACAATATCGGTATACTTTAAAACTTAAAACTTTTTTGACAGGTATCTGCGTGATTTCACTACACTCCATCCCCCCCCCCCAAAAAAAAAAACATTTAGGAGGGGGGTATAAAATGTTTGGATTTTTATTGAAACCGAAACCGAGAGACATAAGTATAAATAATATATCATAAATGTAATGCACAGAGATTTTATATGAGCGGCATGTATATTAAATAACTGGAGGGTCACTACATAAATCCAGCAATTTATCGACTTAATTTGGTTTGATTTCGCCAATTAATGCACATTTACCTTGTCCCGGAGTAATATTTAGTAGGCCGCATTTCATTTCCGGAATTTCCTGAACTTTTCATTTCCGACATTTTTAAGTTTTTACATTTTAAAAGTTTTCATCTCCGACATTTGTCAAATTCATGTCAGTAATTTTTCGCAAATGAAAAAAAGAATTCATGCATCCGTTATTAAAATCCTTAAGGTAAAATATTTTAGATAATTTATTCATATAAAAGACTTTGCTCTTATCTGTCAAAGAAACTTAATTGAATTTACCCTGGAACAGATGTAGGTACATGTATTGTGAATGTGAAGTTTTACTTAACTGATTCCTTTAAATAATGTATCATAAGTCTTAGTCTTAATATTGTTTACTTCTACTACTACTACTACTACTACTACTACTACTACTACTACTAGAAGTAAACAATATTAAATGTTAAATTTAAATTGCCGTAAAGGTATCCTAAAAAAAATCCGAAAATGTGAAAAAAAAAGAAAGAAATAATGTCGAAAATGAAAATAAAATTGTCGCATTCCGAAATAATAACAAAAATTGTCGGCAATTTTAAATTCAGGAAATGAAATGCAGAGATCTAGTAGATATAATAATTAGCCTTTGAATAGGTAAGAAACAGTGTTAAGTTATAAAGAACACAGTGGATATGGTACTTTAGGTTTTCTCAAACGAAACAATTATAGGTTAACCCCCAACTGCCCAATCCGTATGCATGTTGTTTTTACAATAAGGGGTGTAGGGTAGTACACCGTGACATAAGCCCCTGTCACAGCTAGTGACCCTCCAGTTATTTACAACAATATTAAACGTAAAGAATGACAGATTTCTTTTTTCAATGCTATAAAGATATATATTTTGAAAGATGTGAACTTCAGTTTTTGTGAGTGGATTAGTCAAACGTTTATCATGTTTATAGGAAGGAGAGTGTAACTAAATGATTCGTGTTGGACTTACGAACATTTTTCTGTTCATGCAATACTGATTAATCTGCCAGTAAACAAGGCGGTGAAGGTAAATGTTTGTACATTTGTATTCTTAATATTTTTTTATGATAATGTTGACATTAGTGCATTAATTTAAACGACAAAAGAAGCATGTCCCATCTTCCCGACAGGAAACCCGATCAATAATTAGAATCTAAACATTCCTTTAATTATGTATTAATTTCGATTTCTTACTTATTGTTTACTACATTTTCTTGGAGAAAACACTAGCTGTTAATACGACTATTTATCCTTAATTAATTTTAAAAGAATAGTTTTTCAATTAATATCGAATGAACCACATGCATACAATTTGTATAAAAGGCCGAGGGCGGACCTTTTCTTATAGAGCCAGGCGGACCAAATATGTTATCGTATTTGGTCCGGCCGGACCTTTAAACGAGGCGGACCAAATATTATGCGACAACGGGCATGAGCAGGGTTCGACCCAGGGGGCCTGAATCTAGAGAGGTTCTTTATCTGGCCTCTGTCAGCTGACTGTCACAATAATAATAATCTTATTCAGCTGGATACTGTATACAATGTAGTCTGCCTCACTAAACATGCTAAATAAGCACATCAAGATCAAACACATTTTAAAGCGAAATCAAATTCATGAAAATATTTTGTTTCTTTTTTAAAGATTCATCATTTATAAATTATTGTTAGCTAGACTGAATGCATCTGCCTTCCATGAAAAAATCGAAACAAAAAATATATGATTTTTAGAAGAAAATTAATTTTGGTCATTGGCTCATGACTCATACAAGGGAGTTATCATTATTTCCAGAGATTATAAAACATGAACATTATACTTGCTATACATTATGACAACTTTTATTTTAGGACTTATTTGGGATTTGAACCAGGAATTTCTGGTATTACAATCTAAGGTATAGGATCTAGCACTATATAAACAGTTTGAACTATTCAATTAATACTTCATACAATCAATTTAATTTAAAAAAAATGACAACAAATTTTAAAAATTGGTTGTTCATATTCAGATGTTTATAGGATAAATCATTTTAAAAGCAGGACTTTATTTTCAAATCAAATTAAAAGACTCACTAAAAATTCATTTAATTTTCCTTTAACATGAAAAACCTTAAACATGTTTTATGTGAAACTGTAGACTTGACATGGAAGAAGATCTAGAAGAATTTCCTAACATTGAAGTGGACCCTCGATATGTCACAGTGTCCAGTGTGGCATCTTATGTCAGCACAGATTCAGCAGATGACCTTGACTGGTTACAAAACTCCAAACTTACAGGGGGGATAATCAAGTTTCTGTATGATGGCTCCACTGAGGAAAAGGTTAGATGGTCAATAGCTGTAGAGAAAAAAGAAATTTCAGTGACTTAGCCATGTTAGCATAGAAGACTGTTTAAACACTTGGATGGACCAAAAAATTATGTTCATCTGTATCTCTTGTAATATAAGTAATCCCAGATGAATTCCCACTGAAAAGTGAAGTCAAAGTCAAAGGGAAAAAATCAGGGTAAAAAAGATTGATGCAATGAATGGTCAAAATGTATAAGCGTATTATGATGTTTGAAAGAAATATCTTGAAAAGTTTTTTTGAAACTTAGCTTAATTAACATTTTTTTGGGGGGTGGGGGGGGGGAAGGTCAAGGTCAAAAGAAATGTCAAGGTTAAAAAATGCTTTATGCATTTAAATAGTTCTCATCAAAATGTATCAGCATTTAAAGATTTACAAAAATATCTAGAAAATTTTCTTAGAAACTGAGAAAAACACAAAGTGTGACAGGAGGACAGATGGAAGGACAGGAGGATGGAAGACAGACATGAAAAGCACTATATGCCCCTGTCAAATTCATGGCAGGGTATATTCTTATGACATTATTTGAGATAAACACATTAATTAAAGTGATTGGATTGTAGAGTCACACAAGTTACTATGTTTGTGTGGGGGAGGATGCTACGTTGGACAATGTGGCTAAATACATCACCAAAGTGTGGAAAAAGAGGAGCCCAGACATCATTCTCTCTGTTATATCCAGTCTCAGTCATTTCAGGAAGTGGAAGAATCAGCAGGAAGTGGAAGATTTCCAGACAGGTTTGATTCAGGTCAGAAGGGCAAAGGTCAAAGGCTAAAGGTTAAAGTTTATAAGAATTAGACTTTCTATATCTTGGAACAGATGGTTAGAGAAAGTGGACAGGGTAATCTCATTAAAGCACTTTTTACGAAGCTTTTATCTGCCAATTCATGTATACTTTTAATGTAAAATTGTACATTTTCACTTGTATCTTATTCTTATTTCGTTTGGGAAGTCCTGCCAGCACAATTAAAGATGGATGGATTTGTAAAATAAATTAAATATACTTGAGTAACAAAATTATATAAAAGTTACAACTTTGCACTGCTTTAGTCATAAATTCTAAACTTTTAGCTGTTTGCATTGCAGGCTATGAACTCTACCAATATGTGGGTCTTGACAAATGGTTTAGATGGAGGAATCGCTAAAATAGTTGGGGATGCTGTTCGTTTTGAGAGAGAGAGGCGGTCTATTCTGATGACTCGAGCTCAGAACCCCTATGTAAAGCTTCACAAGAAAGAGGATGTAGAGGAACTGCCTAAACTGACCGTGATGGGAATCGTTCCTAAACTACAGCTCCATTGCGTGGCTGGGACTGAGGGATTGGTCAGTAATCCATTAAATAAACATGGGATTTATAGGTTCCTCAGGAGCCTGTCCACATCATTTTTAATGAAAGAAAATAAATTTTTGTCTTGGGGGAAAAAATTTAAGTTTTTGAATCCCCATACCATTTTTCTCAGACTGTATCCATACAGTTTGAAACCAAAAAAAGTATAACACAACATTTACAAGTCTATCAAAATTTTCAGTGTTTAATAATTTTGACTTTTGCTGATAAGGTGGTCAGTTAAACCGTGCAAAATGATATGATTGATTTGTAAGAAGTCTACTTTGTGGTACTCATTAAATGTTAATATGAATTTGATTAAAACATCTGTTAAAAAATAACATCTTTGCAAACTTGAGCCATTATTAATGTGTTTTATATAATCTTAATAATTTCAGCATGACTCTATCATTTCACTTAAAAAAACGGGTACAAAAGAAGCAATCGAGTTGAATGGAGAACACTCTCATTTTATCATAATGGATCAGAATACTGATCTTAGGGAGCTGGAGGGCTTTAGACTCAGAATCGAGGAGAGACTTCTGATCCCCATAGGGAGGGGCAAGAGATACAGAAAAATCAAAATGTTTGATCCCTCCCTTGGTAGGTTGCATAATTTTTTAGCTAACCTGAGTTTAAAGATCAATCAAGCTTTTCTGATCACCAGTTGTCCGTCGTCCATCCATCTGTGAGCATTGTGGTCCATGGGTCTCTTGTTTTGAAGTTGCAGCTCAATGTTTTAAAGTATTGATTGCAACAGACTTGGGATATGTGTATATAGTCATATAGTGTAAAGGTTGTTCCCACATACTAGTTAAATGAAGTTACAGTATTTCACTTTTGAAATGTGACTAAACAAATTATGGATATACAAGTAGTGGAGTAAATTCACAGGTCCCCAGGATTTCAATACAATCAAGTTTTACTGTAATGGTTTTGGAAAAATATTCCCATGAAATACATGTGCATGTATATTGTTTTATATTTTTTAAACTTGTGTTCATTATTTGAATTTTTTCATTTAGTTTTGGGTTTTACAGATGCAGGATCTAACACAGAAAACATAACTCTGATCACCAGCACCAGTACCCCCATGGTGGGCCTCCTGATACAGGGTGGACCATTAGATATTGACCATGTGGTGGACCTTCTCCGGAGAAAAGTCCCTGTTCTGGTTCTACAGGGAACTGGACTGGGAGCCGATCTTATAGCATTTGTGTACTTTGAAAAAATTCACCAGTAAGCTCACTTTTTTGTTTATAGCCTTGATAACTTCATCAGTATGCAATTAGGTGTGTGTTTCTTAAGACATATTTATAAATACATGTATTAATTTCTTTAACAGCCAAGGTGATGAGTATGAGTCTTTTGTGAAAACTGAGTTAATTAAGAGAATGATGAACTGTTATCCAAAGGATTTTGTGGACAATGAGCTGGCCCGGAATCAGTGTAGAGACAAAATACTGGAGTGTGTTAATCTCGCTCACCAGGTTTGCTTCTAAATTGTTTGCCAAGTTGTTTTCATGAAATGGAAGTACTGTATAAGCAGAATTTTTAGCGAGGATTTACTTTTGGCATTATTATTGAGTAATAGTTAGATCATATTAAGTAAAATTTTAGAGGTTAAGAAGGGGCGGAGGGAGCGAAGCGACTGAGCTCTTCTTAACAGCTAAAATTTTACTTAGTTGATCTAACTTAGAACCTATCTCGCTTTTTCATTGGCTAATTAGTCAGCCCGCGGAGTTACTGCATAAACATAAAATTTTAACAATTAAGTGATCAACTTAATAGAAAATTTAGCAGCTGCTGATTGGAGGAAAAAGCGGGTTAGGTTCTAAGGATGATGAGATCACTAAAATTGAATATCGCTAAAAATTAATTTCGCTTTATTTGTAAAAGCTTCTTTAGTGAACTTTTTAAAATCGCTAAAATTACATCGCACTAAAAATAGAATACCAATTTTTTAAGGACAAATCGCTAAATTTGCGTTTCACTAAAATTTCCACTTATACAGTATACAATATAATTTCAAAGTTTTGCAGAAATAATGATCATTTTACATTTAATCTTGTAGGATAATGGGAGGTTTCTAACTATTTTGGACATAAATGCTGATCCCACAGGACTTAAGAACTTAGACAAATACATCTTACTCACTTTGTTTGAATGTAAGTTTAAGCTGGTGACATTGATTTTTAGAAGAATAGTGTGTAGAATGATATCAATAGGTTGAGAGAACTATTGCACAAAAAGCACTTAACCCTTTCTCCTAGAGTATTTGTTTTATACCATCTTGCACCAGTACATTAAATCTGAGGAAAATTCAAAGAAATATTATATTAATATTGTATGGATTTTCTGAATCTTTTGTTCATAAATCAGCCATTTGATTCTCTCCCTCAGCTCAAGGGTCCAAGACAGGAAGTGAGTTTCAGGAACAATTCCAATCTGACCTCAAGTTGACCTTACATTGGAATAGACCTGATCTCGCAGAGTCTCAGATTTTTGAGAAGTATGATTGGACAAGCATCAAGGTAAAGATGCTTATTATCACTGGCATTTGCATTCAAGTCATTGCTTAAAATTCAAGTACTAGAAATATTGCAAAAGTAAGTTACAAAGAAGGAAATGTTAATTTACAGCATTTGATTACTCAATAAGGAATCTCGCAAATCGTTTATTTTACAGATTACCCCCGAGCTATTTGATAAGGCTTTGCTGAAGAGAGGGAGAGAGAGGTTTGTGGAGATTTTCCTGGAGCGGGAAACAATTGTCCTACATGAGTATGTCAACTATAAAAAGCTTCTGGACTTGTTCAACAACCTGGACATGCCTGATTTTTTCTGTCAAGTCTGTCTAGAAGGAGTTCTGGCCAAATCTCCAGTGAGTAAAAACATTTATTTAGTTTTTTCATTATATTGGATAAACATGATGCTTGTTAATATTTTTGCTCTTTAACCCACTGAATGGTCTTCTCACAATTAATACACAGTTGAAGTATGAAAGCCTTAGCACCAACTGTTTAAAAGTTTTGACCAAGGTTAAAGTGTGACAATTTGTGTAAAAGTGGATCAAACTCCAAGGTCAAGGTCAAGAGGTCAAATTTGATGGTACACAAAGAAAGGTTTTGTCACAAGGAATACACCTGCGAAATATGAAAGCCATTAACGCCCACGCAAGGTTAAAGTTTTTGTGGACAAACAGACAGGCAGATGCATTATAGGACAAGGAGTATATACATGTACCCCTGAATCTTTGATTACTGGGGCATAAACAATGATGTAGGGAACTTACAAAAAATTGTATAGAATAGATATACAGTTATCTCTTGATCTTAACATTCATCAAGCATATATTTTTATAGTGCATGATTTTTCAGTATTTATAGATCATATTGGAAAGTGAAAAGGTAACAGCATGATTTTCAAACATGGTATACAGTATATATGTAGAATTTATATAAAGTAAAACTATCTATCAATTAGTTTAACACATGTATTAATGCTTAGTATTCTTTTACCTTTTAGCCGTGATGAGAGACCTACTCATTTCATATGTAATAGGTGTTTGTTGTATTTAATACACATAACCAGAATTCTGTTTATTTATAATTGGATGGCCTCATTTGTACTGAGAATGATTAATATGTAAACTATTAACCTAGTAGGCTCTACCAAACTTTGTATGGATGATGCAGCTCAAATATTTACAGCCCTATACATATGCTAAATGCTTTGGAAGTTTATCTATGACTATAATTAATGAATTTTCTAAGATTTGGTTGGGTTCAAGTTTTTGTATTATCAAGTTTTCGATCCTTTCCCAAGTAATGCTGAGAGATAACAAAAACCTATCTTGCAGTCTGAATCATAATTGAAAGACTATTTTAATAGTTATATCTCTTTTTAGGTCAACTGAGCTGAAAGCTTAAGTGAGCTTTTTTGATCATCGGTTGTATGTCACCCTTCTGTCTGTCTGTATGTAGACTTTTCACATTCTCAACATCTTCTCAAGAACCACTAGCAATTTTAACCAAACTTGGTATAAAGTATCCTTAGGTGATTTTTTATGTAAAACAAAAAGTCACATAACTGAAACATACAAGGGTTACTGTTAAAAGTTCTATTGATTTTCACCAAAGATGGCACCCAAAAGATATTTTTTGAAAAATGTGGCAATATGCAATTCTATGTCCATACTTTCACATAATCCAAGTTTAGATTTTTCCTTTCGAGTGTCTTCTGACACCTTTATATGATTATGATGCATTGTTTTAAATATTCCCCTAACAGGCCTATATAATTAATAGGAGGTGTATCTTTTGTTGTGTTTTATATATTCACAACCATTATATATTCATGGCACATATGTTCATCATCCTAGTTTTCAAAGCCTGGGTCATCTGAAAATACACATCTTGATTAATGCCTTCACGTTGTATCTGAGTGTTAAATTGTCAATCTGTTTTGTAGGGAATGAGTTATCCAGTAGACAAAGACTTTGTCATAGGAAAGAAAAGCGACCTGAATTACCTTCTGTATAAACTGACCAGTCTGGAGGCTCTTGTGTCATCTTATGACCTCTCTATGAACTCTACTGGACAGTTTGTGTGTGACAAATCTACTGCTGAAAGGAAGGTCTGTAAATAGATTCCTGTTTTTTAACATGTTAAAAAACATGTATTTAAGGATCCAAATTTAAAATACCTAAGCAAGATTGCATGGTAGAAGACTTTAAAGAATTTGATAGATAAATGAAAGTTAAAAGATATTGCATATAGTTAAAATACAGTTTTATTTCAAATAGATGTAAAGAAAATCTCTTTGATTAGATTTAGATTTGATGTAGGATATAAGTGATTACATTGAACGTTATGTTTGAAGGCCTTGAATGCCCTGATTTACTGGTCAGTTTTGACCTTTAACCCCTCACTGACCAGAGTTCTATGGAGGCGGTCTGACCAGCCGATGGTAATGGCTCTTGTTATCAGTATGATCTGGCACACACTGGCCATAAAATGGTGTAGCAGGGATCTGGACATCAAACGACAGCTCAAGGATGCTGCTATGTAAATACTTACTCTTTATTCAGAATATGACATTGTAGACCAATAATTATTCTCTGATGTACATACACATAACTCACATTTTCTTTTGGAGAACTTGACAATAAAAGGACATCACGATTTATTTTCTCCTTAAAGGAAATCACAGGATTTGTCTGTCATGACATACTAAAAATCCCATTACACTTCTTTTTAACTAAATAGTTTGAGTATTTTTTAACCTACAGACTTTACATTGTTCACACACATGTTGGTGGAGGGTGTATTTTTTTTGGGGGGGGTGTAATGTGATCAAGGTCAAAGTTTAAGATTGTTGATTTGACTATTATGTTGCAATGACAAGGATGTTTTGTTATCATTAGTTTTCCTATTTAAATATGAAGATCTATAAAGAATGGCCAGAAACAACTTAATACAATATGCATGTTTTGGTATTGTAGAGAGTTTGGAAAACAGGCTGTAAGATTGTTGGATCTGAGCTACAAAGATTCATGCCTAACAGCCATTGCTTCTTTAGATGAGAAACTACCAGAACTTAACAATAAAACCACCATCAAGCTAGCCCACATTGCTCGCAATAAATTCTTCATTGCTCACAAAAGTTGTCAGAAATGGCTGCTTCAGCGTTGGCATGGTAACCTACTCATTAGAGAAGTGGATTATGGAGTATTCAGACTACCCAACTGGTTCAAGGTTTGTAGACAAGTAAATTAAGTAATATACTTAAATTATAATCCCAAACTGGTTCAACTCATTGTTTGACTTTACTTGTAGATATACATGAGTGTCTTCTTCATCTTTCCCATGTTGATTTGGATTACCTATGAGATTAAGAAGGACCCAGACTCTAAGGAGAAAACACCAGGTAACTTTTTTTAGGCTTCAAGAATTGCTCAAATTTGTGAGATGACAAGTGATATCATGTTCCTTTGTCATGATATATTTGTATAAAAGCAGATGGTTGAAATATTTAAAAACCAATGGCTTTAAATAACAATATGGCAGATACTTTTCAGTTGAATTGCAAATATTTTATTAGTTATGTAGACACTTAGAGGGATAATACGGAAGTATTTGGGGTCCTTGAAAAAATGCATATTGGGAGAGGTGTAAGCCTTTTAAATTATTTTAATGGGCAACAGAATTATACACATAAATTAGACAGGTACATTCTTGCTCTTCTTCAGCCCATAAAATGTCCATATAATTAAACCATGACCCTTTGTTATCAATGTGTTTTTCAGAAGAAGAAGAAGAAGAATTGGATATAGATCAGTTGGATAATCAGGATACGATACCTCTGAAAATCAAATGGGTATGATTAACAACTCTTAGTACATGCTATTGTAGACCTGAGGGTTACTGTTGATTTTATATTTCTGTTTACTAGAAAAGGAGTACAAGAGGAGAAATGAAATACCAAGTGAGGCAGATGTTAAGCTATGGTCGACAAAACTTAAGGGTGCCCCTTTATCTCCAGTTCTACTACCTGTGGAGTGCCCCAATCACCAAGTTTTATCTCAGTCAGGTAAGGAACTGTAGAAAAAAATAATGAATTGTCATATATCAAGGTGTCAAAGTGAAATCGTAAGATAGAGTTGAATGTAAATGTTTTTCAGTTGCTGTACATCTTTTACCTGGCCTTGTTCAGTTATGCAGTCATTATACCATCCTGTGGAGATTTCTACATTGACCTTGTTGTGTATTTTTGGACTGCCATGATTTGGGTTGAAATCATCAGAAAAACCATCATCAAGAGAAAGGTATACAATGTATATATATATACAGTCAATTCTCGAATTATCACCATTCGATTCATCGCCATTTTCGCAATACCACCATGATTTCCCAAGAACGTTTTTCCTGCCATATAAAATTCTCTTTATAACGCCAAATTCGCATACCACCATCCGCCACCCTGTTTTCACAACAAACATCCATTTTTTAGTGTCAATTATCTCGATAATACCGCCACAGGTGCATGTGGTCAGTGAAGCGCGGCTAATTGGTTGACGCTATCCCTGTTGTAAAGCATGCAAAGCCAGTCAAGGTACATGCAATTAAGTAAACAATAATTTTAACATGAACTGTTTGAATAATTTTGTTTTCTGTTTAATAAAATCATTTAGTAAAGGCTTCGCCACGAAAGCGGTTGTTCTAAAGTACGCCGATAACAATATTATCTTGATGATCTCTGCTTTTAAAAACAATGCAAAGTTTGCTTAAAAAATAATTATAAGTCAGAAATGATGGCAAAAACAATTAATTCATTCAAGAACTCATTTTACGTACTATACTATAGGCAATATATCACAACGATCGACCCAGCATTAATTATTTTTTTTCAATATCAGTTGCAGATTTACATGTATACACATGAACTTGTCCTTATTTCAAAAATATTCTGTTTTTGAGTTAAAACCCCAGTCACATTTCCACGAAAATTTTGACGAGTGTTAGCGAAATTGTACGAAAAAAAATTTTGAAGTATTATCAATCTAGTTTAAATATGTTTATATATACCTGTATATGTAATAATAATAATAGAAACGCTAAAATTTGATATTTCTAAGAACGATAACTCTACATCTTATGTGTTTTTAAAAGATTTGATTAAATAAATCGCCCTTCGTTGTACCGCCATTTGATTTCTAAAAAAGCCGTTAAAAATTACAAAAGTGTGGCGGTCAAATAGTCAAAATTAGCCTGAGGTGACAAACTAATTTTAAACACGACATGCGATAATTACGCTAAATTTCCTTAATATAAAAATTGATACATAATTTAGATTATCAATGGAACTCGTTTAAAAATGTGATTTTATATCCACAATTCTTGTGCCGCCATTTTTAACTAACCTACAAAAGAAATTAACAGTCGACGTCGGTTCGATCGTTGGCGTCCCAGGTTAAGGTTAAGTTTTTTGGAGCAGTTTTCTTTTTAAGTACTATGTCCTATATTGATTAGACATGCATGGAAGATGCTTCTGGTGTGTTTCATTGTACCAGTCAAAGTTTCATATGCTGCAATTTCAGCAAAGGAATGTACTAGATTAATGTTTTTGGAGCAGGTTAACATTTTTGAAGCCCCAGTTTTTAGCATTTCACCGACCAACGGCCGACGGGTTTTGAAGCAAAAATTTGGTTCTTCAGTTCGTTGTCGTGTTGTCATTGTCGTTGTCGTTGTCGTCGTAAACTTTTCACATTTTCATCTTCGACCAATTTTGAACCACTCGGCCAATTTCAACCATTTTTCATGCACAAAGTATAAATGGCCGAAGGGGATTCAAGTTTGTTGCAAATCCGTCCACGCAACCTTTTCCAAGGGGAGATAATCATGAATTTGTTAAAAATTAATGGCATTTTTAAAAAATCTTCTTCGTCCGAACCGCTGGGCCAGGATAAGATGAAACTCATGTGGAAGCATCGGCTCACGTAGTGTAAAATCAAACTTGTACAAACCATGACCCCGATGCAATCGGGGCGAAATTGGCCGACTTGTGAATATATAAACCAAATCTTTAAAAATCTTATATGTAATAATAATAATAGAAACTTCTACATAACACTGGGCCAAAAGATGAAAATTTTGATCCTGGTATTGTATAAATTTTTTCAACGGGGCAAGGATGGGGCCAATAATGGCAATTACATAGGAATATATAAGAAAAATCTTTAAAAAATTCTTTGCTTCTTAGACTAGGACAGGAAAGATGAAACTTTGTGGAATCATCCTCAGGTAGTGTAGATTCAAGTTTGTTTTCAAATCATGACCAATTTTATAAGGGTTCTGCCAAAATGCCTTGCAAACAGAGTTTTTCATAGTGAATATATAGGAAAAATAAAAATCTTCTTCTCCAAACCACTGATTTCCAGGAAAGATGAAAATGTGGAAAGCATTTTTAGTGTAGATTCATTTGTTCAAATCATGACTCCTGGGGCAAAGATGGGGCCAAAATGGCCGACCCTAGTTTTACATAGGAATATAGATAAGAAAAATCTTTAAAAATCTTGTTCTTTCAAAACCACTGGGCCAGAAAGAAAAATTTAGTCATCTGGAATCATCCGACCATCGGACTTAAATGTGACCCAAGTTTTACATAAAATATATAGGAAATGTCTTTAAAAATCCTTCTCAATTATACAAAATTAGAAATCGTCAAAATGTGGAATCATTTACAGGTAGTGTAAATTTTTTTCAAGTTTTTTCAAACATGCAGATTTACATGTATACCCTGGGGATAGGGTTTCACAACTGAACCCAAGTTTTACATAGGGATATATAGGGAAAAATTAACTTCTTTTACCAAGTACTTCAAATTTATGATTAGTGATAATATGTATTATATATCACCTCAGGTATGTAGATAATAATAATATGATGAATGCCTGGAAGGGGTTAAATTCAAGCCCGATGTGCTCAACCCCTGGGCCTCTTGTTCTTAGGTCTCATTTCCTAAAATAAGCCCTATGTTGACCAAACTTCCATGAAATTCAGATGATACATCGCTAAGAATGCACACTACCAGGCTTGCTTCGGATGCTGAATCTGCCTACATTTTCTAAATTGACAGGTTAAAGGTTTTGGCAGGTTTCATTTCCAAGTAACTATAAGGCTAGCCCTATGTTGAATGTTAAACTTGCATGGATGATACATAATATGCATACTACCAGGCTTGCTTCAGATGCTGAATCTGACCTATTAGATTTTCTGGTTGAGTGAAATTAATTAAATTCTTTGTGCTTTTCATTAGCTAACTAACTAGAAGTTGTTGACCAAACTTGCATGGATGATACCCTCGGCGTCTAAGGATGCATACTACCAGGCTTGGCTTCGGATTAAGGAATCTGACCTACATTTTCTTGTGAACAGGTTAAAGTTCTTTTGGTGCAGTTTCTTTCAAAGTGATTATGAGCTATGTTGACCAAAGACATGGATGCACATTTAAGATGCTTACTGGTGTGTGCTGAATCTGATTACATTTTTCAGATTTGTGCATAATGGACCAGGTAAAAGTTATGCTGCAATTTCAGCAAACTATAAAGCTTATACATGTAATGCATTTTAAGCCAAACTTGCAAAAAGTTAACATTTTTCTCAAAGAACTATATGTTATTTGGTGTTTGCCCCCACAAAAGTCAAATTTTGAAAACTTCCTGAAATGTGCTGAATTCAATAAATTGTATGGAAAATGATACAGTTAACAGAAAACATTATAGTTCCAGAGCAGTGTATTCACAATTTCTGTTTTTATGATGTCACAATCTAGTCCGATTTTACATCCTTTTTCAGAAAGAACAGGTTAAAGTTTTTGGTGCAATTTAAGCTTTAGAATTAACTATAGCGCATGTGTGTTCAGGACCAAACTATTTCATTGATATGATATTCTACACATTATATGAATGCATTACTCACACATGCTTGCTCGATGACTTAATTTTAAAATATCGACAAATATGTACATTTTTCTGCAGAATTCAATGAAATTTAGGTCAAATGTGACGTTATTACGTACATATGACGGTCATTACTTATAAATTATTCAGCTTTGAAGTCATGTATAGCATTGTTTAAGGACTTAATTAAATATTACTCCATCAAATGAGTTTGCATTTTGGGGGGCAAGGGAATACCGCATATAACTCTTTGCGTCCGATGCTGGATTTTAATTACATTTTCATGAAGAAGAACTAGTTTAAATTTTTTGTATAGGTTTATTTCAAAGTATCAGATTTAAATTGCTTAAATATTTTCATTTTTGGAATGTACACTTTTTGTTGGTTCATTGTGTGACTTTGCCTTACTTAAAGACAACATTCGTTGAGGTGAGCTCTGTAATCTCTGATTACCTATGTTTTCATTGATAATTTAATTTTGACAAGGTTCTACCTTTCTTTCTGTCAAATTTCAGGAATACAAAGAGATGAAGATTTTCTGGACAGTGATAGAGATATGCCTGATTGGTTCCTTTCTGATCGTGATCGGACTGGTCCGAATCATACCAAAGTTCATCCCCTTCATCAAGTACACCACGGCTAAATTTGTAATGAGTTTGGGCCTCCTATACTTCTACTACAGGTTACTGAGTGTTTTCCTTCCCATCAGCCCTGTACTTGGACCGATGATGATCAACTTTAGAATAATGGTATGCATAAAAACCTGTGTACTAACAATCTGGTCTTTTTAAGAATAAGAGCATTATATCTGACACCTTTGTCTCCAGTTTTTGAGTTGATTGACCCAAAATCTCAATTTTCTCTGGAATTTTTTGATTTTTCGATGGAACTGGTCAAAGACCAGAAGAGTTTATGCAATGGCAAATTGGCACCTTCTGTCTGTCTGTAAATATATTTAGGTCACCTGAGTCACCCCAGGGTCAGGGGTTCTGATGTTAGGGCGGGGCTCTATTGATTATATAGTAAAAATGCATTAATTCTATGAAAATCTTCTTCTCTGCTCCTGGGTATTAGATAAACTAACTAAGTACATAGTTATGATGAGCAAGAATGCCTCTTCCAAAATTTTGAATTTTATGACCCCAGGGTCAAGGATTCTTATGTTAGGGCGGGGCTCTATTGATTATAGTGAAAATACATTAAATCTTTGAAAATTTCTTCTCTGCTCCTGGGTATTAAGCAGATAAACTACTTATATAGTTCTGATGAGCAAGGGCCCTTCTTCCAGAATTGTGAATTTCAAGGCCTCGGGGTCAGGGGTACCACAGAGAGAGGGGGGCTCTACTTTTATACTGAAAATGAATTAATTGTATTAAATCTGCTCCTTGGTATAAATCAAACATTTTTGATAAGCAAGGATGCCTTTTCCAAAATTGTGACATGTATGGGGTTCATGTGTGGTATGGGGTACTACTGATTATTGCTGAATATTACTGATTAGTTGAAATGCATTTTTAGCTCTTCTGAGCCAAAGGCTCAAAGAGCTAATGCTATGGCCATTTGTGCGGTGTGCGTAAACTTTTTAGAATATGGGCCATAACTCAAGAACCTCTTGGCCAACCAGTACCAAATTTGTCACAGGGTATCCTTGACCCAAGGGCTACCATTTATACTAAAATAAGGGTTGGGACCTTTAAACAAGGGGAGATAATCAGGAAAACAAAACCAAAAGTACTGGTTGCTAAAAAGTCTTCTTCTCCATAACCACCAGGCAGATTTTCACCATACTTACATACAAGGATCAGGATATGTCAAAGATTAAAATTTGCACGGGGAATTACCCTGGGGCAAAGGGCGTGGTCTCAAGGTCACTTCAAAGTTGACCTAAATTTACAATTAATAAAAACGTGTATATTTTGCTTACTATAAGGACTAGGATCATCAAATCTTGTAAGTTGATGCATCTTGCGACTTCACATCATGTTAACTCAAAAGTAGGTCACGGTGACCTACTTTTTGAATTTTGCGGGAATTTGTTTTCAAATTGATTTGAAGGCATATTTTGGACACTTTAAGGCCTATGATCATCAAACTTTGTTAGTTGATGCATCTTGGGTCCTTGAGCAATGTCAACTTAAAATTAGGTCACCTTGACCTACTTTTTTAACTTTATGACTTATCTTTTTAAAAACATTAAATCCCATTATTTCAGACACTGGGAGGTTTAGAATCATCAAATCTTGTACTTTGATGCATCTTGGGACATTGAAACATATTTATGAAAAAGTAGGTCACTGACCTACTTTTTGAATTTTGCCGACATTTGTTTTCAAATTGTTTAAAACGCATATTTTGATTACCTTCAGACCTACGATCATCAAACTTGGTCAGTAGATGCATCTTGGGTCTTTGAAAAATGCCGACCAAAAAGTAGGTCACGATGACCTATATTTAAGTATCTCAGGTACTTATTGGCTTAGAATCATCAAATTTTGTCAGTTTAGGCATTTTGGGTTTTTGGATAACGTCAACCAAAAAGTAGGTCACCGTGACCTACTTTTGACATTTGATGGCTATATTTAATTATCTCTGGTACTAATTGGCTTAGAATCGTCAAACTTTATCAGTTGATGCATCTTGGGTTTTCAGAGAATGTTGTCCAAAAAGTAGGTCATGGTGACCTACTTTTGAATATCTCAGGTACTGATTTAATTAGAATCATCAGTCTTTGTCAATTAATGTATCTTAAGTCCTCAGAAAATTTCAATCAAAAGGTAGGTCACTGTGACCTACTTATGGTATTTTATAATTATATTATGATATCTTCAGTCTTAACTGGCTAGATATTATCAAACTTTGTAAGTTGATGCATTTTGGGTCTTATGATACTAATAGAGTTGGAGGCTTCCAATAGAAGTGATAGATTGTACAATTTATCAGAAGAGCGATTCAAGGCCCTTGGGCCTCTTGTTATTCCTCTACCCTGCCTATGGGTATTAAGTAACCAAACTAATTGCTAAGTGTATAGTTATGATGAGCAATGGTGCCTTTTTCAAAATTGTGAATGCCAAGGTGTCTAGTTTAAAACATGAACCAAACTCAATCATTTGAAAGTTGTTGCATGATGCTCAGGTGACCTATAAGGCCCATGGGCCTCTTGTTTTCTTTACACTTCTCAGTCATCTTTATAGTCCAATATGAGATAGGGAATCCAGGAGAAATGTGAAATACAACTCACCTGTGAATGAATGCATTTTGATTTTTTCCAGATGAAGAAGGACTTTGTGACTTGGTTAAGGATGTTCCTTATGTTTATGATTGCGGGGGGTATCACCATTCAGGCCACGCTGTACCCGAACTTCCCGGCATCAGAGGAAGGCATTGTCAATGCTCTCAGCAGGGCCTTCTTCGGAATGTTCCTCACGAAAATTGATGACCTTGACAGTATGTTTGATTGCATATAATCTAGATATTTTAAAATTTGAGGTAAGCTTAAATTACTTTGTTAACACGTTCATGCCCTGCCATAAATATGGCTCATGGGTTAAGGAATGTTCAGACTTTGAACCAATTTTCTAGGTCAAAAGTCAAGGATATAGCAGATTTCATTGATAAATCCTTCTTATGATTTTAAAAATTACAGGTAATGAACGGTGCGAGTTATTCTATGCCAACCAAACAAGAGAAGTATGCTACAGTAAGTTTTGTTTACTGTTGTCTGAAATGTAGGAATCCAATTAAGTGTACACATAATTCTGTGAATGGAAGTATTTTTGACTTCAGAAATTTTATATATTCTGATAAACACTTTACAATTCATTATCGACCACTTATTGCTTGATATTTCATGTTTCAGATGCTGCTGCTTCATTTTGGAATAGAAATACAAGTATGTCAGATAAATGTTTATTTTACACTAAAGCAAGTACTTGAGATCTATGATTTCTATAGTTTTTTGTTTGAATTGTAGGTCAGATTAGGTTTCATCCAGAGTTTGCTGAGTGTCCATATCGTAGCTTTGGTGGTTACGCGATGGTGATCCAGTATCTCGTCATTACGAAACTCATCCTTCTAACTCTCCTCTACGCTATGTTCAGGTATGAACTCGCACCCAAATTTAAGTTGTTGTGTAATTATTCATAATGATGACCTCTCCAAGGTCGGCTCTGTGCTTGATTTTCAAGCACCAGCTTCACTAACAAGAAAAAACTTCTGTACCTTCCCGGAAGGCAGCATGTGTATGTTTGTATGTTTAATACTACAATATACATGTATATATATAGAATTTCTTTGCAAGATTTGAAAAGGAAACATCACCAAATTTATTTCAAATGCATACTACCTACTCTTAGTTTTGCATTAATAGTAGGAATATATACCAGTAGTAAAATTTTTACTGTAGCGACACATAATTGCTGGAATATACATGTATGAAAGTGTATTACCTTTAGGGTTTCTTTCATATGATATTGCATGCTTTATTGACAGAGTAAACAGATACTTTTAAACATGATTAAATTTTTTGAATTTCAAAGAGTCACCTTTATGGTTTTATAATTTTTTTTTTTTTTTTTTTTTTTTTTTATTGCCCCATCACATGTCCAAGTATATAATAGTGCCAGGGTTGGGGCCCTGGGTTCACTAAGTAACATACATAATACACATATATATTACACAATCATAATGTGACAGGACATTTTTTTCACATATCATTCACACGCCTTTCGCTACATAACATGCATATGATTATATTTATAATAATATTTAACAACTGAAATCTTAATATAATCAGTGAAAAGTTGATGTACATCTGTAACTGCATTGTTTTTTCAAAAATATTAATCATATTAAAACATTATCAAATTCCATCGTTTTTTAAAACTGTCCATTTCCCCATTTTTCTTATAAATATATTTTTCACAATTAAAATAATACATAACCTCTTGTTTGACCCTCTCAAAAGATGGTACACATTTTTTGCATCTATTTCTATAAATATGCTTTTTTATTATACATACTACTAAATTAAATATATTGTTATATTTATAATGTTTTCCCAACAAAACATCAACTTTGTTTAGAGATATATCAACTCCAAACTGTTCTTTCATCCAATCCAGTACATTTTCCCAAATTTCTGCAACACACTCGCATTCCCAAAAAAGATGACAAAGTGTCTCTGGGTGTTTCTTACAAAAACTACATAAATCTGAGTCAGTAACACCAATTTTGTGTAAATATGTATTTGTAGCTAAAATTCTATGTACAATTCTATAGTGGACCATCTTAACTGTATATCATTTGTTATGTTAAAAAACAGAATGTTTTGTTTTTTCCACCAAAATTCATCAACATTAAGTTCTAAAATGTTTTCCCATCTCATTTCACTTTTTGGTTTTTTGTATTTCTGACTAATAAAAACATCATAGAAATCTCTTGCACCTTGTTTGCTTTTTGTTATTGTTTGTAAGAATTTTGGGAAGAAAGGTTGATTTCTTTGAATTATATTATGATCATAATTCAACTGTAATTTTCTAATACAATTTGTTATGCCTAAAAACATTGTAAAAGGTGTTTTTAAATCATATTGTTTACAAAAGTCTTGGTATCCTAACAAAGTCCCATTTGTATCATAAAAATCAAAAACAAATTGTATACCTTGTCTCAGCCATGACTTATAACAAACACTTCTGTTGTTTATACATATTGATGGATTATACCATATGGGACTTAAAATAGATGTTTGATCATCAATACATAATCTCAAATCCAACAATGCTGAAAAAACATCATTCCAGAAAACATTTTCCGTATCTTTCTTAAGTTTTTTTGAAAAATCCCTACCATAGATAACTAAATATTTAATGTCAGGAATTAAATCTTTTAGCAATTCTTTCCAGGCTGATTTACATGAACTATCAAACAATCTGCGAATCCATGTAATTTTTAAACTTTTACAAAATGAATCAAGACATGTCATTCTCATACCACCGTTTTCATAACTTTGGCATATAATATTTTTAGCCACCCTAGCCGTTTTGGTATTCCAGATATAATGAAAAAATATAGCTTCAATTTCTTTGAGTTTTTCTTTAGAAGGGCTCGGTAAACTAATTAATAAGTGACTAAATTTAGGTAAAAGCAAGGTTTTTACTACTGTTATACGACCTGCCGTTGATAAATGTCTTCTAGACCATGATGATATAAGCTTTTTGATAGAGTCAATCTTTGGCAAAAAATTCAAATCAAACATAGTGTTTGTGTCTAGATCTACACAGTATGCTATACCTAACACTGTAAATGGTTCCTGTGACCACATCAAGTTTTGATATTTATCACACAAGTTATCATCAGTATGAACAGTAGATCCAATCCTAATACATTGAGTTTTATCATAATTTGGCTTCAGTCCAGAGAATTTGGAATACTGATTGACTAAAGACAAAGCTGATCTAATTGAGTCTTCTGAACCATCCATTAATAAAACTGTATCATCAGCATATTGTAGTAGTTTATATTCTTTATCTTCAATAACAATGCTCTTTATTAATTTATTATTTCTAATCATAATTCCCATTATTTCTGCACATAGTAGGAACAAGTAAGGTGAAATTGGGTTTTATAATGGTTATTGTATTTTTAGCTCTTCTGAGCCAAAGGCTCAAAGAGCTAATGCTATGGCCATTTGTGCGGTGTGTGGTGTGCGTCGTGCGGTGTGCGTTAACTTTTTAGAATATGGGCCATAACTCAAGAACCCCTTGGCCAATCAGTGTCAAATTTGTCACAGGGTATCCTTGGCCCAAGGGCTACCATTTATACTAAAATAAGGGTTGGGACCCTAAAACAAGGGGAGATAATCAGGAAAACAAAACCAAAAGTGCTGGTTGCTAAAAAATCTTCTTCTCCAGAACCACCAGGCAGATTTTCACCAAACTTACATACAAGGATCAAGATATGTTGAAGATTAAAAATTGTTCAAGGCATGACCCTGGGGCAAAGGGCGTGGTCTCAAGGTCACTTTAAAGTTGACCTAAATTTACAATTAATAAAAATGTTTATATTTTGCTTACTATAAGGACTAGGATCATCAAATCTTCTAAGTTGATGCATCTTAGGACTTCACATCATGTTAACTCAAAAGTAGGTGACGGTGACCTACTTTTTTAATTTTGCTGGCATTTGATTTCAAATTGATTTGAAGGCATATTTTGGACACTTTAAGGCCTATGATCATCAAACTTAGTCAGTTGATGCATCTTGGGTCCTTGAACAATGTCAACTTAAAAGTAGGTCACCGTGACCTACTTTTTGAATTTTATTACTTATCCTTTTTAAAACATTTAATCCTATTATTTCAGGCACTGAAAGGGTTAGAATCATCAAATCTTGTAATTTGCTGCATCTTGGGACCTTAAAACATATTTAAGAAAAAGTAGGTCACTCTGACCTCTTTTTAGAATTTTGCAGGCATTTGTTTTCAAATTGTTAAAAAGGCATATTTTGATTACCTTCAGACCTACGATCATCAAACTTGGTCAGGAGATGCATCTTGAGACTCTAAAAAATGTCAGCCAAAATGTAGGTCGCGGTGACCTACTTTTGACATTTTATGGCTATATTTAAGTATCTTAGGTACTTATTGGCTTAGAATCATCAAACTTTGTCAGTTGATGCATCTTGGGTTTTTGGAGAATGTAGACCACAAAGTAGGTCACAGTGACCTACTTTTGACATTTTATGGCTATATTTATGTATCTCTAGTACTTATTGGTGTAGAATCATCATACTTTGTCAGTTGATGCATCTTTGATTTTCGGAGAATGTCGACCAAAAAGTAGGTCACGGTGACCTACTTTTGAAATCTCAGATATTTATTGGCTTAGAATTATCAAACTTGGTCAGCAGATGCATCTTGGGACTTTAAAAAATGTCAACCAAAATGTAGGTCACGATGACCTACTTTCAATATTTTATGGCTATATTTAAGTAACTCTGGTACTTATTGGCTTAGAATCATCAAACTTTGTCAGTTGATGCATCTTGGGTTTTCCGAGAATGTCGACCAAAAAAGGTCACAGTGACTTACTTTTGACATTGTATGGCTATATTTATGTATCTCTAGGACTTATTGGTTTAGAATCATCAAACTTTGTTAGTTGGTGCGTCTTAGGTTTTCGAAGAATGTCGACCAAAAAGTAGGTCAGTGTGACCTATTTTTGAATATCTCAGGTATTTATTGGTTTAGAGTTATCAAACTTGGTCAGCAGATGCATTTTGGAATTCTAAAAAATGTCAACCAAAATTTAGGTCACAGTGACCTACTTTCGAATTTAATGACTATATTTAGGTATTTACTGGGACTTATGGGTTTAGAATCATCATACTTTGTCAGTTGATGCATCTTGGGTTTTCGGAGAATGTCGACCACAAAGTAGGTCACAGTGACCTACTTTTGAATATCTCAGGTATTTATTGGCTTAGAATTATCAAACTTAGTCAGTAGATGCATCTTGGGACTCTGAAAAATGTCGACTAAAATGTAGGTCACGATGACTTACTTTGACATTTTATGGCTATATTTAAGTATCTTAGGTATTTATTGGCTTAGAATAATCAAACTTTGTCAGTTGATGCATCTTGGATTTTCCAAGAATGTAGACCAAAAAGTAGTCCTAATTGGCTAAGAATCATCAAACTTTGTCAGGTGATGCAACTTGGGTCTTATGATACTTTAGGGTTAGAGGCTTCAAATACAAGTGATAGGTTGTACAATTTATCAGAAGAGCGATTCAAGGCCCTTGGGCCTCTTGTAGTGTAACCAATGCCAAGGTTCAGCAGGAATCAGAGGAAATCTGGAAGTACCAGGTGTACAGCATCATTGTGGACTTTGAGACTCGTCTGAGGTTGCCTGCTCCATTTAATTTCATCAGTTACATCATCATGATGTTTGAGTTCATCTTTGATAAACTCAAACTGTGCCTAAAGAAATGCTGTCGATCCTCATGCTGTAGGAAGAAAAAGGACCGAGTGGTAAAATTCTATTATTTACTTTTATTCTCTTTGGATATCAGCAATTTGACCATAAGACCTTGAACTTAGAGTTTGACCTTTTGTGAAACTGTAATCCAGGTCATAACTTCTGAATAGTTGATGCCAAGATTTTCATACATTGCACATTGTATTTCATTTACATTCCTCATGATATAACCTCTCCTTGGGTAATAACATTTTTTTTTCCTTTTCACCTTGGAGTTGGACTTCCATTTGGGGACATCAGTGTTTTACAAATACAGATATATAGAGCATTTTTAAAGTAATCATCTATTTACTAACTCCATAAGTCTGATAAGGGTATCGCATGTAGACCCTTTATGACAATTTTATTTGCTCTTGTTGGATTCTAAATGAGAGTGAGAGCTATAATTGTAAAAAAATATCTAAATAGTTCAGGAAATTGGTATTTATTTGTTTTTAAGAACATGACTTATTAGATTCTTATCATTCAAGTAAAGAAGTCAACATAACGTTTTGACTCCAATTCTAGGATGTTGACAATGTGTCTATTGTTAAAGTCAAGGACTCGACAAACTACAGCTACTGGAAGATCTGTCTAAAGAAACTGAATGAAGAACAGGAACAAGATGAAAGAGAGGCTGCACGACATACAATGCAAAGTCAAAGGTTAGGGAAATAATCCGTGTTAGATTTATAGTGATAAGATAATGATTAATGCTTCAGATTTGAAGGCATACACTTAAGTTGCTCTGATATTTTTAGTTCACCTCAAAGAAATGAGCTTCTGTTTTCAATTAATTTCTGTTAAAATATTTCCTATAGGCCATCGGCAAAGTAACTGTATTTTATAAACTGAAGAGTTTCAGCTATACCATGGAGTATACTTTTTGCTATCCATCCTTGAGAAAATTTTCATGCAGTTTGATTTTCTGTTATATGATTGACCCGCAAGTTATTCAACATTGTCCGCAAGTTATTCAACATTGAAGAGTTCCACAAAGATATACCTAGGGGTATAAAATTTACTAACCAACTCTTACAAATACTTTTATTACACATTGATATATTAAAAACACCTATCAGCTGGCTCTGAGTGGGATAGCAGACCTGTTTACTCTTACGATTTCGCCGTATTTTATACGGATTTTTAGTCCAAATTACGTCTCACGTTTTGCTATTATGAATATACGGAAATCCGAAATACAGTTGTTCGGAATTCAGCAGCTGTATTTCTTTAGGATCTATCTCAATTTCACGCTTTTAAATGACTTTAAAAAGAATTTAAAATTTCAAACGCAGAGGTGTTATCAGGGTGCCCAAATGCTGTGGTATAATATGACAACGACCAAGTTATTAAACCATATTTTAGCAATCAGAAAAGCCGTTGTTCTCCATTTATATATGTAAAATCGATGGAAAATGAAATCTTACTGGCAAATGCCAAATCTCACGGACAAATCTAAACAAAAATACTGAGAGACAACGATATGGGTAAACAGGTCTGGGATAGCGATTTCATCAAATCCTTAACAGGAACTATAAGTCCAAGGTTTGATAAAAGAGCTATCCAATGCAAGTTCATAGTTAACCATGCTTTCATTGGTGATGTATCTAGGGATGTTTACAACCAATTGCAAAACAGTTAAACTGGATTGCTGGATGAATGACTAGCTTTTAGAGAAGATCCATTCCCAAGTACATCAAAAATATCAAAAAGCCTTAAGGTGGCCAGACTGGCATGGTTGCTGCAATCTAGGGATGCCTTCAGCTGCTTGATCTCTCCTATATTTCTGGATATATTAGTGACAAGATTGTAATTTTTTTTAAAGCAAGTCCATTCTTAAGTAAATAAAAATCCTAGAAGTACCAGATTTACATGAGTGATGATCATAAGAATACAGAACCAGGCCTGCTGAAGTTACTGACATTTTTTCAGATGAATGATCAGGTTAGTTTGTTCGGAGCAGGTCCATTACAAAGTTACTCTGCGACCATTGTTGTGAAGCGCATTACCAGAACATTTTCATAGAGGTCAAGGTTGTAAATTTTGATTACCTAAATTTTGTATAATGTAATTATCTTCTTCTATTGTTTAAATTGTAGAATAGAACAGCTGGTAACACAATCCAAACTACAGAGGGAATTTAATGACAGAATGACGGAGCAGATGTCAAATCTGGAGAGACAGTTGATTGCCTGTAGCTTAGCTTTGGAGCAGATTGCCCACAAAATAGATACAATTGGTCAGTATTATCCTTACACATATGGAGTTTTTGTAATCTGTGAACACTAAAGAAAATTCCCAGTAAAATTACTGGGAACCAAATTCATGCAGGAAATCTCTTTTTTATTCAAAGACTTTATTAATACTGTAGATCACTTAACTTTCGCGACACCTTATTTTCGCGAGAAAGTCATTGACTCTTTATTAGCGAGACAAAATTTTCACGAATTTTGGTCATTGCTCTATATAATCTTAAGGAATTCTATAATACGCGAGAATGAAATTTTCGCGAGCATTCCGTCTCACGTAATTATGCGAAAATAAAGTTCTCACGAATAAAAAGTGATTTACAGTATCTTAATTTGGTGTAATATTTCCAGAATTAACTTGAAGGTTTACACATTTTGTTTGCTCACCTGGGTTATAAGCTTAAGTGAACTTTTCTGTTCATCATTTTTCTGTTGTCCATCTGTCAAGTTGTTAACTTTTCACATCTCTTGCTCTGATGAGCAAAAGGCACAGAGAACTAATGCTATGGCCATTCTACTTGTGCAACTTTTCTGAAATGTGAGTCATGTTTCAAGTACTGGACAGCAATGTTTGTCAAAATTTGTCACAGATTCTTCTACCTCTTGTTTGTATGTTTCTGCAGATCCCCAGGCCCGTCCAGAATTAGAGACTGCCACCTCCCTACACATAGCTAGTCGTCAGTCTCCGTATCCCAACACCAAGATACAGAGATTTCCTGTCTTTGACAAGTATGTCAATTGGGAAGTAGGTATCATCTTCCACAAACTTACATTCTTTTGTTAGAGGCATCTGAAGGTGATATATTGTTACATGTTAAATATTTTATACAGGAACCTTATCCTACCTATGATCCTGTCCTGTACACCAAACCTGTGGATGAATACAGAGAATCAATACAGAGTCTGGTAGATCCTGATTTTATAGAGTAAGTATAGATGATGATTAAACTAGACTAATATTAGGCTTCTCTGGGATGAAGGATTCATTAACATTAAAAAGCTTAAAACAGTCTAGATTAATAATGATAACTAAGAGATTTTTAATGGTAAAAATGGCATTATTTTTCTTTATATAAACATATATTTCTCAAAATAACCTAGCACATATCAGCTTTAAAATATTCATGACAGGAAAAGTTATTTGATTTACCTTACTTTTTCTTTTATGTTGATATTTCTTTAGGATCAGACAGCGTGTGGAAAGCAGCAGCCAGAGTCAGGAGGAGAGAACCAGTATACTTTCAGCGTATGGGTACCAGAAACCCCTGTGGAATCTGTCAGCTACATATGTTATTAATGAGACTAACATAGAAATCAACAGAGTATCTTGGATCACAAAGGATGGTTTACCAATAAGATATGAGCTTGACTCATCCAACATGCCAATGTAAGACTCTTCAATTACTGGTTTAAGTTCAAAAGTCTTGTAATATCAAGACTGCAACAGATAATTGTGTATAGGCCCTAGGGTGAGATGAAATTAGTCGTGTTTTGAAAAATACATTACAGCTGTGAAAATCTTCATCTTTACACCAAAGCATGCATTTGGGAAGCTTTTTGCTTGATCACAATGAGTTCTTGACCCTTACCAGAATTCTAATATTCAGCATTCAGGCCCCAGTTTTGGGCATTTGCCTGAAGGGGGCCGACTGTGGTTTCCATTGCGCAATATTTCAAGCATCATAGGAAAACGAAGCGTATTTACTATTCTAAAGCAACTTTTTTTTGCTTAATTATTAAAATTAAACAAAATTAAGAAATTATAGATATAAAAATGTAATTACAAATTGATATAACTGATTTTTAATCGATTTTGCAATTGATATAGGTAGGTTGACGTCGTTACAGTGTTCTTGATGTTATGATAAACTGAAGCTCTTTAAGAAAAGGGTTATGAAAATGTTATTAAATAAAAAGTTATAAACATATGCTCTTGAAATTTAAAACATAGAAATTTGAGAATATCTTTATTATTTTTATTGTTTTCATATGAATCCTATGTGCCCGTCATATTTTGTAGTACTCTATTAAAACAGGAAAATTAGTTAATTTTTGGCATTTGGAGATGCCTCCTCTGGTAACAAGACGGTAGAATTTTGTGTTTCTTACATATTATGTACAGTATAGTATTACTCATCAAATATTATAGTTTGAACAAAAAATCTATTGTAGTATTTGTAAAATTTGCCTTAAAGTGCTAAAAATTGGCATTTTCCTATATAATCCTATAGTAAATGTACCTGTATTTTGAGACGGTCCCTCAAAAATACCTGGACGGTAGATTTCCCCCAAACTTTGCATGTACACTGAAGTTTATGTAACTTATATATGGTATGAAAATACAGTTTCGCTATTGTAGTTTTCACACAATAAAACCGCAGTCAGCACCCTTAAAGTTTTAATTTTTTTTTGTTTTTAGTTTTATTACCTTTTCAGTTTCTGTCTTCTATGATAGTATATTTTAAAAATATTCACAGAAATCCCATGGGTCGTACTGGTATGAGAGGAAGAGGGAAGTTGAGGAGGTGGGGGCCGAATCATTGTGTGATGTTGGTCGTGTCCAGATGGAAGAGATTTCTGTCTACGAGTCAGAACCAGCAGAACTTCATCACGGTGGACGGCAAAAAAGTCCTAGAAGTCGCTGTATTTCAAAAGAAGGAATCAGGGGAGTTCACTCTGCCAAGTGTAAGTTTGATGAAATTTTAATACTGCATATTATTCAAAGGGTAATACAAACTAAACTTGCAAGTGTGGGACATCTTTGGATACTTACTGTGTTTTGTTAATGTATTTTGATTTGCCCTGCTGGGAATATAAGTCCTGTTTTGATAATTCTAGTTCAGTTTTACTTTATCATAGCATAATATTATTTCCTCAATTTTAAGAAATTAAAAACTGTTTAAAAACCCACCAATAAGCATGCAAATCATAATTTTCACAAAATCACTCATTCGGTATTTTAATTATGAAGCGAAACAAATTTACATGTATAATGAAGAGCCAGGAAAGGACAATATATTTTAAAGTCAGGGAAATGAAATTCACTTCCCTGTTAGTGTCACTTCATTTGATATAAGCCTGATTAATGGTTCTGTGTTCTGTAGGGTAAGGAGTATGGTGACCTGTCTCTTTACTCAGCTGTCTGTAGGAAGTTTTATTGTTCTGTGTTCTGAAGGGTAAGGAGTATGGTGACATATGTCTCTGTAATCAGCTGTCTGTAGGAAGTTTTACTAGTATTGTTCTGTTTTATGTAGGGTAAGGGGTATGGTGACATGTCTCTGTAATCAGCTGTCTGTAGGAAGTTTTACTAGTATTGTTCTGTGTTCTGTAGGGTAAGGAGTATGGTGTGACATGTCTCTCTACTCAGCTGTCTGTAGAAAGTTTTATTGTTCTGTGTTCTGTAGGGTAAGGAGTATGGTGACATGTCTCTGTAATCAGCTGTCTGTAGGAAGTTTTATTGTTCTGTGTTCTGTAGGGTAAGGGGTATGGTGACATGTCTCTCTACTCAGCTGTCTGTAGGAAGTTTTATTGTTCTGTGTTCTGTAGGGTAAGGAGTATGGTGACATGTCTCTCTACTCAGCTGTCTGTAGGAAGTTTTATTGTTCTATGTTCTGTAGGGTAAGGAGTATGGTGACATGTCTCTCTACTCAGCTGTCTGTAGGAAGTTTTATTGTTCTGTTTTGTGTAGGGTAAGGGGTATGGTGACATGTCCCTCTACTCAGCTGTATGTAGGAAGTTTTATTGTTCTGTGTTCTGTAGGGTAAGGAATATGGTGACCTGTCCCTCTACTCAGCTGTCTGTAGGAAGTTTTATTGTTCTATGTTCTGTAGGGTAAGGAGTATGGTGACATGCCTCTCTACTCAGCTGTCTGTAGGAAGTTTTATTGTTCTGTGTTCTGTAGGGTAAGGAGTATGGTGACATGTCTCTCTACTCAGCTGTCTGTAGGAAGTTTTACTAGTATTGTTCTGTGTTCTGTAGGGTAAGGAGTATGGTGACATGTCTCTCTACTCAGCTGTCTGTAGGAAGTTTTATTGTTCTGTGTTCTGTAGGGTAAGGAGTATGGTGAGATGTCTCTCTCCTCAGCTGTCTGTAGGAAGTTTTATTGTTCTGTGTTCTGTAGGGTAAGGAGTATGGTGACATGTCTCTCTACTCAGCTGTCTGTAGGAAGTTTTATTGTTCTATGTTCTGTAGGGTAAGGAGTATGGTGACATGTCTCTCTTCTCAGCTGTCTGTAGAAAGTTTTATTGTTCTATGTTCTGTAGGGTAAGGAGTATGGTGACCTGTCTCTTTACTCAGCTGTCTGTAGGAAGTTTTATTGTTCTGTGTTCTGTAGGGTAAGGAGTATGGTGACATGTCTCTCTTCTCAGCTGTCTGTAGAAAGTTTTATTGTTCTGTGTTCTGTAGGGTAAGGAGTATGGTGACATGTCTCTCTACACAGCTGTCTGTAGGAAGTTTTATTGTTCTCTGTTCTGTAGGGTAAGGAGTATGGTGAGATGTCTCTCTACTCAGCTGTCTGTAGGAAGTTTTATTGTTCTGTGTTCTGTAGGGTAAGGAGTATGGTGACATGTCTCTCTTCTCAGCTGTCTGTAGAAAGTTTTATTGTTCTGTGTTCTGTAGGGTAAGGGGTATGGTGACATGTCTCTCTCCTCAGCTGTCTGTAGGAAGTTTTATTGTTCTGTGTTCTGTAGGGTAAGGAGTATGGTGACATGTCTCTCTACTCAGCTGTCTGTAGGAAGTTTTATTGTTCTGTGTTCTGTAGGGTAAGGAGTATGGTGACATGTCTCTCTACTCAGCTGTCTGTAAGAAGTTTTTGGAGAACATTTTCCAGGAGTCTGAGACCAAGCTTGACCCCAACATGACAGAACAGCAAATGATTCAGGTAAAAAACAACAAAACAACAAATGATTCTGGTATTGTAACAACAGAACAATAAATGATTCAGTTACAGTAACATCTGAACAACGAGTGATTCAGATACAGTAACAACAAAACAACAAATGATTCAGGTACAGTAACAACAGAACAACAAATGATTCAAGTAACAGTAACAACAGAAATATAAATAATTCAGGTAAGATGACAACAGAACAATGAATGATTATGGTACAGTAACAACAGAATAACAAATGATTCAGGTACAGAACAACAAATGATTCAGGTCAGTAACAACAGAACAACAAATAATTCAGGTACAGAACAACAAATAATTCAGGTACATTACAACAGAACAACAAATGATTCAGGTACAATAACAACATGACAACAAATGATTCAAGTATGGTTACTACAAATGAATCAGATACTGTAGCAACAGAACAACAAATGATTCAGGTATGAATAACAACAGAACAACAAATGATTCAGGTACAATAACAACAGAACAACAAATGAATCAGGTATGATGACAACAGAACAATGAATGATTCAGGTACAAGAACAACAGAACAACAAATGATTCAGATACAATAACAACAGAACAACAAATGATTCAAGTATAGTAAGAATATGATTCAGGTACTGTAACAACGGGACAAAAATTGATTCAGGTACAGTAGGAAAATGATTCAGGTACAAGTACAACGGAACAACAAATGATATAGGAACATTAATGACAAAATAACAGATGATTCAGGTTTGGTTACAACAGAACAACAAATGATTCAGGTAAGATAATTACAGAACAACTGAACAACAAGTGATTCAGGTACAGTAACAACAGAACAACAAATGATTCAGGTACATAACAACAGAACAACAAATGATTCAGGTACAGTAACAACAGGACAACAAATGATTCAGATATGAGAACAAGGAACAACAAATGATTAATTAAATTTTAAGAAGTAAATCCAGACTAAATTTGATAATCTTAGTATAGAAATGACATTCATGTATTAGAATATCTGCAGTAAAGGTATACATGCATATTTGTGTAATTTAAAACCTATTTTTACATTAATTTTTTCTGTTTCCTTTACTTGTACATAATTTAAACATAATTTAGCAATGTACATGTATATATGAATTCTGAGAAATTTTTTTTTCTGTTTTTCAGTTCTTTGAGCAGTTTGTGGAGCCCCATCCTGGTCCCTTTACAGGGTTTACTTCAGGACAAATTTACAAGGGCTACATGGATGATCCGTGTAACACTGACAATGCCTGGAGAGAGGCAGAGGTCTGGAACATACATTACCATGTTCCGGATAACCTTGACCTAAAGATCAAGGACGTATGTATAACTAACTTCATAATTATTGGTCCAAACATTGGAAGGAGAGGCTGAAATTATCCATTGTCATAATACAGTTGTGACATGCATTTGTTGTTTTATTTTTTAAGAAAGTAGCCCTGTATTTTATTTATTTTGCAGAAAGAGAAAAAGTGGAAAGAAGTGTCTTCTTATCTTAGACTACCAGGAAACCAGAATCTAATCGTGCAAGAAGCAGCCCGTATCCAAGGTGCCTATTATTAAAACTCACCGACTTGTTCATCTTTATATTCATCTTTCAAATGCTAGATGGTTGTAGATTCTTAGTGCAATGATTGAAAAAAGTAATGAAAATTTTGTTGCTGTCTTAAGACTTTTTCCTTTTATATTTTTGTCCTTTATGCAAGTTATTTTACATTTACATTTATTTTTATATTAATTGCTGTATACACACTTTTGGTGTTGGCAGACTATTTCATGGTGCATTTTTACTTTATTAATTTTTATCCAAATTATTCACTGTGCCATTTTTAACATAGTTTTTGTGTTTGTGTTCTTACCACTGTACTTTCATGTGTACATTATTTTATCATCTACTTTTCATCTTTGTAAACATGAAGGTGCCATTCAATAATTATTGATATCATTACCATATCTTTTAAGTTTATGTTTTTAGATGTAAGGTTATTGTTTCATTATTTTGTTCAAGACCAGAATTTCACTGAAACTGTGAGAGATGAAACAGTATTTGTTTTGATCAGAGATATATTGATTCAGGTTGAAATCAATCTACAATATACCAGTACTTGAAGATGCTTAAACAGGTTATGAAATACTGGTCAGGGTATACCATTATTATTTTAATATAATGGTACATATATAAGACTTTAACTCAATAATGATCGTTATAAACTAGGATAGTTTTTTTATCTTCAGTGTGAAGCTTTAGTATGAACAAAAAGTTTGAAAGAGCAAAGTATGTAGAATGTGCAAGCCAGAAAAATGTACATCAGTTTTAATTCATCATTCATTGACGAACAATGTTTTTTGTGTAAACTTGCCTTTGTAAACATCAGTTTCATACTGCATGACAGGGATGTATGTTAATCTATCTCTGTGAAGCCGTTTTATTTTTGGTAACAGTATATTTCAATTAACAGTTGATTTTTGACCATTTGTAGGGAATGGTATAGACTTGCATGTTGCTTGGAGTCGTACTATTTTTTTAAAGAATCTTTTAAACTCACATGAGCCGAATATTCTTTTGCCATTGGTGCTATTGGTAGGTATTAAGGTCAATTGACTCACTTGGCTGACCTTTTGCTATCGGTTTAAGCTAGTCCATATATTTCCTGTGTAAAATTCTGCAGCTGAGCAACCATACATAAACATCTATAGTGGAGATTCAAGATTGTTCAAACATTTCCCCCATAAAGAATTATGTTGAAATATGTAGGAAAAATCTATAAATGTCTACAAATTAAATTGTTAAACTTGCATGACATCATAGAAAGATGTTAACGTATTTGAAAAAGCTATCAAGAGTTGTGGATTGAATGCATCATCATATTTTAAAGTTGTACAAAATCTATTTTTACACAATGTTCAGATTAGTTTACATGCAGTGCTTATTTTGTTTAGATAGCAAGGAATTAAAATTCAAAGATTTAATTAGAATTTATTAGGCAATTGTAGTATTAGAACTTGATTTTAAAAAATACAATAATCCATCAAATGGATTAATTAGTTAACAATTTCTGTGTGACATTGTGTGACACTGAACCAATACTCCTATGTTTATGATGTGGTTTGTGAAAGCAAAATGTTGTTAGATATACAGTACTGTATATGATCAAAAGTAAACGTAAGATTTGCATTGAATAAATATATTGATGTCACGTTCTTATTTTTTTTTTTTTACCTTCATAAGTCATATGAATTTTATATTACATTCATCAAGATTGAATGGAAAGATGAAGAAAGCTCTTTCTTTCCTAAATGAAATAAGGATACTGGTAGTGCCAATTAAGGACCCCCCTTGTGAGCTAAAATCAGTAGTGTTTATGCATTTACTCTTTAAGGGGAATTAATGTATCGAATTCTATGTCTGTCAACTGAAATATTTTCAGATATTAAAAATACATCTTTCCATGTCTGATACAATTTGACCTTATGACCTGAAACACCTATCTACTTATGATATAAATAGTTCTTGTTGCACCTGGGGGTACATAGGGCAAGGATCCTAAATACAGTGGTCATCAAAGCAGACCATTGTTCCAAGTTTCACATTTAAAAAAGGTTCCTCAAGATATTGAGCAGACAACACATTAATAATGTTTCACTGTTCAAAGTACAGATATGTGATCCAGGTGTGACTTACAGTAACTGAAATAAAATAATCTTTGAAAACATTGAAAACTTGTGAGTGTTTTTGAAGATGATTGTGTTCTCAGTTCTCAAATTTTCTTGAGGATGTGTCAAGGTTGGAGCTGCAAGGTTGAAGTCAAGTTTAAAGTGTGAAAATCAGGGAACAATGTCGATATCTCGTATTCAAGAACAGCACCACAATAGTCACCAGCTTTGGCAGCTAAATGCCTTTATTAGACCCCTGTAAAATCTTAATTAGCTTTTAAAATCAAAGTGTCTGGTGTCCTAATGGCTGTAAACTTTTCACTGTTTTGACTTTTTGAAAACCACTGGGCTTATTTCAAACAGTATACACTGTATACTGTTGAAAGATAATGGGCCTTTAATTTTATTTGAAGTTAGGATCTTTGTGTAGTGCTATATACCGTGTGATTTTGTAGTGGTTCCAGAAAAATAGCTATTTCATATGTAGATTCAAAAATTAAACAAGAGGCCCATTGGTCACAACACTCACCTGAGTCAATAAGGTTCATCTGTTCCTCATCAGCAGATTTTTATGCGCCCAGATCGATAGATCAGGGGTCCATATTGTTTTTGTCCTGTCTGTCTGTTGTCAACTTTAACCTTCGCTATGACTATTGAATCATAGGAGATAGAGACTTCATATTTGGTATGCATATTCCACTAATTACACCCCCCCATCCCGGTTTGTTCTTTCAAATGGCATCAAGGTCAATGACTTTGTGACGTTGACTGTGACCTATATGCTAAAAATAACCTTTTTGAACCTTCACTACAACTTTTGAACCAGAAGAGATAGAGACTTCATATTTGGTATGCATACTCCACTAATTATGTACTTTCAAATGACACCAAGGTCAATGACCTTGTGACACTGACTGTGACCTATATGCTAAAAAATAGCTTTTTCTAACTTTTATGCTGCTGCCATGTGCATATAAGTGTTTCACAAACCCATCTTGTTCTCCTATATATTCCCTTACTGTGACCCAAACCTATCCCAGATGGTCATGTTTGTAACAAACTTGAATTTACAAATTCATGAAGGAAATTCATGAAGGGTTTCATCTTTTCTTGCAAAGTGGTCATTGAAAAGTAAAAATATATCATCAAAAATTTCACAAATCTTTAATTACCTCCCCGGGAAAGAGAGTTTGGCCCCTTCACCAAAAGATACTTTGTGGTAAGTTTGGTTAAAATTGGACCATTGGTTTTGGAGAACATTAAAGCAAATTGTGGAAGTTTAGATTTCAGACAGATGCCAGACAAAATGTAAAAGTTTTATGCATAATGCAGCTTTCAGAATAAAAATTAGTAAGCTTGTATGCCAAGACAATTCATAAGGGCAGAATGTTAATTAATGCATCTTCTTTGTATATTGTTTACTACCGGGTACCGGTATATAAAAATTCCATGCATGCATGTGTGTGATTGTTGTGTCATTTTGGGATGTTTTCTACCCTAGCTTAAGTACATGTGTATTGCATGCAGTGTTGTGATTCACTATTTCCGATGACAATATCCTCTTTTGAAATAAATAAAGTTTAATATTCATAATGATGATTTAATGATGTCATAGATTAAAGAATGTATTGTAGTTACCTATGAGAAGTGTTTTTGTGGTATCCTGTTCTTACAGACATAAGTTGTCACTCCTAAAATTTAAGAAGGAGTGCACATAAAGTAAAACACTTGTTAATAAAGGAAGTTCCCTCGTTCCCAATCCTTAATAAAATCAATGTCCGGCATCTATACATACATTTTTCTTCGAAAATTTATCATACATGGAAAAAACAATAAACAGAAATTAATTTATGTACATATTAAGTATTGATAAGGGTTTTATATGCAATAAGCAAAACTGACTGCTAAGCAATTTTAAACACAATCAGCTTTTATTATTAGTACATATAGTCTTCCTCTGATGTGATAAGACTTGTATAATTAATACAGTCACTATACACTTTATATCTTCTACCATCACATAGTAGGAACTCTGATCCATGATTATGAAAATCATTTGTAAAAAATTTCTTTTAAAATTTCTGTACATTTTTGTTGTTCAAAAGAGCTATTTCTTTAAAAATTCAAAGCATTTGCTGGAGAGGGGAAGGGATATCGCACCTTTTTCTGAAAAATAGAATTTCTTTAATGAATAAATTTATTAATCAATCTGTTTGAAGTACTGTTTTCCATGCTTTTTATTAAATAATTCAAAATTACTTCCAGAATACACCAGAACTCATCTTTTATGATACACATATGGTACATTTTTATACAGAAAACAAAAAAAAAATGGCTTAAAGGAAGGAGGAGGCCCTCCAAGCAACTCGATCCTGACCCAGGGACCTTGGATATCACAATTTAGGTTGAGGTACCCTGTTTCATATCATAGCCATGCATCTAGTTTATCCCCTGCTTAATATAAATGGGAAGAGCGGAAGATTTTTAAAACATTCATACATTTTTACTTATATAATCTATATAGAGGCTCACACTAACATCAAGACCCTTAACCCTGGGGACAAGAATTTTTGTAGAGGATTGAACAACCGAGACAAAAGCAAATAGCAATAGGTCACCTCTTTGATTTAGGTGACCTAGAACTCTCTTGACATAACCCTATTATACAACTCCTTAATATCAAACAAAAAAGTTGAAGAATTTTAAAAGAATGCCCCTATTACTTTATCCTATGTTAAATGTTTGCAAAGTTTATTTCTATACATATCAGTGATACTTTGCTAAACAAGACGGCATTCATACTAGAAATAAACATCAATCAAGCTTTTGTGAAGTAACTGAAAGTTAGGTTTATAATACAGTAACCAATTCTCTGCTATATGTGAAGACTGTATTCTGTGATCTTACTTTGCTGTTTCACACATTGATCTTGACAGAGAACCTTTAAAACATATCCCCCTTAGTAAAAGAGGTGAAGATAACAGCATCAATCTAAAAAAGAAAAGAAAGAAGTATACATACAAGTACAAATGTGAGAACAGGGCATAAAACACAAGCTCATAAAATTCCAGAGATTGGATCAGGAACCTAATGTTTAATGAAACTTCCTTATTGTACAGCGTATATGGAAGTTTCAAATATACATTGTAAATGTTGTACTGTAGAATACTTAGGCCCTATATTTTTCATGAGTACTTATCATGAATTGGCTCTTCAACATCAAATTGCAAGAATAATAATTCATGAATAGACAGTTGATCAAGAGATTTCCCTTACATGGACTTCAGCATCATAAAAAATAAAAGCGAGTTATTTTATTTCCCGAGTGGTGCGCCTCACGAAGTGATGCGATAATTAATTCCACATGTATATTTAGGAATCTACAGTATTTATTGGTAGTCTAGTGGTTTATGTCAAGATTTTGAATTAGCCTACGTACTGTACTTCAATTATTACATATCTATCTTGATAAGTGAATGACCCTGCTAGAATCTTTATTCAATATTTTTTGTGGAAATTACATAAATATGCTGGATTGATAAATTTGACCATCATTGGTGAAAAAACCATTAGATTACAACTAAGTACATGTATAGGAAGTCTAGATTCTGGGAGTTTCCAAACAGTAAAATTTTCATTTTTTTTTAATCATATGTGTTGAAATCTTTTAAACCCCAAAAAATAAAGAAATAAAACGAAAAGAGTAATAAAATATTTCATTTTATTCAAAAGCTAAACCAAACATATTGCATATAAGAATGTTTTATAACAAGTGCTGATATCAACATTATAATTTAATTGTTTTAAAAACAGACTTGGAGACATTTATTTATCATTTTCTATTAAAATTCTAAGATCAAAATTTGTTACTAAAACCAATATCCAGTTACAAGGAATACATATATGGAATATGGATGTGAAAGTTCCGACCTAACACAGCTATTCAAAAGTTACAGCTAAATTATCATAAGTTTAAGTTTTTGAGGACAAACAAGCAGACTGACCAAAAGGGTACAGTATGTGATAGAATCTTCAAATATGGAGCATAAAAACAGCAAAACTCTATCTGTTTGTAACAGGGTAAAGAACATAATGAAATTAATCATAACAAATATCAAATATTAGACAGCTGCCAAAGTATTTGATTTAAACTGATGTAAACTTATGTCTTACGATGTTTAAAACGTGTTTGTGGAACACTGATGCACCTGTAATGGCACCTCACGGCCAAGGTTAGAGTTTTTCAAATGAATGTCGAACTCCAAGGTCAAGGGTTCAAAAATATTGAACCTCAAAGAAAGGTCCTGTTACAAGGAATAAGCATGTGAAATTAAAACCCTAGCAACAACCATTCAAAACTATGGGTTATTTTTTTTAACGTAGGTAATTTCTCAAAATAAAAAGATCAGAGATGCTGGTATTTGTCTGATTGGATAATTAATTAAATAATAAATCCCTTGTATAGTCTATTCAGAAGTTATCCCCAAGGTTTAAGTTTTTCATGTGTCAAGGTCAAGAGGTTATGTAGGTCCACTCTCCATGAAAGGTCTTGACATAAGGAAAACACATGTGATATATGAAAGCCTTAGCACAAAACATTCAAGGTATGGTCAACCGTCAAGGTTCAAGTTTGGTAAATTTTGTAATAATCATAATAATAGGTCAAACTGCAAGGTAATGGTCAAGACTGAAGAGGTCAAACCATTCAAAAAGTGTGGCTTTATATGGTTAAAGAGTTTGCAGACAAATAGACTGGCAGGTCAGAGAAGCAGACAGACGAAATCTATATACCCTGATTCTTCTATTATGTACAAGAATTTAAAACTGTTTAATTTATAATTTATTACAAAACAATGAAGATCAACTTCAACAAAAATCCATCATATAAAGATTTGGAGACTATAAGAAGTCTCAAGAGGTTTTATATCAATAACAGCATGTATACATGTAGCTTTCACATACAGGTATATTACATATCAGTGCTGAGACAGCATAGGTTTTCTGCATATGATACATATCTATACAGAGGCAATATACCGTATCATTTCTAATTTTAAAAATTTGTTTAAAATTCATATTTAATAAAATAAAAAAAAATCCACACATTATTTATTTCTTAATTTTTCAAATCAAGTTGACAGTTTTACTGTGTATGAATCCCTTATCTTCAATTAACATAAGAGATTGTAGATGCATATACTTGATGCTGATTCAGGACTTTGCATTAAACATATTAAAATATTTAAGAATCATTTCAACTCTACTTTACATGGCAAACAAATTTTAAAATCAATTGTCTTCCTGGCAAATTTAATGTTATTTTTTTCCAAATATAATTTAAAATTCATATAAGTGTTAGGATGGTGGCTTTTGTTGACTAGAAGATGATTCATTCTTTGCACTGTCCTTTTTTACATATTTGTTCCAAATGTGTTCAAACACAGGTTTAGCTATGATAGAACTGGCACATATCACAAAGAAACCTTGTGCATACATCCTAGTTTGTACAAGGTACTGGGATACCTCAACTTTTCCGTATTTCCTTGCAATGCTTCTTTGATAAGGCTTGAAGTAAAGAGCTCTACCAATAACAATTAGAGCCAGCCCTGCAAGACCTGAAATATCAATATATAATGTTTAATATCAGAAATAGAACGATGCATGTAACGATGATGTTCATGGCTAGAGATTTTGTATTGCAATATACAGCAATATTTTTAACTGTATTGCAATTATTTTCAATGAAAATAAAAATGGTACATGTGCTCTAATTCTTATTTTATACATGCATTCACTAACATTTTCATCATGTTCATGAGAAATGTAAAATTGACCAAGATAAAATATCTTGTTGATTCAATTATAGTACTGTAAGTTATGGATCAAAATGCATGCACACATAAAACAGCTTTTACCTTACCATTGTCACAATTGTAAACTTTTCTCACACATTCTACATCATATTTGAATTTATTATAGAAAATCTGAGTGTTTTATTGGTATATCTGTACTACAAAAACATATTGAAAAACAATATTTTTTGTTCTCATACAAAAGTCTTTATAAAAATACACTTGTAAACAAAATATTTTTTGTCAGAAAGCAATTCTATGGTTAGGGGGAAAGTAGAAAATGTAGAGATTTTATTGAAACAGATTAACATCTGAAATGTCAGTCATCACATTATATTTATTACAAGACTATTATGTATGAAGTGAGTTTATAAAATACTAAAACTGGAGAAATCAAAACCAACTGGCGCAATGACCTGAGGGCACACCTACGTGATAGGTCAAAATATTTTAACAACTTATGTCAAGTTAATGTTCCCTCATGGTCAATTAAAAACAATTATAAATGACATTCACAGGCTGTCCACATTCTGTTGCCAATTGACATTACTAATGAAATGAATTTTTATGTACGTATCATTCAAATGTGTCATATATATATCTGAACAGTGGTCAAGGTTCTTTATAAATGCAAAATATTTCCAACGAATGTTAATTGGGGCTCAATTTTTGTGGCTATGAATTCCTTAAAAATGGAGTATCTAACTTGTAAAGGATTTCTTGCATAAGGTAATAGTATTTAGTTTACATATGTAGGCCTAATATTGCAATATCAAAATGTTCTCTAACATCTATAACAATGGTAAATTTATCAGTGGGAAAGTATATACCTTATCATATTAAACTGTTTTAAAGGCCTAAGCCAAAAATAAAATTAGCTCTGTTTTGGTGTTGCCGGAGGTAAATCATTGCGGTCTAAATAAATTTTTTCAATTGATATACAGATCATAAATTTTATTTCGTTATCTTCATCTGAATGAAAGTGTCCTGTCCAATCTGCTAGATGAATCTATGGTGGCCATGCTTGAATTTGTGCATATATGACAACAACTTCATGCCAATTTAATGTAGGCGATGTTAAATACCATGTACGGGGTACATTAAAAGTTAGTAAACAGCTAAAAGGCTTTGAAAATCAATGACAAAACTGGGAAACACACGATTATATTTCTGAATTTGAATCTTGAAAAAAAAAATTCCCTTTTACCAACACAAACGTATAAAGACTAAGTTGACAATGCCAAACCAACAATTATTTTTAATTGTAGCCCCAACTGCAATAATATCAATATTAGTTGTTCACAATGATAAGAGAGATACTATCATAGTGTTAGTTGCCAACAATCAAGTTTATATTTCTTGCTTATAACCTTCCCTTTTGATAGTAAATCATGCAACATCTTTTGAAAATTACAGTGTATGAGGGCTTTGTCCATTGACTGTTTGTAAAGTCTTTACATGTTAATTATATTCTGTTGTCCATTGACTGTTTGCAAGTCTTTACGTTTTATATTCTGGAAGGACTCATGTACATCACAAGTCCTGAAAAAATGCTCTTAAAATATAGTGTGGCCATGACCGATCAAATGGGGTTTTAAGCATTTTTGACCCCCAAACTGAATGCCAAGGACAACAGTTTAGTTTATTTCCTTTTTTAAAAATGAAGTTTACCCGGTGTCAGTAAATTCTTTAAGGGGTATTTTGACTTCCTACCTATCCCCAGTTGTGGATACTTCATTAGAGGACTCTTGAAGTCATATTTCTGATCATTCTTCCACTCTATGAGAGCCAGTCTAGCTCTCTCTTCTTCACTCAAACTTTTCTCCCATTTTTCCATCTGCTGCTGATCCACCTCATTCATGGTTGAGCTCTCTTGTGGCATCACTGTAAATTGATAATAAAATGAAATGAAAATACCTTGCTCATTTTAACTATACAGCAGCTGTACAGTATACACACGTTGACACTCTACAGGTCAATCATATAAAATGGTTATATATTACATGTCTCTGTCTAGAAACTAGAAAGTATTTATCATAATTTGATATTTCTTTGCATGATTATCGTACACTTAACCAAAATCAAATGTTACTTTCAATTAGTTATATACACTGTAACACTAACACAACAAACCTAAAAGTCTGTCAAAATTCCTTAAAACGGTCGAGTTAATTCGCGCCAAACAGCCTTGCTAATCGAATATTCACGACATATTCTCATCTACCACGAGATATCAGGAATTAATAAACTTCCTATATAAATCGTCTGAATTCAGTCACCTTTGACAATGTGTACTCGATTGAGTACGTGCAAACGTTCACAACTTTTATTTTTTAAGTGTTGCGTAAGCAGAAGACGTAATGACCTTTCAAGTGAATTCCGAACCCGATCACAATTTGCTGTATCGGTTCTCAAATTGAAGTCACACTAGGGAATGATGCGTCTTTATACGAAATTGAATTTTGATTTAAGAATTAGATATTCGGATACAATTACCAGGTATATAATTCTTAGAATTACTCTATTTGAAATTTGAATATCATTAGAGATTTATAGAAATTTTTCTCTTAATTTTAAAAAACTTTTCTACATATGAGTGAAAATTTCTCGAGCTGGACGTAAAACAACTTTGACATTTTTTCGATCAATATTTCCATTTTTATTTTTTTTTTCTCTGTGATAACCCTTTGTACGAAAGCCCAGTGAGCTCAATCATTTTCGTATGTGAAAAAAAATATTTCTTTTTCGCGTTATAACGCGAAACTTTCGCGAATAAACGCGTAACTTTCACGTAATAACGCGAAACGTTCGCGAATAAACGCGAAACTTTCGTGAATAAACGCGTAACTTTTCGCGTTATAACGCGAAACATTCGCGTTATTTCGCGAAATAATATGCATATGGTATTGTTACATAGGAACATTGATCTTGACTGACAGATTAGAACATGAACACAGACGGGAACTCTCAGGAACGTATTTATAAAATATCATTTCCTCAGAAGATGTACTGGAGAAATGATGCGAGAATAGTATTGATTAGTCATCAGAATATTTTTTTTATTTCAAAACCTTACCACTGAATTAATAAAATGAATTTTACTCTCTTGTACATGTGTTTTCAATTGTAAATTCTTTAGACTGATTATTTTTTAAAGAAAATCTCACTTTTTTCAAGCTGTTTTTTAATCAGTAACATTTACTACAGCTGTACCACTAGTAAATTAAGCAATCAATCATTTTGGACAAAAAATTATACACTGTAGAAACATAACTTAAAAGTGAATGAACAATGTATAATTTCATGAGCTTAACGGGTCACATGATGCTGTTTAAATAACAATTATAATTGGATATTGTTAATTACAAATTTATTGAGGAGGAGGGGTCTCTAAATTTTCTCCAATTTTTATATATTGGGCTATAGAGAAGTTCGTGGACTAGCCATAAATAAAAACTATGAAGGTATACAGCAGAGTTTTTGAATATCGTAAGCAATGGAATGACAACGTGGTGCAACCTCAAAATAGGATATCGTATTTCCACAGTGAATCCAACGGAGACAAATGAAAATCTGCTATCCAATTTTCACAAATGCGGTGGGACACAATTGACAAATTTACCTCATTTTGTCAAATTCTTTAGAGAGTGCACAAAAACACGCCGGAAAGGGGTGATTTTCCCCGAAAAGAATCTTGAAGTTTAACTTTTGGAAAACTCGCATAAACTTTGAATTGTTTGAACAGCGTTGAGAAAGACAAATTGTGACTGTAAAGATGGATTCAATAGCAAGAAAGCTGAAAATTTATCTTGTGATAGTCCAAGATCAAAATAGCCTTTTGCTTAACATTGTAATGAATAAACTTGATGACAAAATCAAAAGGAAGTTGTGACTAAAGCAAATGTCTGGTTAAACAGCAAAAATTTTGCGTTATAACGCGAAAGTTTCGCGTTATAACGCGAGAGTTACGCGTTTATTCGCGACATTTTCTCGTTAAATCGCGAAAGTAACGCGTTAATTCGCGAAAGTTTCGCGTTATAACGCGAATTTTTTTTTACATACGAAAATGAGCTCATTGGGCTTTCGTATACCTTTGAAAGTTAGCGGAGTTGACTGATTTTTTTATAATTCTACCGGAATGTAAATTAGACAGGTCGATAGGTCAGGGGCTAAGGAGGCCTAATATGCATGCAAATCTAGTGCGCATCTATCTCTGTGTCTGAAGCTAAGGAGGCCAAATGTGCATGTAAATCTCGATCGTGTGGCTGCCTTTGTTTTTGACGTCAGTGGACTATTGAAATTGGCATGGGAGTCCTCGTGTTATTTAAATTTATGTCTACATTTTTAAAATCTAAATCTACAATTTTATTTCTCAATGAAATGGAAATATAAGGAATCACTGTCTAGTTAGTATAGTATGCCAGGGACCTCAACAATAGTGGGAAATATGGGATAATACATGCATAACGGACTAAGCCCAAATTATCCCATGTTTCCCACTATCGTTGATTCCCTAGCATATATTATACTAACTAGAAAGTGATTCCTTTATTATCACAAACCCGATGTGACTGGGACAAAAAACTTCGAGATATCCGAGGATTCGGGATATTGAGGGTAAAATACTTAAAGAATATGTGATTGGTACTATAAAATCACTCATTGGCGTCGGAAGCAAATTGAAAGGGGGGAGGGGGGCTACGTGAAAGAGAAAAAAATCAAACCTACAAAAAAATTGACAAGTAAAAAAGGGGAGCTCCTACCTATTTCTTAGGAGGGGGAGGGTAGGATTGAACATTTTTTAGTATCAAAATTTGTCCAAACACTACCTCTTACCCTTTTTTGAACTTCAATTCAAACATACGCCCCAATGTTCAATGCCTACATTATGTCTCTCTTTGTAAAAAAAAAAAAAGTGGGTGCTAAGCCCACTCTAGCCCCCTCTTCTGACGCCCATGTCACATCGACATATCCATGATATTTGAGATATCGGAGTTCGAGATACCGAACTTCAACTGTACTATATATGTAGAGAGTATTTAATTAAGTCAAAATGTTCTTCAAAGGGAAAAGAGAAAAAAAAAAACAATACAAGAAACACTGATTCTTTGAGTCGAACTAGCTGCAGATCTGAAGCTCTCTGAAAAAAAATAATTTGATATATTGCATTTACAAGTACTTTTTTGTATGGATTATGCCAGATATATGCATGTATACATGTGTGTGTGTTTATTTGCATGTGTGTATGTGACTTTTTTCTCAGAACTTTCTATCTTATCATTGTAAAAAAAAAAATTATGCCCTCTGGTCCCAAAATTGGAAAAAAAAAATTATCTTATCTTATTTATCTGGTCATCCATCCAAATTTTTTCAACCATCGAGCTACATATCTGCAGCTAAGTCGAAGCCTGATTATATCCCTTTGACCCACTGGTGACCCACCGGTGATATATTAGATTCGAAAGCAATTATCAGATACTACGTTGGGAGATGTAAACACCATAATGTACGTGATAGCGGGATGTTAAAAGGAAAGTTGAAAAGTTGAGGTCAGCTTGTTTGTTGTTATATATTTATATAATATACTGGGACTCTCAACTCATTTTTATTTGTCCGGATTATTTTAATTTGAAAACCTCTCGATCTGAAATTTCAATATTATCCTTTGAACAACTAAGCTATATATTTTGCTCAATTTTGAAAAGTGACATTTTGTCATTTTAAATAATGCTTTAGGATTGTATTAGTCTTTGGTCATAACGCTATAGATCCCGTAATGCAAAAAAATTGCAATTAACGGCTCAACATGCTCAAAGGATCACTTCATTATAAATAGGGATCTGACCTATAGGACCGGGCTTGGTTTTATTCTCTACAAAAAGCTTGTCGATTTCCGTTCTGATTAATGACATTAGGCTTAATACATATAACAATTTGTGTTTCCTAAATCTTTATTTCAGTGAGTAGAGATAAAAGGAACCCTTTTTATTGATTTTCTGAGTTTGTTACCTCTAAATGCAATAAATGATATTTGTCTTTACTTCTCATTGTGCATAAAGGTACTGTCTACTGTCTCTGAAATTCTATTCTAATGTCTAGGCTATTTATCCGTAGATAACTAGATATAATAAAAACTTGTCTTTAATGTGTGCAAATTATGAAGGCCTAAATGAAATCCAAGAGTGCATTTACTGAAATATGTAGCTAAAATCAATGTGATTAAATTCTAAGGAATATATACAATTGAAATTCATCGCAGCTCAATGCTGCCAAGAATACCCGTATTGAGTAACACACAGTGAGTTATTCTTGTCCTCGGAGAAAGTGTGCTTATACTGAGGTTCGTTCCACCTGACCGACGACTGTACATTGGATTGTTACGATTTGATATCTCTTTAGTCTTTCTTATATCAAGAATGGGCATGCATAAGGGATAGATAATTGAAGGAAAAATACACAAGTCTATAAAAAAAAAATTAAAATAGCCTTTGAAAAGGCGAAATTTAACGCTGTATAAGTGTTTTACCAGGTGGATTCGAACCCCCGACTTTAAAAAGAGAGTATCCAAGATGTAAAAGTCAGCACATATATCAACTGAGCTAGTCTGACTATAAGAACGAATGGCATAAATTTAGAGAAGATTTTGAAAATCTGGTTTCCTTATTTTTTGTAGGTTTTTTGTGAATTTCGACCCCAGGGCATGTGTGCCCCTAAAAAAATCTTATCTTAAATTATTCCTTACATCCTAACCTATCAAAATATCACAATCTTATTTAGGGGCAGGCCTGCCCTGATGGACTTCAAGGCCAAAATTCATGCAAAAATCAACGCTTTGAAGGACAAAATGGTGTTTCGATCAACTTTAGAGGTTTATTATAAAGTTGTAAATAACAAATTTTAGGTGTAAAATACAAATTTAAAAAATTTAGACATATATACGGTAGAAAACAACAAATAAAGACTGATTTTCAAATGTCACTTTTTCCGGGAAATTGTTCTCTCCTATAGGTAAATTCTTTTGTTAAAGCGAATACATCCTTTTTTGGTGCACTGTTGCACACAGATACTTGTGGACAGACCCACCCACCCTCCCGATAAAATATCAACCCCGTGGCTTGTTGGCTATTTCTTCACAAATTAATTATATTTACTACACTTATTCATTTAGTATACAACAGGAAACTTTTGCTCAGGCAGGGGGTCTTGAGGCCGCCTTAAGGCCCCCAGTGGAAAAATAGGGAAAACTAGAAATAATAGTTCTGTACAAAAATACCCTACTACACATTATAAGAGACATTGATTTGACCTCTTTATAGCATTTATGCATAGCATTATTGTGAAGCGTGCTTGAGTTTGCATTGCATGTTTGATTTATTTTTTTTTCATTGACATTGAATTAATGCAATTGACATCTTATTTTGAAATCATTCAATTCTTTGAAGTGTTGTATACACAACATCACTTTTTTGCGCATAATTATTGGTGTGAAAGATTTTGAATTTTTAAAATTTCTGGCAAAGAAACAGGTAATGAAGTTCAAGAAAAAGTTGAAGAAAATATTGCAGAGATAACAGATGAATTATCAACAGAAGAAAAAGAGAAAATTATAAATTACCTCCAAGATCACGAGTACAATGTCCTGTGGTCCCAAAGGCTATTAGAAAATCATAATTCACTGAGAGGTCAAGATATCCAGATACCCATGAGATTACGTCTAGATGCAACACTTAGCCAAGTCTTAGAAAAAATGGAAAGCATCCAAAAAACTGTGGGAAAAGGCGAATCATTAATAACCCAGTTCTACAGTGCTACTCAGAAACCTGAAGAAAAAACACAGCACAGGGATGCCGTCTTGAAGAGCTTTAAAATAGAGCAGTTGACAGGGGTAAAGTTCATCTCCAAGATGTTGATGAAATGTTGAAGACCAAGTTCTGGTCCGGATTACGTCAAAATTTCAAAGACATATCGGTATATCTACGTGATAAATGTGATACATTTGATGAATTTGGAAAAAAAATTATAAGAACATCATAGCAAAATCATCAGACAACATCTTCAAGTCAAATCTCAGAATTTAAAGCAGCGATTCAGAAATTATTTACTATGGTTGATGCACTAGAGAATAAGAAATTTCCACAAGGTCAGACCTATCAGTTTTAACAAAGGAGGATTGACCAACAATCATCCACTTGGTAGAGGAAGATCAAAAGCAAGATCAACTCATCCAAACAAGATGAGAGGAATAGGCAGACGACCAAGACTATCAATAGATATTGCTTTCAACATTCCAACATCTTCACAAATTCCATTACCCAAATATGTAGAAACAAATTAAAAGAAGATTATCAACTAACCATGGGCATGGCAGCGAACCAAAAAGCCCAGGAAAGACAGAAGCGTAACTACGATTTAAAAGTGAGACCTGAAATTCTAGAAAAAAAAGACGGTTTTTGATAAAGATTACAAGTTTTGATGGAAAGCATAAAATAGCTGACAAGCAGTGCGAATCAACACCATACATTATAATAGATCAACAAAATTTGGTGCCCAACGTAGGGCAATGATGCTGATGGCACCACCTATCGGAGCCACCTTCAGTCCCCTATAGATGATACAGTCAGTGGCGGATCAAAGCCTTCAATCAACATTTCCACAGCAGTTGTCTTTTTGCTACAGACTGCCAACTCACAAAGTAACATACTGCGTACCTGTGTCACACCTGACTGACATTTGTTCAGAAGAAAACTGCACCAGCGTAAAACCTGTATTACAATTTTTCCGAACTACAAAGTTTAAAATAAAGTTTTTAATAAACTAGTTTATCAGCTTTACATTCTCTCATTTTTCATTCTTACAATTATTAATATGAAAAATGAAAGTACATGTGTATTTATTAAATAAGAGTGTCAAAAGGTCAACTTACTGTCAGTGGTCTATGCAGTTCTCCTAATAAAAAACGCAAAGCGTTATACACTGTCTGGTCCTGGGTTGACACTCCGGTCAAAGGAGGTTAGAGGTTTTGGCGGGAAAATATTGACCAATGGCTATTTTCACTTATTATTTATTAAGAGTTGAAAATTAAGTTTTAGTTAATTTTAAAACTCTTTAGAGATCTCTATAGACTTTAATCAATAGAGAAATTGTTATAAATTTATTGATATGTTTCAATATTTCGTTAAGATATATTTATTTTTAATAAAGTTTATTACTGAAAATTATTTCAATACATGTATATATGCAATGTATAGTAGTGTAATTTGTATGGAACGATTATTTTCCAGTTTATCCTGATTTTTCCTGTAGTATACATAATAGATAAGTGTAATAAATATAATTTATAAAGAAATATTCAACAAGCCCCGGGTTGATATCTTATCGTGGGGGTGGGGTGGGGGTGGGGGGCTACATAAATGTTGCCTATATTGTTGCCTAATTAGCTGACTATTATGCCACCAGAGTTATTTTCGCCCTTTCATATTTGGAAACAAGTTTGTCCCGTTTTAAATTCGCCCAGGAAGATTTTTGTTTAAGATATAATACTGTTTACTTTGGATTCGCCCCTTTTTAAATTCGCCCACTTCCGACAAGTACGAAAGGGGCGAAAATTTCCCTATATACAGTAGCTATAGTCTTCCGTTGGGTGGGGGTGTGGGTCTCAATATATGATGCCTTCACCTGATATCATTTACTCATTCTAAAAACATTTTTCACTGTCCTGTGCGGTTCTAGCTGAGGCTGTGGGGAAGAGGACGGGTGTGTCTGCCCGGTCTGTCTGTATTTCTGTCTGTCTGTGCCACTTTCGTTTACACGCGATATCCCGAGAATTTAAGTCTTGAGCTTTTGTATTTTTGTTTTGTGTAAAATTTTGACAATGTAGAATGTGATTTCATGTTTTTTTTCTCGATTAACTAAATAATAGAATTTCGCACAAGAAATGAAGTTATGACGTATGACGTGTACAAACTTGCTAGATCTCATAAAATCTTTATACATTGTGTTAAAAATCTTTATATAAACATAATCTTCTGTACACATTTTAAAGAAAAAACTATCAAATCTATAAATCCATATTAGCATTTTTTTTTATTTACCCCTGTACTTCAGAACATACATTTAATAATTTTGCAAATGCGGTGGGGGGGCGGGTGCGCCCCCCCCCCCTCCACCCACTTGAGCATACTCACTTTTCCTTAATTAAGCGGGAGCATAAATTCTTTGAATCATCTAACGTAAGGGTATATTGCCCTTTTGGTTCGCTTTCCCACGAACTATACGTCTTTAAAAACACACGACGCTTTAAAAACACACGACGAGGGCTATGCAAGTACTTCTTTCTATGAAGTTATGAATATATTTATATACTGATAGGCCGATGGAAATTAATATCCACCACCGCTATGCACTTTACAAATCTGCAACAAAAATAATTTAATCGGGGAAGAATGATTGGTAAATCTGGAAATATCCCTTGCATGTAAACAACTTCATATAACTCTTTACAGCTCACGGGTATATTGTTGATAAATCTCTTGCTGTAAAGAAATGTCTGGAAAAGTGTTTTCTATTGTGGGGGAATATAAGTAGGGGATGCATTATAAGTTGAATTATGTACAAAGTACGGGTAGGTTGGAAGAAGCCCGGGATCAGCTTAATGTTTTCAGGAAAAAATAGTCTGATGCTTTGACAAAAGTATGTACATAGGAATACATGGTTTTGTGTATAGGAAGAAAAGTTGGTACATAATACTCGTAAGTAGTAAAATACATCTGGATTCAGTGTAAAATTTATACATTAAAAACATCAGTTATTACATGGCTGTCAAATCATTGGACAAGGGGGATTCAAACATTTGTTAGAAACAAAATAGATGCTTGGATTGATATATCGCGTTTGGGAATGATGTAGGTATCAAAATCTTAACATACTACTGATAAATAATTGTAGATTTTCTATATGGTCCAAATTTAAACTTTCGGCGATTCCCCATATTTTCTTAAAAAAACACTTTAGGACTGCGCCGAGACCCATTGAATAGGGAAAAAACGTTATGTGGTTTTAGTAATACACGTATGTATTTCTTCTTTTTATACATATGTTTAGGGTATTTTTATTGAAAAAAGTTGACATGGTTTCGAATATGTCAGGTTCCGAATTCAAAAGATTCATTGGTTGTCAGGAGAGTGTGAGTAAAAGTCAGAGAGTATACATTAGAATTAGAAATTGTGTCTATTAGATACCTGTAAATGTGGAATTTCGAAGCAGAAGATACTGTTAATAGCGTATTATAATTAAAGCTTTTAAAAATCATTGATATCAAAGATTATATCTTAATTCATCTTCTAAATATGAATAAAACTGAAGTCTAAATCCAGTGAATTTTCAGTTATTTTCAGCCATGACATTCTGACATATCCGCAACCTTTGAGTAAAATGCACACTTGCACGTAACAAGTAATTTTATGTACATGTATTTGGTCATCAAACGCAAAGTACAAACATATAAACAATTTACTTTTGCCAAGTTTCGAAATTCGACATCAAAATTCCATTCAGATAATGTGACATTTGCAATACAGGCGCACCATCTGCCGTCATTATCTGGCAATTTTGAGCCGAAATGTGAAGGGCTGCAATAAATGATTTTTCTTTTAATCCTCATAAATTTAACCCCATATATGGACTGATTATTGTTATGAATAGTCGTGTAATTTGTAGATGATCTTTAATTCTACCTAATTACATGTGTGGGCATTATGATACTCATTTAAAAACTACGTTGTGAAAATCAATCGTTCCCATACTGTGTATGATTTTGGAGAAAGCTAAGGTACAAAACTGACTTCGGACCATGCAGCTTACAAGAGTAGATCGAGTAGGTACATTATTTACAAATTTTTAAAACTTACAGTCGTTGGAACTGTAATTTATTTTGTTGAAAAAGGACACACTATCGTGTTCAGTATTCTCAACTATTTACACTGTAGTGTATGTGTGATCATTTTGATCAAACAAGTTATGTCCTTTACGAATTTCTTATATGCAAAATTTTTAAACATATAATAATTATATTATAATAATAAAAATATTCATATACAAATTTTGCATAATAAGTAATATCAAATTTCTTATAAAGAATAGTATTTTCCTGAAATAAAGCAATGGTTTTGATTTTTTTTTAAAAATGCAGATAATAATTTACGCACGTGATGCGAAGGTTATCCCGTCTGATTTGATGAAGAAGAATGGGTTACATTGTTTTTTCTTTGTAAGAGAAGACTGAATTATCGGAAGTTAACAATTCTACGTACTCTTTATATAGGAGCAGCACGAAATAAACGCCTTGTCAGTCTGAGCCTCCCTGGACTCAATCACTTACAGTCATTCTGGTCAAGATGTTTAAGGTAGCAGTGGCCACCGCCATTGTTGTTGGTTTTATTGGATGTTGTTTAGGAATCACTGGAGCCAATCAAACAATAACTCGGGCTTATAAAGAAAGGATCTTTTATTTATCGACTATTTTCCAAAAGTATTCCAGAAACGATGAAACAATTACTTTGGCTAATGTCAGTAAACTGATGGTCAACCTGGGACTCCCAGCAATTTCAGATAAAGCGCCCTTTGTCGCCGTGGCTGGTGCTAAAGAGAATGATACTCACTGCCATGACGAAGAGACCGGATGTTCATTCCTACGTACCAACAGAGACACCGCCAAAAATAGTCCGACCAAGCGGTCCTTGCCTGCAGACAATACTCATTATAGTCACAGTAAGGTAATTGCATTGATTGAATTTTGAGTCTATTTCTGAGATGTTTCATAATGAATTTAAAAGGCTCTTAAGGCCACTTGTTACAAAATAAACTTTTTGTGCGCCCGAATTTATTCGGGGCGCATATTGTTTTTGTCCTGTCTGTCTGTTTGTCTGTCTGTTTGTCTATTTATCTGTTTATCTGTTTGTCTGTATGTTGTCAACTTTAACCTTCGCCATAACTTTTGAACCGTGAGAGATAAAGACTTCATATTTGGTACGCATACTCCCCTAATTAAGCACTTTTAACTGACATCAAGGTCAATGACTTTGTGACCTTGACTGTGACCTTTGTGCTAAAAATAACCTTTTCAAACTTTCTCCATAACTTTTGAACCGTGAGAGATAGAGACTTCATATTTGGTATGCCTACTCCGCTAATTAAGTACTTCCAACTGACACCAAGGTCAATGACCTTGTGACCTTTACTGTGACATGTATGGTAAAATTAGCTTTTTTCGAATTTTCGCCATAACTTTTGAACCGTGAGAGATAGAGACTTCATATTTGGTATGCATACTCCACTAATTAAGCACTTTCAACAGACAATGATCGTGTGACCTTGACTGAGACCCATATGCTAAAAACAGCTTTTTAGAACTTTGTTGTCGCCAGGCGCATAGTGTTTCACAAACACATCTTGTTTCAATCTTCTTTATGTCACAAAATTTGATATTTGTATAAAATAAAAAATATAAGTGATAAGTACATTTTTCCTATCATATCAGTGTTAGTTACCCTAAAAAATGAAACAAATTATATTTTTTAAATAATATTTAAAATATTAGAAGGACAGAGTGCGGATAAGAATCAAAGAAAACATGTTTCTTAAAATGTTTGCATTTTGTTAACCACAGAGTATTCTTTCTTCGCTTAGTGTTTGAACACTATGGAGTTGATGATGGTCTACCACTTTCAAGATAAAATGGCGATAAGCAAAGACGAATTCATGGATTTATGTCCAAGTCTGATTGTTCTTTTGGACAAAGATGAATGCAAGAAAAACATGACACCTTCCATGAGTCATAAGGAATTACATGACGAAGAGAAACGAACCTTGGCCTCCATTCCAGCTAGTGGTAAGGCAGCTTTATTTAGGAAATCAAACATGTAACAAGAACGATATTCACATATATTTCTAATTTTTTTTTCTTTGTAATAACTCTTTGGAAGTTAGTGGAGTTGATATTTTGATAATTCTACCGGAATGTAAATTAGGAAGGTCGATAGATCAGGAGCTAAGGAGGAGGCCAAATATGCATGCAAATCTCGTGCGCATCTGTCTCTGTGTCTGACGCTAAATCTCATGCGGCTGCCTTTGTGTTTGACGTCAGTGGACGAGGAGTCCTGTGTAATTTAAATCTATGTCTACGTTTTTTAAAATCTAAATCTACAATTTTATTTCACAATGAAATGAAAATATAAGGAATCACTGTCTAGTTAGTATAGTATGCCAGGGACATCAACGATAGTGGGAAACGTGGGATAATTTATGCAAAACAGCTTCGCCCGCTATGCAAATTACCCCATGTTCCCACTATCGTTGATGCCCTGGTATACTATATTAATTAGAAAGTGATTCCTTAATTCACCCATCGCAACAGTTACACCTATATAGATAGGTATTTATCGTAGCTATCGCGAATAACTTTTTGCAGTACAGAGTAATTTAATGTTTAGCTCTGGAACAACCTACAGAAGACTCACTTTGAAATTAGTTTTACTTTACCTTTTTAAGGAGCCATGGATTTTTCAAAATGTTTTCACAGAACACGTGTTTCATAACAACTATGCCAGGCATCATTATTTTTTTAGTTTGGGGATACAGCTCCTTGGCAATTTTGATCATCAGTTTGGTCGGCCTTCTTGGAGTGGCAGTTATTCCCATCATGCAACGCGTGTTTTACAACCACCTGTTGCAGTTCCTCGTGGCGCTGGCAGTTGGCGCCCTCTCTGGTGACGCAATGCTCCATCTTATTCCTCATGTGAGTTTTCCAACCATTATTTTTACACATGTTTGCGAATTTAAGAAGTCATACATCTTTTGAAAGAAGAGAGTCCCAATTTTTTTTTTTAGTGTTTTTACAATATTTAGTTAACTGTTTATATAGTTATACAATCATGTATATGAACTTTATGAAGAAATTCGTGTGTGAAAACAAAATGGACCCCATTTTACAAAATAGGATTCTCGGGTGCGGAAATTTAATTTCCTTTCTTTGTCAAAAACTTTCAGGTAAGGTCATCTTTAAAAATTGTTTGTTTGGAATTGCCGCCTGAAGGGTTTCAGACACAGGAGGGAGGGAAATAATTTTTTGTTTTTAACTTGAAGAAAAATTTTTAAATTTTTGATAAAAATCTCAGAAAACAGTAAATACATTTTCTGACTTTAAAAAAAGTATCTATCATCTACAAAAAAAACCTAATTTTACTTAGATCTGACACTATATTTCAGTGTTATGTATGGTACATGTGATACATGTAATGGGCAAAAAAAAATGATTAAATAAAAAAAAAGTCGTCCTACTTTGGTCAATAAAATTTTTTCAGGAGGGGGCATTTCAATGAGGCGGGAGGCAATTCCAAACAAACTATAATTTTATTTTGGCCTAATCCATATTTTTTCCCAGTTATTCTAATCGCCCTCCCACTTTAAAAACGATACTAGATCTGTGTATCCTATTAAGTTGTTAAAATAAACTGAAGTATAATATTTTCGGGTTCGGTATAAGTCAAAACGTAGAGACAAAACGTAAAGACTTGTACTATTTTTTTTACTTTATGCAATATCACATTTTGATTCATAACAAGCACTCGTGAAATTCTGAAAAGAAGCCAACAAAAAAAAATGAAAGAAAGAAAAGGAGAAAAAAAAAACAAAGATACTTCAAAAAGAAGGAAATTCTATCAAGAATGGTGCGTATTGTACATATAAAATACTGTAGTCATTGTTGAAGCATCTGAGTTGGCTCAGATCTCGGCGATAATAGACAGAATAATGGTACTGTGAAGATACATTAAAACAACCAAAAGGATGTAGAATAAACATGTTAAAAACGATACGCCCTGGATTCACAGTGTGAATACTGAATATTTACCTCATTCAATGATCTTAGATGTCGGACAAGTTTCTTGTTCTATATCCAATACCTGGTACTAGAATTTTTATATTTTATCTATTGAGAGAGAGAGAGAGATAGAGGGTGGCTGGGGATGAGGAGGTATAAACTGTTGCCAACCCTGATGGAGACTATGAATGTCACCAGTAAGACTATGGAATAGTTGGAGATTTATAACTCAAAAACCATACAGTTTCTTTTATTTAATAACTATACAGTATACTAGTGTGTGTTCTAGTCAAGACCGTAGCAAGTTTTCAAGTGGGGGATTTACAAACCAAATAAACAAATCGTATTTCCTGGATGGTTGTTTCCCCGAATTTTTAGTACTTTTTTTCAAATACTGAAATCTTTCACTGTATCGTCGTACAGCAACTGCAAAAATTGGGGGGGGGGGGGTCCAAATGAAACTACATAAAACAATTACCAAAAAAGTGTCCCCATCCACAAGTGCTAGTAAATGGATGTAGATTTTTTAAAATGCAAGATGACTGATCTTGTCTTTATTTGTATTTTAATTGTGATTGTTTTACATTGTCGTATTGAGCGTCGGAGATTGACCTTGTTTTGGACCAATGAACGTAGAAGAACTATTTCTTGTGCTACTATTAAGTGACTAGTGTTTTCCGATTTCTTTTTAGTATAATATTTTATACAGGAGGTTTATAATGATCATAATCAATCTTTGTTATAGTTAATGAGGTCAAGATTGTTTACCATCTCGTACATTTGTAATTAACTTGCTAACATATGAATTCCAATTTGTATCAAATATTTTATGAATGCCTGAGAAAACGCAATCTATACTAATAAATGATGACACAACACTCATTAGAGGAACAGAAAGGGTCATTTATTTAGTTAAATAATTTATGACACAATAACCAAAGCATACTAAACAGAATTCATTCTCAACACTTATAAACAATATTATACATTTATTGACTGAGTTCGAGGGCAAGATACGTTTTGTCGGACCCAAGAACCAAACTGTCTGCCGTCAGGCCTCAGGCAGACAGTTTGGTTCGAGGGTCGACAAAACGCATTTTGCCCGAGAACATAGTCTATAAATGTTTTGTTATACCTTCATTTTAATTTTTGTATTACGTGTATTTTGTACTGTCTTCCGTAATGTAACCTCAGGTCCGTCACTGTTGAACACCAACGAATGAAAATAAGATTAAGCTCCGCCTATTCTTTGACATAAGCGTCCAACATCTCACCGACCGGTCCAACATCTCACTCAGTGGTCAAACATCGATTTTTTTGTGCCCGCTCAGCAAAACATCAGAAATGTTAGACTTTTTCCGTATAGATTGGCATAGGAACACGTTTTCAATTAAAGGTATAACAAACGTCTTTATTTTTCAAAAATATATGTAGGAATGGTATTTTTGACAACTCAATTCTTACATAAAATACAAAAAATGCACCTACAAGGCTTCAAAAATTTCATATACAAATCAAATTTTTGTGATTTGAGAAGTTAAAATACTTAAATTTAAAGACAACTAGCTTAATTTCAAATATTTTCAATACGATGTTGTATTCACCAAAATAAAGTTATGTGCTTAATATATAAGCCATATGAGTTAATTGACACTGACAGACGGACGAGGAGGATACACAACTATCAAAAGAACAATGAAACCATTTTCTATTGGCATGTATAGTTTTACTGGTATCGGAGGTGGACCATTTGTGGACTTTAAGTTAGATAATTAAGATGTACTGCACTAAGTTGTTTTCCTCTTTAATGTTCATCTTCTTTAAATAAATTGAACAAAATGTAGACTACATCTGCTTGTTTTACGATTAATTTAATAATGACCTTTTCAGGCACTGGCTGTTGAGGACGAACACGCTCATGGACATTCCACTACAGGCGCAGGACTAACAGACGAACAGAAAAACGTCTTTAAAGGGCTGACGGCACTCGTCGGAATTTTCATCTTCTTCTTCATCGAAAGAGTGATGACTATTGTCACAAACATTAAGAGGAAGCGGAAAGAGGTGAGATTAATTATCATATCTTTAGTGACAAATCAGACTTGATTTGCCAAAATAATGCATAAATATTGCAGGCGTATAAGCATAAACATGTATTCAAAATAATGTGTTTTAGAAAATCCACTACGAGCACCAGTTGGAATTAGCAGCCCGACTCGGGGATGACGAGATAGAACAGATTAAAAAAGCTCACGAGCTCGCTCATCTCTACCAGCACGAACACGACTGCGAATCGCTGAACTGGGGATTGAATCCGGGAACCAGAGGTCAGAGGTCAATTTACTCGTAATGCTAATACAACAGTTTCCCATAAATGATAATCCAAAAAGCCAATTCTGAAGCTTTTTTCTGTCAATAATTTTAGCACTGGAACATTTTGCCGAGGAGGCCAACAGAGAAAAACAGGAAGATGAGGTCTTGATGAAGAAAATTAACGAGCAGAAAAAGATGGAACGCAAAAACTCCAAGGCGAACCTGAACCGGCAGCTGAGTCGTTCCCATAGCCATTCCCACTCCCATGACGAAGGCATTCCTAAAGATGTAGCAGCGGTGGCCTGGATGGTCATTTTTGGGGACGGGATTCATAATTTTTGTGACGGACTGGCGATCGGATCAGCCTTCGCTGCTTCTATGACAGGTGGCATCAGTACCACTATTGCTGTGTTCTGCCATGAGCTGCCTCACGAAATAGGTAAATATCTCTAAATAATTAGCGCTCCTCAAAACCAATCCAATTTGGCTTTGAGATTTGGTAGCAATGCGAGTTTCATGCATTCATCAAATCGAGCTAAATCACAAAGTAAGGAAGACATAAAGATGTTATCAACACTTAATAAGACAATCAGAAGTAAAATTTAACAGCAGATCTCTTTATTTTTAGGTGACTTTGCTGTACTTTTGAAGGCGGGAATGAAGCCAAAGCAGGCGATCGTTTATAACGTGGTGTCGTCTGTGTTAGCGTTTTGTGGGATGTTGATTGGCGTCATGCTTGGTAACATTGAGGCAGCAAGTCTCTGGATCTTCACTGTGGTGGGCGGAATGTTCCTCTATATTGCTTTGGTTGATATGGTAATCATGTTAAGCTTTTTTTATATATTGTCTCATCTTCGTCCTACCAGTATATGATACGGTGGGTGAATGGGTCATCAGCTATGTTCTCCAAACTATAGCTAAAAAAATAAAGCAAAAGGATACAAGTGAGTAAACGTGCATTCTGGGTAGTAATGAATAGATTGTGCTTATTAGATCCATCATTTGCTCACAACTGCAATTTTCTTCACAGTTGCCAGAAATGATGACAGTCGATGCTAAAGAAGGAGAGAACCCTTTCTTCCACCTCTTATTCCAGGCATGTGGCATGTTTCTGGGAATCGGAATCATGCTACTCATAGCTCTGTACGAGGAAAACATGAAAACAATGATGGAGCCATAACACCGTGCTCTCCTCGAAACTGCCAGAAATCCATGAACAATTCTCTTGCATTATTGCAATTTTTTCGAATCTTATATCATACTAGTATTGTATATATTTAATGTTGACTACATTTAATGTGGTTTTTATTAATGTTGATTTTATCTTGCTACTGTTTAAACTGTGTTTTCTGTTAGGATTTGTTTGCTAGACTCGAACTTTGTTTTCCAGAGACCTTTTCAACAGAGCGAACTTTCGCGAGCGCTCGCCAATATTCCATATACTCAGTACCTCCAACCGAAATAATCGCGAGCTCTCTCTCTCTCTCTCTCTCTCTCTGTTGAAAAGGCCTCCATTTCGATCTTCTATAGACTATTGTAATTGTGATATCTTAGGTCTTTCCGACATGCAGTAGCTGCAGAACTGTAGCTCTCCGAAAAAGATATATTGACAGACGTCTCCGGTCTGTCAATAATTGTATATTCTTTTCGGGGAGCTACAGTTCTGCAGCTACAAGCAGAAGACTCAAAAAGATTCGCTTGGATTTGAGTGTTCTTGCGTTCTTGGCTCACCTGAGCCAATTGCTAAAGTAAGCTTTTCTGACCCAAAATCGTCGTTGTAAACTTTCCATATTTCCATCTCCTTCTCCAGTACCACTGGGACAATTTCAACCAAATTCTTGGATGAAGGGGATTTAAATTTGTTCAAATAAAATGAACGGCCGCTCCTCTTTCCTAGCAGAGATGATAAGGAATTTGAAAATTCGATGTTATCTTTTAAAAATCTTATTCATAAGAATCACCTGTCTAGGACAAAAAAGTTTAATCTTATGAGAAACTCTATACGAATTTCAAAATAATTATGGAGGGTTCGATTCCAAAGGATTTAAAAAATAACTCATAATGATTGAAATTCCAGAAAAGAGGACAGCTTCTTGTTTCTGGTAAAAAAAAAAAGTCATCTCCGTTAGAATCTCTTGAAGAAATATCGTTGAATAATTGGAACTAAAACATGACTTGATTCTTTTTTTCTTATTACATGTATATAGTGATATCATTCGAAAGCCCTCGTAAGAATTAATATCAACCGTATACAGTAAAACTTGGTTATAACGAAGTCACTGGGACCTATGAAATTACTTTGCTATATCCGTAATTCGTTATAACCGTATAAGAAATTCATTAAATTTATATAGCTGGGGATCCAAGATGACTTCGCTATATCCGTAAATTCGCAATATCAGTGTTCGTACTAACCGAGTTTTGCTGTATACCTTTTATGCCCCGCCATAAATATGGCTGGGCGTATACATGTATATTGTTTGCCATGTATGTCTTCCGACACATAACGATGTAGCTCATATGCTTAGAACTGTCAATTTGAATGTGAAGTGAAAAAAAAATTGTTGACATTTACTTCCTTTTTATATTCCATGCATTTCCATTAAGGATGCTAACCCATCAGTAAGGACGGATAACACTGTAAATTATCATGTTTATCCGAATATTTAATTACTACTGGGTAGTGCAATATTTTTTTTGCAACAAATGTTGTTATATAATTTGAATATGAGTTGTAACATTTTTAAACCCTCGTGAAAAAAATGAAAAAGGTAATATTGAAAGAAAAAAACAATTGGTATTTTTGACAGAAATGCATTCCTTTAAAACCTGCTTTTGTAGTCATATGTTAAAAAAAATGAATATTAATACTTCGTAAATTAATGGAAGAGTGCAATGCAAAGTACAAGTATTAATTGGCAAAGGGATTTAGAAGCCTGTTTTGATTTGTAATCAAATATCTGTGAAACTCTGCCCAATTTGTGTTTCCTAATACATGTATATTAATTAATGTTGTACAGTGCTAAGTTTTGCAATTATGTAAAACTGTCAAAGTCGAAATAATATATTGTAAAAGGTATCAATAATAAAAAAACTCTATATGCATTTAATAAAAAGAAAAGGACAAAATAACCTGTTGTCGAATGTATATAGTTTCTCCAAAACACAAGTTCTGACTGGGACATAAGCGTTACTTTCTTTTTGTCTCGTTCTGTATCCAACTCGTCATGTTTTCCAACAAAGCTTTCTCTATATACTGCTTTTAATTAATCTGGTGATCACTAGTTATAGGGCAGTCGGTCAGATAAGTTTTCCGTGAATCAAAGTACAAAACAATTTAAAGGCAATTTTTTGTTCCGTAATTGGAAAACTGAAGAAAAAATAAAACCTCTTAACCAAGCTCATTTTAACGCCTTGTGAATATAGTTGTATTCAGAAAAGGGACTCCAATAAATGTTATATATATTATGAATAAATAAAATAACAAGCCTAAAGAGAGGTTTCTACCTACACTCAAAATACTGGTTTTGACCATACACCATATCTCCCCTTTCCCAACTGAAATTGCTTCCTACGAGCCAGAGACCCGTTATACAAAAGAAATATCGACTAAAATCTCAAATTTAACTTGACTGCAAATTCTTGAAAATTCGAAGATTCTATTGTTTGCATGAAAATACCGTTTAAAAAATAATTTAAAAAGTTATTTGCAAAATTATATTTCTTTTAAAGTCGCAAATTCGTTTGTAAAACTGGATCCTAGTGTATTTTAAAAATTCGTAAATTGCAAAAACCTCAAAGAGTCAAGGCATATAAAAAAGATATCATTTTCATGGAATTTTCTCTGTGAATCTATGTTTAAAGGGGCCGGCGAACACCACCCTAGAATCCCCCTCCCCTTTCAAAAATTGAGAGTAATGGGAAAAAAGTAGTGGATTACTTTCAAATGAAACATGGAGATAACGAACAGCATTCAAAATCAAAAGTCCATAAAACAATACAAAATAGGGGCAGAGCAAACACGGACCTCCAAAACATCGGAGGTGGGATTAGGTGCCATGGAGGAGTAAGCATCCCCTGCCGACCGGTCACACCCGCCGTGTGCTTTTTGTCATGATCCATGAAATCGGGAATTAACGGAAAAATCCGTCGTCAATTCAGTGTATAAATAATGGACTAACATTTAGTATGAAAAACGTCAGTCAGCTATGGAACGCCAACACTGCCTTATAGCATACAACTATGCATTTATTATGTCAATTTATCATTACGTGATGTGAACATATCTTTACGTTATGTCAATTCTTTATGAGATGATGTAAACATATCTTTACATCATGTCAATGCTGCATTACATGAAGTAAATACATCCTTTCATTATGTCAGCACTTCATAACTTGAAGTCGAAAATTCATTATGTGAAGCGATAATGTGTTTACATTGTGTTAATACTTTATTACGTGAAATGAATGTTTCTTTACATCATTTCATTTCTTTAATATGAGAGGTCAAAATTGCATTACGTCAAGTGAATTGTGTTTTATAATTAAACTTATCAGTTCAGTTTTATTGAAGTCGAGAGACATACATCTCATAGACATGAAGTCAAAAATCCATTCCTTTTCGAGAGTGTATATTTTTATTATATCAAAGCATTATTACATGATATGGGTTTATCTTTATTTTACGGCGAGAGCATCATGATGTGAAGTGAACACATCTTACCTTTATGTCAGTGCTTTATTACGTGGTGTAAAAAGTGTATGACATTATGTGAACATATCTTTATATTATCAACACTTTATCACATTATGTCAAAACTCAATTCCGTGATGTGGATATATAATTACGTTACTGAGTATGTCAACTCTTTCTTATGTGATCTTAAAATATCTTTATATTGTGTTAACTCTTTATCATGTTGATTCCAAAAGTGCATTACCTGATGTAAAAATACATTTACATTATCTCAAAGCTGTATATCTGGTATAAAATGAATGTTGACGACCGTGTTTTTATGCCTGGTAAGAGGGGGGGGGCTCCTGATTGATACGGAAGAATTAGAGGCACAAAATATCAACCCCCCTCTTTTCCCAAACATAACTTTACAATAGAAAATGTAATGTTCATTGAAAGTACAGCCCCCACCCCCACTTTTTGTGGAAGTATAGTCCACAGAGGGTAATGTAGTATATCTGACAAAAAAATTAGGACTGATCGAAGTTGGACCCCCCTCCCCGAAATAGGATTTTCGGGCTTGGAGTAGACAAATCTTTTTTTGGCTTCTCAAGTTTTTTTTTCGGGCGAATATTTTTTTTCTGGCTAACCCCCCCCCCCCCCCTCCTTTCGAAAAAGATGATATGTCACGCACTGGAATTAGTAATTTTTTCAACTATTCCAGGGCCAGAATTCTATTACAAAAAATCTACCAATTCCTCATCTAAATCAATTGAATATGCCTTAGTAAGCATGCATGAACAGTTGAACACATATCAGTAGCGGATATGAGAATCTTGAACCAAAAAAAATTGTCCAAGCCTGAAGGGGGACGGTTTATGGTTGGAGACCAAGGGGGAAAGCAGAGAAGCTCTCAGGCTTTATAGTTTTATAAAAAAAAAGTTTTCAACTTAATTCAGCTAAACTTAATGTGAAACTAATGCAATGTCCTACAAAGTAAAACCAATAAATGTATTAATTTTTTGTACATGTAGATTTTGGTCACTAAAGATGGTAGGGCGGGATTTCCCCCTCCCCCCAACCCACCAGTGCGCGTGTGTTATACGATGTGTTTACACTTTAAAAAAAAAAGGAAAGTTCAAGACTGATAAAAAAAAAAATTATGACAATGTACTTAGTAAGATCAGAAGTTTAAGACTTTTATCCAAAAAAAAAAAAAAAAAACAAATAAACAAACAACAATTCAAAATAAAAAGAAAAAAAATTGCTGCACGACTCATAATATTTGATTTATTTAATTATCAGATTAAAGTAAACGCCATTGAATTTCGACGTGACTTTCATTCACAGTCGCGGTGTTAAGGCTTTGCACGTTTCAAGATTGTCAATCCTTTGTCGCTTAAAATTTTTATTTAAAGATGCCATTCCCAAATCGCTGAGATTTCTTCTACGGTAATTTTCTCTCCCGCCAATTTTAGTGCTCTCGGAACGCAGAAAATACAATCGGAATTCCTTGGATGACTCGTACCTCGCACATAACGTTTGAATGGAGCGTAGCGGAGTCAGCCGAGGATTGCCGATTGCGGAAAATACGGTA